TTCCGAGTGCTTAACAGTCTTTATAAGTAACGTTAAGACCTAACTTCAGGGTTTTCATACCAAACACTTCGTCCCCATTTGCACGGTCGCATCATGATTTCGTTTTCGCGAACATATCTTCGTAAATCTCTTACAACAAAGAGGCTTAAGACTCCCATTCTTTTGCGGAAGTATAAAACAAATCAATCAAGATGCAATGCTGCCTTTTTGAATTGATTATCTGTGATGGCCATTATTACTCAAAATTTGATGTCGCAGGAGGACACAGATCGTTGCGTGATGTGAGGACGAGGACAACAATAGCATGCATATCCATAAAAATTCACATAATATCGATCTTACAAATATTGCCATGATTTCAAAACTATACCATGTTATGTTAAAGTGAAAATATGAGAAAAATGATTACTCGCTTATTTTAGGTATCTGGATGTGCATGATTTAGCTCGAAACATTCAAAACCTTAATTCTTCCTGACCAACTAAATATCAATTTATATGGGTTTTTTTCTTATCATGTTCACAATGGTGGTCCATGTTTAACGTTAGAGATAGGCCTCAAACTGTACAATATGTGAGAGAGAGTTAAGATCTCTGCCCTGAAGAGACTCAATCTGCCCTCTCACACATATTGTACAGTTTTACATTTAGATTCACGTTTTCGGAAATTTTTAGTTTATACACAATAAATTCACAAAATGCAAAAATTAAAACAAACGAAATGGTGGATTCATACTCATTTTTATCGCAAGGGTACAACGGCCCGGCTTCCTACGGGTCAGGTCTGACGTTTACCGAAAAGTAAACACGATATATGTTGGTAAGGGCAAATAGAAAACACATACCGAAAATGTAAATATTGATGTATAAACAACACCTTTTCTTTTATTTTACATGAATTGTGAGATTTCAAGAAATATAATTGTAACTTACGTGAACAACCTTGTAAACGGGTCGGGCTATTTTTCAGGGCTGGAGCGGCTATCGCCGGGATTGTCATCGGATCGCTTTTTGCCCTTGCCCTGATCATAGGTTGCATCGTTCTCGTTGTCTACCTCGTCAATTCCAACTGTTGCGATGAAGGTAATCAGGGTATTGTCTTCTCGAACAACGCATGCGCAAACCCTCTACCCGTGACATCTGTAAATATTGCAGGTAGGTTTCCCAGTACAAACATGTATTAGTATTTTTTTTCTTTCCAAAGTTGTGTGCCCATATTATGTTATGCACATATCCACATCCAATATTTTTCTGCAAAATTTTGATTTTTGATCTGCGCAATGTTGTATTTTTATTTATTTTTATTATATATTTTATCGAAGTTTTTTTTAAAATTATTACTGCACTGGCATCAGTTTTAGATGAGGAACAATGAAAAAAGAAAAGAGAGAAAAAGAAAAAAAAACTAATTATATAACAATTCCAAAGTAAAAATTTTCGTTGTTGAACCACCAATCTACAAGATGTTTGTTTGAAGAGACACCTATGAAAATCACCATTTAATCTGACTTTGATTTTCAGGAGAAAAACGCATCATATTATTAGTATAGCTTAGTGTATTTGTATTGTTACAGGGGGTCAGCCAAGCGTATCCCAGACAAGGACTACCTACCTGTACCCACAAAAGCCTGCCCACAACGCTCAGTACAACTACATGTAGGCCTCGTAATCCATGTAGCTTCGGTTACTGGGATTTATAGAAATACAAGGCGGATAGTATCAAAGAAACAGAGACGCTTACTCTTCTGAAACGCCTGGGTCACATATCAACCTATTGATATTTGTTAATGTGTTCATAGGTTTTTCGCTTTGTTGATGTCGATGTTGATGACATGTCGGTATCTTCTTGCTTTTTATATAAAAAAAAGTATCGATATAAGATAACATCATGACGCGAGGTAGTATTTAGAAAATATTTTTTTTTTTCGGTATGAAGTTATACACTCTGAAATTTATTTGTCGCTCATTCATTATACAAAGAATACAGTGTAAATATGACACATTCGGTCAATTTAATGACTAGACATGTTACCTGCTGTACAATACAGGTTGAGAAACGCTTGATACACACACTTCATCTTCACACATACTTTTGCAGTGTAGCTGTGTTTCGTTTTATAAATAATACATGACTATTGTCTTAAAATACAAACTGTATTTTGGCGAGGGTAAAGAAAGACACAAGCGATGAGCATTTGGCGACCCATTTTTGTCTTTTTATCCTGAAACACTTATAGAAAATTCATGTAATCGAAATAATGTTAGTTTGTCTCAGGTTGACGTTAGCTGAATTGTGCGTGATGACGCACGTTAAAATAATTACTCCGCGCAGAAAAATAGTTCCAAACGTCAATGGATATAAAAAGCAATTTTATGAATTTTCGTAAATAACATAAATAATAAAAGTGTTTTATTCCGCATAAGCATTTTTGTTTCAACTGAATGTCAGTGTGGTAATGTTGGTGCGTACCATTACTTTTTTCTGTTCAAAATCGTCTAATCCTCGAATAAGACTGTTTAATGTTGGTATCTACCCAGTCTCCCAGCAGGATATTCTCATATGAGATGCTGATCTTCCTCTTGAAACGAATAGTAACATAATACTTGTTGTACAGTTATTTATAAAATCAAGCAAGAGGTTTGATACTAACTAGTGGACAACTACTGCACACAGAACACCCGCCTACCTACGTCCTTCTCTACCCTTCTTTCTCCTCCATCCTAATTCTTTCTTTCTATTCTTAATTTCACGTTTTTTAGTAGTTTGTGTATCCGATGAACCTTTGTTGCCATCACGTGATATATTAAGTCATGTCTTGTGTTGTCCGGAGAGGGCCTAGCAAGTTGTCAGAACTTGTGCCCAAGCTAGCCTTTGATTGTGGTTTTTGGATTAATAAAATATGTTTGAATGAATGAATTTTTGGTTGAAATTTCACTTCGATGATAACAGAGGTGTCAAATCTTTCGAAAAAATTTAGAATGTTTGAGCGAGCTGTTCGATTTTCTTAATATTGAAGATGCAAATGTTAGCGTCGCTGAATCAGCATTCACCGATTGACATAATGCCATTACCTTACAGAGTTATTAAGCTTATTCTACAATACATGCTCCGAGATCTGTAGTCGAACAAAATAGAGGTGATTGTTTTTCACCTTTCACCGGTTAAACTCTTTATGGGGACCTTCGTAAACATTAACCAGTAACTACATTTCTGAAATCAAGATACGATCTGTCTCGCTTAATTTGTAATCCGAATCACTGTCGTAATAAAGCATTTATTCAAGGTACTATTTATAAACCATTGAATCATAAAAACTTTGTAATTTTTTGAACTCCTTAATTGAAAAAAAATGTAACTTCGATTTTGAAAAACTCAAAACGATATTCTGGCCAATTTAGAATATCGCCATTCATGCATTTGAAATGACCGTCACTTAATTGCTCCACCAGGTTATTTGGTCGGAGTTATACACCATTTTGGGGTTTTATGATAAAAAAAACACATACAGAGAAAATGATCGGACGGATTTATTTACAAAAGCCAGCCATTTTATGTGGGCTCCACAATTGCATGAAATCTCGATTAAACGTAAGTTCCAACAATATTAAACAGATTTAAATGATAACAAAACAATACAGTTTAACAGGTGTGTTTATCGTATTCATTACAATATATAATTTCATTTATGCAACTCATTCTTAGCATTAATGTAACGCTGCATCTATGTTTTTTCCAAGCAAAGTAAAATCTGGAAACTAATGTCCTACAACACAATAATGTTACACTGTTTAATGCAGAACCCGTATGCCAGGGAATACAGCAGTTTTCAAAGTGGTTTATAGTCAGAATAGATATTGAAATACATGTTGATAAAAATATGCAAGAATAAAAAATATATTCACATTTCCAAACATACAACGTCATAATGATAAACTCGTTTTCTTAAGGGATTAAATATATTCTTGATAGGAATACTTTAACAAAATGTGAAGACTATGTCACATTATGAACGTGCAATATCATCTATAAAATCAGGTATATGAAAATTTATAAAACGTATAGAATTATGGGTTAGTCCGCCTCGCTGTTAGATGTTGATAGTTCATGCGATCAACTTAGATTTTCCTCGGTCGTTCATGGCTTTAGATGCCGGATTTGGACCATTTGCCTCAACGACGAGTCCTAGAAGGACGAAACGGTTGTGTGATGCAATCTTAATAATTATTTAACTCTCCCGTGACTATTCCTAAATTTGCATTGAAAGGTGTAATTTTACTTATTAAAGCTAAACAGAAGCCTATTATCGGGGTAAACGTTGTTATGTGTGAAATATAATACCTTGTATATTATCTATTGTAAAAGGACTACTTAATAACAAAGAAAACATGTTATTGCTGAGACAGAAATATTTTACACAGCATGAATAAAAAGTAGCCCCAGTTGAAACATTTAAGGGATTATTTTCTGAAAAATCAAACTTGTTTTAAACATTAATTTCCATTGGCGAACTTTTAACTACTTAATATAAAGAGTCTTGGATTGTTACCCCTAAACTAGCATGTAGAGATATGTAATATTTTCTTACAGAAAAGTGTCATTTACAGAATTTTTCCAAACTCTGGTTTGCATTAAATCATAAATATTAACTTAACCTGAAATATTTCAACCTAATTCGATCTCAAAAGTTAATAATGGAGTGTTCGCGTCCAGATTTGGAGTACGTTGTACGCAAGTCCAACTAACCTCCCCTCCTCCTCCTCCTCCTCCTTTCCGTTTGATGGTGTTATGTGTGTATGGTTGTTAGTCTTTTGTTTGTCTTTTTTGGACAATCACTTAAAACTAAAACGACAACTCAAACTGAAATTCATTAATTTAAAAAAAAAAAATGAATAAAAAATAAACAACGCTTTGATGAAGTTTTTGATAGTAAAATATTATGTAAGATGCATAGTTATGCGATCTGTCACGTGACGTTTGATATGCCACGTATTCCTCACATAAATCATAAATCACGTGCATGCGAGTTGGGTCACATGTACCCGGTGTTATACACCACCGTCGTGGGAGGTACTTGTTGCTGTGGATACTGGTAAGTTGTCATGGTGACGGGAGGATTCTGGGTAGGGTATGCTGGAATGCAGAAATTAAATACAATAACGATGAAAACGAAAACAGGTGAATCAATACACCATACGTACACTTTATTCAATATTTATCTTAAATCAGATTATTCAAAGTACAGCAGAAGCCGGAAAAGCTAAGGTTAAATAGTTACAACCAAATATAAGGCATTGTTGTAGACAATTGTTCTTAACAAAATATATGCTTGCATTTCTTTGCCCGCAATATGCAAATTTGCTTTTTAAGAACCTTCTAAAGAATATTATGTAAATATGAATGATAAAAGCAGAATCATTTTCCATCTCATAAATCTCAATTCATTATTATTCATATAGCCGATTTACAGATTAAAAAAATCGAAATAAATTATCTACTTACTAGCCATATTTATGTTTGTTGAGGACGCCACGCCCGTGTTGGGAGTTCGGTTAGAATATACAACTCCTCCTTTTTGTTGTCGGAAGCAGGTAGTGAAGAAATATAAAGCCAGTATGATTCCTGCCACTACAAGGGCCAAGGAGATTATGGACCCGACGACGATACCGGCAATGTCTCCTGCAGACCTGTAACGAATTAACAAACACCGAAAACATAATAAAGCGTAAGATTTGACCTATATAGTACTCTATCTAGGTCATGACCTAAATGAAACTCTTTGGTTGTCTTGACTTCAAAAACACCTGATCTCTAGGTTATGATTTGAACAGCACTCTCTCTATGTCTTGACCTGAATACACTGTCTCTATGACTTTACCTAAATAGCATATTCTATAGATTTGAACCTAAATAAGAATTTCTAAAGGTTATGACCTTAGCAGACTCTCTAACCCTTGATCTAAATGCACTCTCTGTGTGTCTTTACCTAAATAGCAATCTCTAGGCCTTGACCTAAATAACACGCCCTCTCTAGGCCTTGACCTAAATAACACCTTCTATTGGTCCTGACCTAAATAACGCGCCCTCTCTAGATCTTGACCTAAATAACACCTTCTATTGGTCCTGACCAGAATAACACGCCCTCTCTAGGTCTTGACCTAAATAACACCTTCTTTGGTCCTGACCTAAATAACACGCCCTCTCTAGATCTTGACCTAAATAACACCTTCTATTGGTCCTGACCTAAATAACACGCCCTCTCTAGATCTTGACCTAAATAACACCTTCTATTGGTCCTGACCAGAATAACACGCCCTCTCTAGGTCTTGACCTAAATAACTTTCCTGTTGGTGTTGAATTAAATTATGCGCTCTTCTAGGTCTAGATGCATCCTATTTATTATATTTTGTTTTACTTCCGGTTTGCTAAGCTGACTACAGATTCAGACAACATTGATACGTACAATTTATTGTCGTCGTCATCATCATCAGCAGCAGCAGGAGCAGGTGAAGGAGTTGGACAACACCCGTGCCGGTACTGCCCACAGCAGCCTCTAACACACCACGTGGTAAACCAGTTGTCATCTTCGTTCCAGCAAAACTCCGCTTCTACAGCGGCTGTATGGGATAAAACACAAAGTTATCTAACGACTATAGTAATAGACAGATTCCCTATCATAGGTCATACTGGCTGTCCCTGTACCTCACTTTCTTGATTCTAGGGGACTAAACTGTAGGAATCCACCAGAAGAGAAGATACACTCATAACATGACGAAATACATTTTACGTCAAGAATATTCATGTGTATTACTGGATAATCAACACAGGATTGTCACAAAACGTTCCATACAGGGTAAAAATATTATATACACGCTGTATCAGTGTGAAAAGGGAAGACAAATGTTAGAACAAATTTATGTTTATTTGGTAAAATAAACCACGTTGATAATATGAAATAAACATGACTTGAAAACTGGCTAAAATAAAATAAATAAAGAATTTGACATTCTTGGACATTATAAATAGTTCAATGCTTACCTTTAACATTTTAAATTTTAGTCGTGTTGGAGAGGCAACTTTAACCTGTTTACATCATTCGCAATATTCCTAAGACATTAACAATTCGTTAACTTGTACCACACAACTGGCTTTGGTAAGGTTTTATCATAGCATTACCATAGAAAAATGACTGTATTTTCAATGCCAAAAAAACACAAAACTACAAACACCACATTTTATACAAGATGGCCCTCATCACTGCATTGTTATTGAGACACAGCTGTTTGATTATACAATGATATATGCCTGGTATATCGTGCCCGAAATTCTAGACCATTTCTATTCAAAGGCATGTAAATCTATACACGTCCACAGACAATGTTTACTGCAGGTATAATAACATATAAATGGAGACTTATTATAGGTACACATAATATGCAAATGATTTTTTTCGGTTTAAGGTACTTAATAAGATTAGAATTTCAATATTATTATTTCTGAAAAATTTTCAATGTTTTTAAACTATTTACAACATGAATCATGTTTACAGTTGTAAGAACTTTACCTAAGAGATATTTTTATAACCATTCATCGACAATTTGACGTTATAGATTATAAAAAATGTCCAGTAAAATTAATTCTGCCTTGACGACCTCAAAACTATCCATGCTATGCTATTCTCTTGTGTCTGAACAAAATCACTTACCTGCAGCTACTGTAAGTATCAACAAGGTGTATACAACTCCCGCCATTTTGTGTGCCTCGGTTAAATACTGGAGAATAGAACTGTATAAGTATCCCTGTAATTCGTGTAGACCTTGGCCCATTAGGTACCCGGGCATATATAGTAGGTAGCAAATACAGGTCTATGTAATACACGGCTATTGATTAACATCTAACTGTCAGGACAGCAAATGATTTTTACGTTCATGGATGAATGAACTCGTTTGAAGTATGAACACTGGCAAACTATGTGAACTCTATTTTTATACTTGTGTTGTAGTAGACAATATAACATTCCTGATAATACAATATGGTACGAGGTGGTATAAATGAAACAACGAACACATTGAATTTTAAATAAGACAGTTCCCAATCAGGTCGTGACAATTGGCGTTTAGCACAGAGTATTTTATAAAGTTATAAATAGACAAGTTGGTATCATTTCAGTATCAGCAATATGTTTAACCATCAAGTTATAAATGTGCTTAAACATTTAATATTTAACAATATTGTATCATCTATTGATTTTACGGTACACATCAATAGGGATGATATTTCCCTAAACATAAATAATATATCCCTTTACATAGACATTGTAGGATGATCACATATTGACCATTAGCATGGTCACACCAAGAAGCATTCTATTTAGAATTTAAATTTCGACGTAAAATTATGTTACCGGACTTTTGAAAATTTGACATTTCTTCGATTTTATATGTTGATTAAACCGCCGAAGACTCTGGTCTACCTGGAACACGCGGCCTTTCGATATCAAAACTTCCTGTTTTCCAATTCGACAAGATAAGACATGAAAACACATGTATCTGAAAAATGTGGAATTCAATGCCACATTAGGAATTGCTGCAAAAAACGAACAATTATATATCTTATCTTAGTCGTTTTGTAAATTACAGCTTTCACAGAAATGTCTTAGGCTTCAACAATATCAGACTGTTCAAATAACTCTAAAGAAGATAATTTGTCTAACCATACTCGCAAAAATAAAAACACGCCAAAATACCCAAAGTATTGAATTCCACTGACAAGTATTATAGGGGATTGGAACCCTGACAATCTTTTCCTCTGATCTAGGTCAAAGGTCAAAATGTAGGTCAGAGTGACCTATTTTTGATGCAAAACATTATTACGCCTTACCAAGGACAAGCACAAAAACGGAGGGATACAACAGAAAACTTAAGACCCTCAACCGGTGAGGGACTAAGGGTATATTTGCATGTTCGTTTCGATATTTTTTACGTACACCAACACACACCCTCACACACCCTCACCCTCTCTCTCTCTCTCTCTCTCTCTCTCTCTCTCTCTCTCTCTCTCTCTCTCTCTCTCTCTCTCTCTCTCACACAAACACACACACTCACAAACCACAAGACGCAAAGCAAAAATGTTCATCAACCAGGACACTAGCCTGTAATTCATCTATGATATGATAAAGGTTGGTTTAATATTTTTCAGGTTTTAGGCTAAACAAAACAGCATTGTTGAATATTTTGTTTTTTGGCCTTGACTTGGCAGATGAATAATGTTTTTGATTTTTTTTTAAAATTTGACAATTTTCGAATTGTATACCAGAAAATGAGTCATGGACGCATGATCTATGGACTCAAGCACGCTTGCGAAGCGATCTAATTTTGATGTCCCTTCTAAGGTGTTTCGTGAGGATAATCACGAAATCTTTTGAGAAAATGGTAAAGATTTCTCCGAAAAGATGTCACCGAGATCGTAGTGGTGAATAGGGAGCACACACCATATCAGCCAGCGAGGAGATCACACCATCTTTTATATACTTTCATAAAAACTGACAAAGTGTTGGGAAATATTCACTATCACAGATGAAGGCACTACATGTAGGCTATCTTCACGAGTGTCTTTAAGCGACACCGAGAACACGTTCTTGAATGGTTGCTCTCGAACACCAGAAAAAAATGTTCCTGTTACCCTAACAACGAGAACAATGTATAAAACATGGTTACAAGAACAGAGGACAAAGATGGAGGCGCAATGTCGAAGTAATGTTCTTTTTATTTGGTTTTGTGTTCAGTTTGCGTTCTGGACCCGGGGTCCCGCTGATTAAGGTGGTGTCCGTTTGGATGAAATGTATTTCATAGGGAAACCAATCTAATGTGAGCAGGAATCTTCAATGATATAGCACATCATATGAAGTGTAACGCTGTACTTCATAGGAACCAAACCGAGGAAAACTTATAAAACAAAATTTCTAGCGTTGATCGTGGCGAGATAGACCAAATAATAATAATACTATTTTAGACTAAAAATAAACTACATTAGTTTTACTTATCCTTCACTCTATTAGTGTAATCGGAAGGAGTAATGAAAAAACACTCTGGCACCGACGGGGGTCGAACTAGCAACCCTTCGGTCTCTATCAGGACACTCTACCGTTCGACTGAAGGGAGATTTCCACTTGTTGAGACTGGTAAGGCGCCATGTACACTGAACTTCTAACACTACTTCCTCCTTCACAAAGCATTCGACCCCGAAGACAAAAAACCTTTGTTAAATATCTTCAAGGAAGCATCTTATTCTCCTATAGTTTCTACTCTAGGAGCGGTCAACGACATCAAATCTGTATTCGTTCGAACTTACGACCCCTCGGTCTCTAGCCGGACACTCTACTAGTCAGACAGGTATGGCGATCGGCACTCTCTTCTGTTACACTTGTACCGTTTTAATATTTAACTTTACACTGTAATTAGTTACATTAAGATCTCTAATACCTAGTGTATTATAGACAAGCTGAAGGTAATTTGGATGCTGTTTATCTGTAATCTCACGCCTACTGCCGATTTATTATACAATGATTCCATGTTATTTCCATACCTATGTTTGTCGCAATTATATCTCACACTAACATTTGGTCCGAAAGTTTTTTAAAACGTCAGTTTAGTGTACATGTGTCTGGAACTACAGGTAGAGAATTCCAGATAAGACGGCACCTGTCCACGATTCTTTGTGTGCGCAAAGCTTGTGCAAGGGAGATTTAGAGATTAATAAAAAATAACACCATGATACTAATGCTGGTTAAATGAAGTGGATATTTACCGTTTATTATGTGTGTACATCAGGCGACTTTAACGAAAACGCTTTCTTCCTGAGAAATATCCATAGATCAGACGGATGCCCTATGCAGTTTCTTGTGATTCTATACTGCGTTGTGCGTCCGCCCAAGCGAGAAAGCTAAGGTTATGATTTTAACCAAAAGCCGAAGCAAATGCCAAGCCTATAAATGAATTGGTATTTACTGTTGATGTTGAGGGCTGGTCAGTCCGTGGTCAGTATTGGACGTGCTTTTGTGTAAGGTTTAATCCATGCTAAAATATCAGGATCTTATCAGGAAGTCACTTGAAGTTCTCACCATTTCTTTGACATCTAGTTACTTTGACCAGTGACATTCAAAATGGATCACAGGCATTGTTACAAAGTATTGGAAATTCTCAAAGCTTGCTAATGACTCGTATGCCAGGTGAAGACATAAGCCCACCATGCTGGTTGACGAACAAAAACAATAGTCTAAATCATAGATTAAATAAAATGAAAATGGAATGACCATTGGTCAATCTGTCAATGACGTTCAGTGTCCTTTTTATTGTTTTACATCGTACACTTCTCTAGTTCCGTACACTGCTGTATTGACAAGTAGTCAAAATATCATTTCACCAACACCCAATTCCCACTTTCACCCAGATCTCTTCCAATGGTGTGTTAACTACTGCTAAACTGAAAGTAGTTATTATGCATTAAATACTGTTTCTATAGCAGTCCACTGTAGCAGTATTATTAGCATCAAAAGATCCAAGGGCCATCACTACTATGTAATGAGCGAAGTTAAAAAAAAAACACAAACAAAAGCAATGTTTCCAGTGATAATTTTACTGCCTAGTATTATTTTTCTTTGAATATCAAAACATACAGCTGCATTGCAAATCAAGCCTTAATAACATATGTAGTTTTTGTCAAGACAGAGTTTTTATCGGCTAATTTAGTGTAATAATAGTTCAATACAAGTAGCTATATATTCAGCAATGTAATGAAAATCAAAACCATGTATATGATAATTACTCAACCAATTTATGTAGTTATTTGAGCTTTACAGACCTGACAAAACACAATGTTTGGCAAAACAAATTTACTTATCTTTTATAAAATGCCTCATTAATTCATTCTTGACCTCATTCTTTGCTAAACATATGAATTTAAAAATTTACTAACTTATAAGCACAAACGGTGAATTTATAATAAAAATGTGTGAATCTCATTATGAGATGTGCAATGTATAAAATACTCTAACACTTTTACACAGAGACTTTCCTAGGCAAAGCTAGATATAAGCCTTATAAGCTACACATGTGAATTTCAGTAAAACATTGCCCCAACCAATTATAGAAGGCCTTTACACAACAAAACAGATTTATCTTCTCTTCTTAAGCGCGACAAAACAAACTGATAATTTCAGCAAACTGATGACACTGCTTTGAGAGTGCTAAATAAGTGGCTCTTTAAATATCGGGTAAACCTTTATGACTCAAACCTCTGAATCACATTAATTACTGAACCTATTTGATATGTCATAAACTCTTTATCACAATAATTACTGTATCATTGAAATAAAGATATTCCACCATCATTAAAAGTGATAAAACTTGATCCTCTGCTGCGGGCTTCACACTTTTGTTTCTGACCTGAGGGAAGAATACTCTTATCCTACAAAGACACGTAAAAGAATTTTTTTTTTTACATTTAAAATTTTTATATTATAAAAAACAAACCTAACTTTTATCCAATGAACTCCAGAGGGTACCTTAATATATCTATGCTTAAACCTTTGCACATTTGATAAAAAAGAACCCCAAGCAAAGTTTGATTCTCCTACTCCACATCCATATTGAGCACATTTTTCAATGAAAAATGTATTTCAACAAAAAACATTAACATTAAAATCAAATATCTGTATAATGTTGTGTCATGCAAAATATCCTAAATGAACAAACTGAGTCTCTCGGCCAACTATCAACTATGGATGTACATGTTCAACCCAGAAAGACTTGTAATATATATCTAGTAGGCGTCGCTGTATGGCTCTGAACAGACTAATAATACACACATACAAATTGAAGAAATATCTTTGAAGATGAACTGTATGGTTTGGAGCTATGTCAGCGTCATATCATGGCAATGGCAGCTACTCTATAAAAATGATTGATAAAATGCTGTGATCTGGTCATACTGACTGTAACTGAATGGTACTCCTTAACAACACCTACTAAACCTGTGAACGGAATGTAAAAAATCTACAAAAATGATCACGTATAAAATTATCAACAAAATACCGGGAAAAAGAACAAAAAATATTCTTACCACAGTAATCAAATCTTATATTAATCAGTCTTGTTTGCCTGGATAAAGCCTGTGAGGGGTCTTAATGTGGGAGAATACTGAAATACCTAAGAAACACTAGTGTGGTCAGGCGAATGATCCCATACCTTTGCGTGTCTGTTTGGAGAATTAACTCCGGATGTCTCAATGAAAGGCCATTGGGTTACCACTGAGCTACTTGATCACAAAACATTAGATAATGACTTAGTACTGAGTATAAAGCTTAATTATATCCTCTTCTGACTGGTTAGTGAGAGAATTTCGACAATGCTGGATTACAGCTTTACAAATTATCAATCTATTTGTGACATATTCTACTCTTGATTTGAATATGTACAAAATAACGGCTGTAATATTTCACACGAAGATCTTGTCATTAAAGAAGATGGGAATGGAAATTTAAAATGAATTTACTCTATGTCATCATTCTATGGGACATCAATACTGTTGAGGAAATAATTAGCACCCTTCTTGCTGAAAAAATATGTCAGAGATGACTTTTCTGAAGACGGTACAAAACGACATTGAATGGTATATCCATATATGGTACATGATATTGCATTGATATCTAGATATTGTTCCTTTACAACTAGAAAAAGTTACATTGATAAGCCTTTTAGGCTTTCAATCTTCCACTTGAAGGTTTTCGGATTTAAGCCTTTCATCTCACGTTCTATATAAATGTAGCTAAAATAACATGTCGTTCAATAGTCCATCACATGTAAACTGACTAGAAAATTAAGTAAAAATGTTCAAATAGGGGTTTTTCATATATAAAAAAATATGTTATTCAAATTGTACAATCAAGTATTCATTTATGCATGGTATTTTACCTATAATAATTCTGTACAAGAAAAATACTTCAACATAGAAGTACTTAACTTACCAATGATTAATAATGTCCAAATCGTAAATTCTGAACTTATATATAAATACAGACATCATTTTAGTGACCAGGGTCTGACATTAATATACACAAGAACTCAATGACCCTCCAATTTTGTAAACGGTGAGTACAATCACTGTTGTTTATTCTTTTCCTTGAAAATTTTATTGTAGTTATCAGTTAGTTAAAAATGAATTATTGTTAAAGATTCTTAGAAATATTTTTACATATAAACATAACCTAGCTTGAATAATATACATGTGATTTTCTGGGCAGTCATTCCTAACACCGCTCATATAATATCACAAGTGTAAATCCCCACACTACAGACTTCACTTTCTATTCTATACAAGTATCAAAACATTTGAAGTTCTAGCTATCCTAAAACACTATAGGCAAAACACCGGTCTAAAAACATACTGATTTAAATCTAATCATGATTCTTTTCTAAAAACATTTCAACTAATTCATTATTGAAATTTTTTTTTTTCTTTTACATAAATTTTGATGATATTGTATTCAGTTTATAGTTTTGCAGTTCAATATTGTGTAAATCATTGAATTTAAAGTTTAGTCAGATCGTAAGCCTATAAACAACCTCTGGACAACACAGAGGAAGTCAGACTGTCACAAGGCAACAGTTAAGCACTTCAGGACATATGGAATAAACCAAAGAAATAAGCCATGAAGAGACTGTCGATCTGCTGTGTGTATGGTTTCTGACGTGGAAAACATCTGAAAAGATGGAGACAGTTCTACAGCAAACAGTTTGAGGTCAGAAAATGACCAAGTAACTATAATAATCCAGTTATGTAATAACTAAAATGAATCACATGACAAAACCTTGACAAGTGTGTTCTGTAACATCAGTCTCATGATGATGTAATGAAGATCTGCGACTCTGGTGATGAGCGAAGTTCTGTCATAGAAAGTTTGGACCGTGGACATCTGTTGCGGAGTGTAGGGAAGTAAGAACGTCTCGTATCCAGTGAGGCAAAGTATTTCTCCCGATATTCTGGTACAGCTGGGCCGAAGTCTTCAGTTGGCTGACAAAGCTTTTGTATTCTCTGAAACCATGAATATGACAAAGAAATAAAAAGTAGTTTGGTACTGCGGTTATAAAAAGCTTATGAATAGAAGTTTCTACCTGAATCAAGACAACGCTTTACTTATTACGCTGGGCTACTTACCGAGACAAGAGATCCACGTTCACACCAGATGGAGATGATAGCACATAGCGGAATAGGTACCAGGGAAGCCAGACCAAACATCCAGCCAAGGGCGATTCCCCAGCTTGGGTACTCGTAATCTCCGTATGTCACTGGAGTGAAGCTTGATACACTGAATATCCACACAAACTGTCAAAACAACAGAGAAACTCACTCACAAGCAGCTTCCCCCAAAAAACTTTAATGGACATATAACTTTAACAAAGGGCAATAACTCTTTAGTTGGCATACTGAATATCAATTTAGTATGACCAATATTTCCATCAAGTTTCATTTTCCTAACTTAAATGCCAGCAAGGTTATGCTCTGATATGAAATATTAACAATGGGCAATAACTCTGTAAATGAGGAGTTGCCAGTTCATTAAGTTGATTTACCGTAATCATGGAAGGAGAGATAAAACACCAGCAGATTTTCCACCAAATGTTTGGCTGGTAACCAATCATAAGTTCTATGTCCTTGTAAAAACGGTCCGCTCCTGCCAAATATAAAATTAACATTTGATCGAGCATCTACAACATGATTTTAGTCTTTGTTTACTGGTAACTGTTGTTTATAGATAATTCATGAAGAAATGCAGTAAAGATAAGGTAAAAATTATTTCTGAATCTCCAATTTTTGCTTTTTGTGACAATTAAACAAAATCATGAAAAATCAAATACCTTGAATATATAATTCTGAATGGGAAACATTATCAGTCAAATCTGATTATAATCTGTAAATAATCAGCAAATGGGGACTGTATCAGTCACCTAGTGTGGTTTCGTCACAATTACCTGATCCAGACAGAAGAGAAAGAATTCTAAATATGAACTCCTAATTCCTTTATTTGATCCCAACCTTCTTTTCAAAGGGGAGTGAGACCCTTGATTTAAACAAAATTGAATCCCCTCGACCCAATGATGCTTCAGACCAAATTTAGTCTATCATTCCCCTTAAAATATTTCTGACCAACATTGGTCAAAATACCTTCATCACAACAAAAGAAGAAGGTTTGTCCTTCTTTACCACTATTTCACCTACTTGTCCCCACCCATCTGTCCTCTGAGGGTCCACCATTTAAACTAAATTTAGTCCCTTTTACCAAAGTATGATTCAGGTCAAATTTTGACAAAATCCTTTCATTCCTTAAAAAGGAGTTTAATAAAAAATTTTGTTATCCCAGGTATAATCCCTTCAGGAGCCCTAGGAGGGATGAAACCCACAAAATTGGATTTGTCCCCCCCTTTGAAGGTGTTTCTGAACAAATTTGGTCATAGTACCATCATTAAAAGAGAAGAAAACGGATATTAATGTGATTCCTCTATTTCACCTATTGTGCTCAGCACTACTGGCCCCAAGAGGAGTCAAGACACCTGATTTTTACAAAACTGTGTCCCCCTTTCCCCCTAGAATGTGTCAGACCAAATTTGGACAAAGTGAAATAATTCCTACAGAAGAAGGATTTCATAGAGTATAACTTTGTCTCAGGTGATCTAAAAATTAAAACAAGAGGTCCATTGGGTCTGTAATGCTCATCTCTTCACATCATTGCAACTGAATTAGGAACTTTGTCCTAAGCAAGTTACAAATTTCAGCAAAGTGTTCCATTAGACTTAGTCCTAACATTTCTTGGAGAATATTAAGCTTACCATAAATCCAGGCGATAGCTATACACTCAGCTAAGCAGAGGAGCATGAGGGAAAATGTTGCACAGTACCAATCCATAATCTGGAGAATGTACACACCTCCCTACAAAATGACACAAACTTCTTTAGTTTACATACTACAAATATTTCTAAATAAAAGCAAAAAGAGAAGAAATCAAACAGAAAATGATATGGGGTAAAAACAAAAAGTACACTTCTTCCTAATCCATCCTGTTCCCCCAAGGGTAAAGAAATAGTTTTAATTCATATACTTGTAATTTTCACATAATGTATGTCAGTCCCAAGTGGTGGCTTACATCACAATTAAACAAACAAAGAAAAGGTCTGTAGACATAAATGCTCCCATTCACAATATTCAATAAATAATAATCTTTGGTTCATGAAATGTTAACTCATTGAGCTCTTGACATGAGATAGGACAGAGATGGACAAGGTTGTCTCAATGTCTCTATAAAATTAAAACAGCAAGGGCATAAAAAAATAAAGTACACAAAAGAATCAACAATAACGTTGATTTATATTGTCAACAGAACTGGTGTAAAGTCTTCTTCAATAAATCTATGAAGCTCAGACTCTTTCTTCTCACCTGCATCACACAAGGGACACCCAACAGGAACTCGATAAAACACATGAGAGCTGTAAATAGTTCTTTCCTGTTTGCGAGGAGATCTGGGAACTCATCCACAAATGCACTTGTCATAGTTTCAAACATCCCAAACTACAATACAGAATGTAGTGTTAATTGATGCCAATACACATTTGAACCAACAACAGTAGACTTGACCTTTGAAGTCATGTAGCTTCTGCTATAAAGAGTTTTTATTGATTATTATCCTCATAACATTCCAATATGTCAAAAATTTTGCAAAAGGAAGAGAAAAATTAATCCCTAATCACTTATTAAACATTCTTTATCAGTATTATAAAAAATTATATTCCAATTCTTGATGGTGATTAAGATTGCGTTTCAACATAATTTGATTAAAATATATTCAAATACCTCAGGAATTTTTTAATTAAAACATGAATACTGTAAACTGATTTTTTAAATCTGAATCCAGATTTCCAGGTGAAGTGGTAAATGATTTATTTTGAAAATATCAAAATCCCATAATGTTTTCTCTTCCAGTTTGAAAAAAATGTAAAACTTTTCAAGCAATGGTAAACATGAATCAAACTATTATCTATCAGTAAATGAATTAATGTTCTATGATAAAGAAATTAATTACATACTATTATGCTTGTTAATTCTTTAAAAAAAAAAAAAAGAAAACATGATTCATTCCATACAGAAAAAGGTTGATTATTTTCAATATTACTCCAAAACAGCATGTGTCTAATTTTTTTCCAGTTTCTTTAAATTTATTTCAATAAAATTCTTTTCTACAAATAATAAAATAATAAATGGGTGGGACTGCTTTGCTCATAAAGAAAATGCTTAACTCTCATCAATTATAGATAAGAGAAGAATAACTCATTTTGTCGCAAGTTATCATATTAGACAAAATATGGATCGTTCTGTCGTGGAAGACTACCAATACAGACACATAGAAAAGTCACCTGAGGCCTGTACCATTGTGATTCTGAAAAGCCACTGGGAAATGAGCTTCATTTCTTTTCATTGTCTCAAATGAACTGAAATAGGCTGACATTTCCCGGTGAAAGTGAAATATTAGGTAGTACTGATCACAAGTAAGGTCCATGTTCCAATAAACGAGATTTTCACAGCTACTAGTGGCCTGTATTTCGTTGGAGATGAATTCTATGAATCCTTGACAAATGGACAAAACCTTTGACACAATGGGTTAATATCGCTATGTCAAGGTTCAGAGCTCTCCATGACCTCATAAATATCTTTATTTATGTATAATTTTAAAAGCATTTACCAATTTTGAAATATTGTTTCAGTTGTATAAAAATTGTTTTTAAAAACCCAATGATTTTTGCTTTACCTGGTTTATCCACACACATTGATGCTGGAATAGTTAACAAACTATTAAGTGATTGTACGTCTCAAACATAAGTAAAATTGTCAAAGTAAGACTGCACCATTCGTTAAGTGCTTATCTGTATAGAACATTATAATCTCACACTCAGTGGTAATGAACGTGTTATCAGTTTTTTGATAGGAAAAATATTCATCTAAGAGTTTCACACATAAGACATTCACTTCCAGTTTTGCTGGACCAGTCAGATGTGTTCTCTATGGATGAAATAAAGAGCTTATTCCACCTAAAAGATATCAAATGAAAAAAGATGTATTGTCAATGAAAAGACGTACAAAATAAAAAATGAATTTTAAAAGAAAAGCTGTGTTTAGAACATGGTCCTTTTACAGGTGTGATTCAGAATACAGTCCTTATAAAACAGGTTTCTTCTGGCCAAGTAAATATCTCAGTGTTGTTTGAATCTTGAAATGAATAATAAATTTTGGATTGAATGATACATCCAGTACAGCAGCCATTTTGTAAGGTTTTAAACATTTTCGATCAATTTAATTGGCCAGACATATTAAGGGCCTCCCTATAGCAGTGATCCTTTCTAGCATGTGTTGGTATGGTGTTTCCTGACAAACAAATGCACTTACATCCTCTTAAAAAAAATTAATAAATTGTCATACATATTAGAAATCTATGATTTTTGTTTTGTTTTTGTTTTGCATTGATTTTAAATTCTAAGATTCAGGTTTTCTAGAAATCCTTTCTGAAGTTATTTTTAAAAAAATCAAATACCTTTGCAGTTTAGAAAATACCAGTAGAAAGGTATTTAAGGAAATTTACAAACATCTCTGATCTTCAAAACTTATGTTTCTTTACTTCAATCCATATTTGTTTAAAAGTGATAACACTATAATTCTAACATGATCTTAATTATCCTAGAAAGACATTTACAAATGTGCAAGCAGTATTGAATGCTGTCCTTGGAGAAACATGAAAATGAAGACCATTGCTTGAAAATGTGACATAATAGAAGGTACATTTTTCATGTACGTGTTTGGATTGATAATAATATTTGATTATGTATTTTATCATACGGTACACGGCAAACCAAGACAGTCGGTTGGATGGAGTGACTTAGAGTGGGCCTTGACGAGTTAAGTCTTCAGGGAATCAGTCAGCATCCGAAGCTGGTGAAGTAAGATACAAAATGGGAGAGGTTACTACAAATCTTGTTATCAGGGTTAAAAACTACACAGAAAATTCCTCATCACATTTACTTTACTAATAATTACAATTAACATTAACTTAAATCTCTAAGATATGATTATTCAAAATTAATAAATATTATTAATTTATTTACAACTTTTAAAGCACTTGAGTACAACAGCCTAGATATCACTTGATGCTACATTTTCCCTGTGTAAACTACTCAGTGATATCAAACGAAGATATCCCTACAAGAATTGAAATAAATGTCAGTAAGTTGAGGAAACAAATCTGGCTCCATGTTCATGTTGAATGACATGTTTCTTCTACAACATATGTACAACACATCGACAAGTTTAGTCCATTTGACAAGAATTGATACTCTTTATTCTATTAATTTTTTTCTTTGCCTGTCAATGAAATATTCCTTACAAATCAAGCAGAAAGTTTTCATTAAACCTGAAGAAAAAATATTGAGATCAGGCAATTATTATGAAGTATTTGTGAATGACTTTATCAGTTTTTCTAATTTTCATAACATTGCTACCTGACCAGTTATCAAATATCAGGATTTACAATTACATCATATTAACTTTTATATTGATGCCAAGGGTAGATAACTTCAATCAAGACTTGCATGTACTATCTAAGCTAAAGGATTTCTGATAGCCCACTACTTACACAGCATGTGGTAAAAGGAATCGGTATGGTAAGTTCTGGGCAATCGTGAGGCCAATCTGGATGTCATAAGCTTGCATTTTATAAACAGAAATGATACATAATGCTATTAGATACATAGATCATGTACATTTTTAATTGTTAACTAATAAACGACACTCCCCATTAAAAAAGTATAAGTACTAAGTGATCATACATTAATACAACGCTCACAAATGACTCATACTTTCGTTTTTACCTGTGGCCCTGTATCCATGCACTTATAACTGCTGTTTACACAAAAGAGAAAATAATAGCTGCTGATTAACTTCAATATATAAGATTTTAATATATATATCATAAATAGTGACAAATGTAAGAGTTAATTCATAATTTGTAAACAATGAAATGCAGTTGTTGTTTATTAATAATGGTCAGCCTTTAAAGCCTTTTTGAAAACTATTTTACACTTGTTTTATAATTCTAATTTCTTTAAGTGTTTCAATCTAATTTCTTCACTATCAACCCACATTCTGAAAGTAGTTGATACAAGAAGAAAATGGTATTACTGCACATTTAAATTTTTTCTTGAAGCAAAAAGAAATCTAATGATGCAGCTTATATCAAAGTATCACAACATCATCACTACCATTTCTTAATAAAAATTAATTTGTTTCCTCTGTCATATCTCCATACACTAAAATAACTGACATTATCATGCAGCTAAATCAACTGTCATCACATGTCAGTGATATTTAATAGGATATAGCAATGCATCAAAATGTTTGTATTTTGAGATAAAAAAATCAAGTAAATAGGATTAACACCAAACAGCTGTGACCATTATATAGATTCCGTTATAAACTTGTGCATACATATCAAAGAATTGTTAGGGAGAATAAAAAAGAAAAAAGAAATAACTACATGTCTATATGATCTCATGGAAAGTTTTCAAGAGTTATCTCCCCTTACACAATTTGTAATGGATCATTTCAATATCTTCTAGGTATTTATTCATTTACTGTTTCCTCAAAATATTTTAGATTCCAAAATAGAATGGAACATTTGTGAAAATATAATATTTCATTTGTTGCTAAAACCATCAAAAGAAAAAATGTATAATTTTTTTGTTTTTACTGTTGAACAAAGAGAAGCAAAAATGCACCTTTTCCTTCTAGCTCATGTACAGATACAGGGAGGTAAATCCATAACATAGGTATAGTACATATAGAAAGCATACTCCCAAAATTTTAAATAAAAAGAAAATCAAAACTTAAAAAAAAAGAGTTCTAATTAGAAGTACAAATTAAGGAATGAATAAGACTATAGAAAATTTCAAACAGCAATGGTGTGTTAAATTTTACCATCTGGCTAGAGGAAAGATTTTCAAGTTCATTAATCAAAGCATTACATAAAGGGTCTATGAAAACTACACTGTGGCCTCTGCTAAGATTTTTGATAATGTTAACAAAGTACTTCTCCAGGTTTTTTTCAGTAACTTTTCAAATTGATAAACCCTGTTTGTTTTGTTAATGTAGACTAAGAGATTTGTTAAAATTAAGCATTTCAGGCAGTATTGGTCTCAAAAATGCTTTAAATTATCGAAGATCATCAGAAAGTAAATAATCAGTAGGTCTATCGTAATTTCATAAACAAACAACCAAGGTCCTAGTGGTCAATTAATTGAACAAAATAGGCCAATATTTCTTGCACTTCAATTGCACAAGGATGATCTAACTCTGACAGCAAATAAAGTTTTTGGAAACTACTAAAGGATGAAATCTGAATCAAAAACATGAAAATCAACAATGTATGTTTGCTGTAAAAAGGTAAACTAACTTGTGCATTTTTATCAGGTTACGAAGATCAGTCTCGTGAAATGTTACAAATATTACTTAAGACTGTATACATATTGTAATAATGTACACGATGAGAACATTGATGCTTGTTACTAAAATACTACAAATTTTTAATCATTTATACAAATACAACATGAAAGCATGTTTAAATTTCATGGTGTGTTAACCAGGTATTCACTATGTGTTTCAATTTAGTTGTAATACTGAATGATCTCAAATGCTTTGGCTGCAGTTTGAGACCATGAGAACAGACAGGTTTATCAACTGAAGACGGGGAGAATATTGTTTATAAATTGATGTTTACATAACCAATATTTCAAAAAAAATAAGTGATGACGATATGAAATAAAATTTCTTAAATATTTTCATTATTAAAGCATATTACATTCCTTCCTCAGCCATAATGAAAAAGTGTACATAATGATAATGAATTTCGGCACCTTACACTAAGTGCATATCCGTATCTTCACAGAGATATAGCCTATGTTGTGATAAAATAGAAACTCTAACATCTGTCTGTTCTTGTTACTATGAATATGTGGTTTCTCTTTAACAGTTTTTTCACTTAAGACTATTAGAGAGCCAAGAGGACACAGTGTAGCAATATCAGTATGAGATATTTCGGGTACAGACTGGATTTTAATGCTTGAGTGTACCTGGGTATCAAGTCCAACTGTAAACAACATCAGGAAGAAGAGGACAGCCCAAAGAGGGGAGATAGGAAGTGTTGTCATTGCCTCCGGGTATGCCACGAATGCCAGTCCGGGGCCTGCAGAGGTAAAAAGATTACTTATGTATTTCTGTCTACTGAGCCAAACAATAACTCTGACACAACACCAGTCCGGGGCCTGCATAGAGGTAAAATGATTACTACTGTATTACTGTCTACTGACAATAACTCTGACACAAAGCAACGGGCTGGCTGATCAATAGCACTGTTGGCATTTCTGTTGAAACTGAAATCAATTTAGATAGACATATAATGTAGGTTTATTGTCAGTGGTTGATCAAATGAAACCAAACCAGTTTGTGCTTTTACATTTTTTTTCTTTCATGAATGAATTCTGAGCTTCAATACTGGCACAATACATATCATATCCACTGCACTTTTTATTCAATTAACTGTAGGGGTCTAGTTTTTATTAAAAAAGGTGATGCAATTCTGTGAGGAATATTGATTGAATCATTTAGAACCTAACCTACTGTGTGATAATGTTTCTGATGTCCAGCTCTGTTTCTTTACAAATCGTGTGATGATTCTAATGTCCACTCCTGTTTCATTACAAATTGTTTGACATTTCTATGCCCACTCCTATTTGGTTATTTTGTTACTTACCATGTGTGACGACTTTTTCTATGTCCACTCCTGTTTCATGGGCCATGAATCCAAGCACAGAGAATATGACCAGCCCAGCAAAGACACTGGTCCCACAGTTAACAAAGGGCACGATCATGGCATCCCTGAAAGAAAACAAGATAAAAAATTTGTAGGAGTCAGCACTATGGAATGGAAAGTTAAGGCAAGGCTGATAATATAATAGACTGGAATATCATATGAAGGGGAAAGATAAAATATTCAAAGAACAAAGAAAGATCAAACAATGGTGGAATCCTTTGTTATTTATGTCCGTACTATTGGGAGAATTATTCTCCAGTGGGCACTAGCAATATCAGCTGATGTCTCATTTAGTTAAACATACTAAAGCTGCTGTGAATGACAATGATAACTGAATGCTGACCAAAAATAATTTTGATACGGAAACCCTTCATCAATGAAAATGTGCAAATAAAAATGTTATCAAAAGCAATAAAATTCATCTATTTGCTCCAATATTGCCTTCAAGACTTTCTGAAGAACCACAGATTAATTTGGTGTGGCCTAATGGCTGTAATTACAGTTCACAACCATTACCTCTGTAGTGTAATATGTTTTTAATATCAAGTCAGAAAACAATTTCTCTGCCAGAATTCAAAAAAAAAAATATTGTGAGCACTGACCTGTAACAGTTGTTATGGAACTTGTTATAGCTTGCCATGGTGATAAGACCACCCCAAGCAGGACCTATGGAGTAGAAAATCTGTACTGCAGCATCACCCCACACCTGAAAAGGATTATAGTATATTAAAAGTACAGTCTGAATATACAATAATAATGTGATAAATTTATTTCATAGCATTTTACCTGGTGAATGATGTTGAAGAATGTAACGTCATAGGGTCTAAGGTTCGAGTCCCTACATGGGTGCCAATGTAACAGAGGTCATTATTTATCTCAATGCCTCTGCTAGGAATCGAACCCGGGACCCCTGACTCACTAGTCTGATGCCCAACCAATTGAGCTAAAGAGAAGTTCTCGCTAGCCGAGTGGTATATTGCGGAGAGTATTTACCAGGGTTACATATGTATCAGTAAGTAATTGATTAACTCTGTATGATTGATAACTTTGTTCTTTAGATTAATAAACAATCTCACCTGAAAGTTTTTAAGCTTGTTGAAGTCTGGGATAAGATAGAACTTAATGCCTTCTCCAGCGCCGGGGAGTGTCAATCCACGAACAAGTAGAATCAGCAGCACTAGGTATGGGAAGGTAGCTGTAAAATACACAACCTGGAAAAGACAACATGAGAGGTCATTAAAAACATGCTGTGGTTTGTTACCATGTCTGAATGAAACATCTGATTAGACCTAAGTTGAGTGAAAAGCGTTGGTAACTACTGATGAAAAGTACTGTTAATTCATTTATTTTTGTGAAGTATATTTTTGCTAATTTTGAGGCAACTCTTAAATGTTTGGAGTATCCTTTATCTTTGAAATCAAATGCACATGAAATAGTACTATTTTGAAAATCCATGAAAATTGAGTTCCTGTAAAAAATGATTTTACATGACATGGATAATCTTACAACAAATGATGGCATTTCTACAAATAACTTGTATTTAAAAATTGACAGAAATGAAAAAGTCTTCATGTGTCAATAAATAACACCAATGAAAGAGTTACACAGACAGATTATGAGGTTAAAGGGTATAACTAGTTAGCTTTTCACTTAATAAACTAAAACTAAAAAAAGTATTGAATAACAATTAAATATATAGTGAAAGTTATGTTTATTATGATAATTAAAATTTGCACAACCTTTTGTTTGAAAAACAACAAAAAATAAAAATACTATAGACCTATTTTGCGTATTTCATGCCTTACATGGAAGTCCTGTCAGAAATAATAATTTATTGTGGTTATGGTATTGCAACTGCCATGAAACCTCACAAGAATCTCGGCAATGTCCTATCTTAAGTATTAAACATCCGGAAGTGAATGTTGCAGAATGTACAAAATAAGAAGCAATTTAACCACGACCCAAACCAGAGGAATGAACACCAGAAAGATGTGGAATCCCAAGAAGGTAAAAAATTCACTAGATCAGAGTGTAAGCATTCTCAGTCCCAAGTCAGCACTTACAGATCATTCTGTACAGCAAAATTGTAATGAGTGGGAAAATTCCAAAATAGTCAACCGACAGGGAAAACAACCTTTTCGTCATCTTGTCAACACGGCCATCTGGATATCCCAAAGAAAGCTAGTACTAAACCATGATGAAGGGGGTCACAGACTTTTGCACATCTTAAACAAAGCGTAGCCAAAACAACTACAGTGTGTCGTTATCATCTTGTTTAATTTGTTTGTCCATAATCTGTTTACCATTTCGTCAAACTATTTTTGACCTTAGTATACATAGGATTCCAAACAATTGATTGCTTCCTTACCATCTTGTACACTGCATATGTCATAGCACATCACACTGGTCATTTGTCTGATGTTGGTGACCGTGTAGTCATCGTAATGACACACTCTAATTTTCTACTGGTTGTGTTATAAGATGAAGGTGACCGTGTAGTCATCGTAATGACACACTCTAATCTTCTACTGGTTGTGTAGAAGTTCTATGCTATACCAATAACATTGTATTGTTGAAGAAATCATTTTTTTTTACAACTAGATCAGTGATTTCCAGGCAAAATGCCACTGTTACCAATTGAAACAAAACAAATAATTAAGAAAATCTTCCAAAGTAAATAATTAATTTGAGTATGAACATTTATATTTTTATCATTTCTTTGTTGTTTTGTCTTTTTTTTTTGCGGGATGAGGGTAGGGGGTTGTTCTTAATGTCATTTTCCAATTATAATTACTCCCATCAGTCTAGAGTCTGAAAAAATGAGAACTTCACCTGGACATGTGCATATGTAAATCTCTAAAACCCATTTCAAAGAAAACAATCTCTACCAGTTTATTTCATGTTCATGGTGATCAAAAAAATACATGTATGTAAATGTAGTCTATTATATTTGAAGTCTTGTTTTCTTTGTAGGTAGCTGATTTGTGATTGGCTGAATACTGACGACAGGGAGGCTGGTGACGTTCTCTCTGGTGTTTCGTTGTTTCCCATTAATCAATTATTGAGTACACTACACTAGCTCCTTCCCTGAGAAACATTGCTGCATGCCCCTGTGGGTATACTGCTGTCGGGTCCCACAGGTTGATTCCAGGTAACAGTGTGAATCTGTTAATACACTATTACCAACATGACCTTGATCATGAGAGAAATAATCTTTTTCATTGGCTTTTATAAGACGCACACTCCTTTTTTTGCTTTCTAAAACGTGAATAAAAGGAGAACCCTGTTGATTTTCTATTGTACTTCAAGGAAACTATAGGTGACTTTAACTTGGTGCTCTTTTGGTTGTTAGTTACCTTTCATACCTGTCATTAGTTAAAGCAGAGGGTCCAACTTCTTACTACTACAAACCTGTTTACCATATTTAAATATGTTATATATACATATTGGTTTTCTAAGGACAAAATTAATAAATATTAATTCATTAAAATGAAATGAGCCTGTTTACTGTACTCCTTGACTGAAATACTATTTTTCCTGCTTTTTTCTTTGTAATTTAATATTAATCTAGTGCTGAAATCTGAAAATAGAGCTATCACCAAGTAGTGACACCCATGCATACAGGTATGCATTGTGCACAGCCGTACATGAGCAGACACATTTTTGTTCAATCATTAAAGAGCATATCCCTGTGAAGTAGATACCATGTGCACTTTTTGTAAGTTATGCCATTAAAGGCAAACGTTTCAGAAACCCCCCCTGGGATTGTTTATAATGCGGAGATAATACAGGTTTCATGACATATTATTCCTTTTAAATAATCCATTAGAAGTAGAGTTCCTCTTTGCCATGATGAATGAAGCTAAGAAGGACATAAAACATTTTATTCATTTTTCATAGAAGGGGCATTTTCTGAAAAAAAAAAATTCCCAAAAATGGTTGAAATGAGAAATCACCTATAGGACATAATACAAAGGTTTCAGGCACTACATAAAACTAATGCATTGAAGAATAAATGAATGCACAGCCACAGCTTATTTTTCACATGAAGGTGCTTCACTCTTAAAAGGGGCCAAAGGGATTAATAAGATAAAGAGGCTGGGCCAAGAAGTGAAAAATCCTGTAACTCTCAACAGAATCTGGAAAGTTTGCAAATATGTGAATGTACTGCCAATGTTTATTTTTAACAAAAAGGAACATGATTCCATAAAAAGGAGTTGAAGTGCAAAGTACTCCCACAGTAGCACAACCCTATTTGGTAAAGGCACCCAAAACAAAACAAAAAAATGCATAGCCAGACTTAATTGTGTTCATTTGTTCATGCTGTTCCATCACCCACTGTAAGACACAGATTTCCTGCCTCAACTCAGTAAGGGACACTGATAGATCACCAAATCTATATGGAGTGCAAATTGGAGATTCTATATTATACTGTTTAAACGTAATCACCTTCCCGGATGACTTGACACCTTTACACAAGCAGAGGAAGATGACAATCCAGGCAAGGAAGAGACAGATGAGGAGTTCCCACCTCACTTCTCCCATGTCCTCTATCCCACTTGTCCTCTGTAGCACTCCTCTCCTGTAACAAGACAAAACATTCCTCATCAAGGAGAGATTATTACATGTAACTGTTCTGTTTGGATGGTAGGAACATTTCTGATTTTGTGCAGGTTGCAGGTAAAATATGCAGAATGAGTGTGATGATTTTGAGGGAATATAATCACATCAATTTTTATTTTTTGTTTTTTGAATGTGTACCTGATCTGCTAGCTTGTATCTATGTGGAAATCAACTTGTATACTACACCAAAATACGTCTAGGTCTCACTATTTTTCTCTCAATACTATCTTTCTAAAAACGATTTAAGAAGCATTGAAGTTTTGCTATGAAATAATTTCTTTGGCAGGAACATGGCTTATGTGTATCTTTATTCTGAATGTGTCATTATTTGTGAAACATGATCTCGTATTCTTGCTGAAAGGGCTCAGACGGCCAGGTATTATCCAAAGATGAATAAATGCACACTTTCAAAAATATTTGCATGCACTGACACTGCCTTAAGCTGAAATTCTGAATAATCATGATATTCAGCAAGTTAATTTTGAACATATAAAAGCTGAACACCTCAAACTGCATGTGTGGAATTAATATTTCGCAGTCCCAATCTGTACCTGGGGTTCTTTTCACAGGTTCAATTGATCCAACTGTTTCAACCTCTAATGTGAAAGTGACCTATGTTTGACTTATTCTTTCCAATGTCCAGTGTAATAACAAATCACCACCACCGCTTTATCAAATCAATGAAACCTACAGATTCAGGTAGATGTACAATTAATATTTCAACAATTTCAGCCTCCATAGTCCGATACCGATCATTGATCAATCACAACATCTGATAACTCTCTACTTACACTTGGCTTAAATGTGATTATGATGAATAAATCATGAACCACACAGGTGGTCAGACTAGTACAGAATTTAATTAGAAATCAGTGTGTATTGGTGTTCGACACTAATGGTGACCTTGCTGTTGGAATGAGTCAATGATAAAGACATAACAAACAGTATATGACGACATGTGAATTTTAACGATGGACAATCCTACTTCATTGCAAAACAAGATTGCCACAGGGCAATAAATATCTGTCAGATGCTTAAGTGAAATACATTATTGTGTTGAAAAAAATATCTTAGCCAAATGTCACCAAGAAGGAACTACTCTGTGTGATTATATCATAAAGCCAACCAAGGGTAAAACTAGTGGATTAAAATCTAAGGAAGGGGACCTCGAGATTAGATAAACAAGAGGTTCGTAGGGTCTGTATTGCTCCTCTAGTTTAAGCAGACTCGTTGAAGGAATGACTTTCACATCAGTTCTAGAATACATTTCAGGATACAAAATGGTTCTTTTTCTGTTTACTTGTAAAAATAGCCTTAAAGGTTTTTGTTCCAAACCAATTCCTATTTCTGCAATCAGTTAAGAAAATATGTTCAGCCTGTTGGGCCTCTTCCCTTGAGCTCTAAATTCTGACCAAATCATATAACCCCTTTGGTATAGAAGACATTAAAAAGTTTGGTATCCTGTAACAGGTGCCTATCATGTCAAAGGGACATAACTCAATAAGGGGCAGGATGAATACAAGACAAAGCAGCAAAGCATAGTACCCTGCCGAATACGAAGCAGAATGCTAAAAATGACTGCAGTTGAACCCATGCGCCAAGTAAGAATTTCCAGTTTCCAGTGACAAGAAGTCAAACATAGAAGATAAAGCCAAGATATAAATTCATTTTGATGAAGGTCAAAGGTCAAAATGAAGGGAAGACGGAAAAGGTGGATGGGCTGACGAGTCAAAGGACACGAGAATAGACAGACACAGACATGACACAAAACTTCATTTTCATCCGGGTCCCAGTATTGGACTAAAAGTTGTCCCCAGTTTGACAACACCACCGTGTAATCATGCCAAATGTAATTGATCTAATATTCAAAGTATTTTGAGTTAAACATATATACAGAAGTCTCATTTCAACAATTATTTATACATAAAATATGTAAATTGAAGAAAAAACTATATATATATGTATATCAATACCATGCATATTAGAAACATGTCACACAGTTGCCATTCCTATAAAACTGAGGCCACTTACTCCCAGAATTCCTCACTGGCTGTCATCCTGTTAGTAACACTCTGAACAGCAGCAGACACATTTCCAGCGACCAGAGAAGAATTTCCTGCTGTGACATGGTGAGATGACGTGTTATGAGCAGTCAAGGTGCGGTTGAAATTATTCGTTGTTGTTGTTTCATTGTTGGCTTGCGTTGTGGTATTGAGGCCAGTACGTATGTAACACTGTTCTGTATTCCACCAGTTGTTGCATGTGCTCCAAGGTAAGACAGCTCGAAGAGAATGGTACAAGTAGTAGAGGGTCCAGGAAATGATGATGTTGTAATACACACACACAATTCCGGAAATTATCACCATACCATACCCAACACCTAAAACACAAAGGTCAAAGATCACTACACAATTACTTAAGCATAAAACATGAAGGTCAAAGGTTGATATGTATACACCATACAAACATATACATCAAGGTCAGCAATTCATCCCCACAAACACAAAGATCAAGCGCCAGTAAGGTAAACCATATCCAATACCTGAAATACAAAGGTCAAAGGTTGATTCACTTCTCCCAGTACCCTAAACACAAAGGTCATGGGTCAATGCACAATACCAACTGCCTAAAACACATTAAGATCAAGGGTCAATTCACCATTCCAAACACATAGTTCAAGGGTCAGTAAACCATATCCAATGCTTTTAATCCCAAGGTCAAGGGTTGATTCACAATACCCTCAGATGAAACACAATAAAGGTCAAGGGTCAATTCACCATTTAAAATAGCTAAAACACATAGGTCATTGGTCAGTACAACAGTACGTAACAAACAATACTTGAAGCATTTGAGTCATTGGCAAAAACAGGTTAATTATTCCATGTTTAAACATGAATTGTGCATAGACTCCTTAATTGACTTAACTGACACATATGTAGCTGAAAATTTGTTTTTAATGCCATCCGAGTTGGGGGTAGAACCACAAGACAGCTACCCCCCACCCCCATTTAGTTTATGAAAGTTCATTTTTCTGTATACTGTGTCTTTGCAAACAACTGTAAAATCCTACACAGAATTCTGGTTCATGAGTTACCTATTTACAGACATATCTCCCTCCTAAACTATGATCAATCATGTCAGCAGTGCAGGTTAAATGTGAGTCTGACCTACTGGAGAATTTGTCAACACCTGTCTCTGAAATCAGTCATGTTTATAATACCAACATGGTTGACAGTTAACACTGGTACATCATATGTAAATATTTTGTCTATCCTAAAAGGTCTTTAACCTTTATTGTACATCATTTTCTGGCATTTGAATAAACTGCACATATCCCGCAACACTGAGTGAGTGCTGTTGGTTGGGAAAAATAATTTACATTTCTTTATTTATTCAATCTTCATCTATAACAATGCTCTCTTTCTTTGTATTTTAGTCATGGTTATGCTGTAGCTTAGTTATCATAAATTAATTTTGTTTGTTTCAAATGCAAACAAGATTTGATTTAAATTGGACATTTAAAAAACCCACTATGATAATATGTATAGGCTATACAAATGGTGACAGCATTGATCTATTGAAACACTGGTGACAGCCACAGGTAAAATAGGAGACAGGAAATTTCTTAAAAGATTGTGTGTGCGGTTAGATGATAAATGATCACAATCAACCTTTTCCTGTGGGCATACGTTTAAGTATAGCACTTTATATCAAGCATTTAAGGTGCCTAAAACTTCCCTAACATTTCTACATTGGCCTAAACCCATTTATGATGAAAATGGCAGGATGACAAATATGGAGGAGGTGACAGAGAAATTTATCTGATGAAATGAAGGAAGACAAATATGATGAAATGGGATGACAAATATGTGACAGAGAAATTTATCTGATGAAAAGAAGGATGACAAATATGGAGGAGGTGACAGAGAAATTTATCTGATGAAATGAAGGAAGACAAATATGGAGGGGGTGACAGAGAAATTTATCTGATGAAATGAAGGATGACAAATATGGAGGAGGTGACAGAGAAATTTATCTGATGAAATGAAGGAAGACAAAATGGAGGGGGTGACAGAGAAATTAATCTGTTGAAATGAAGGATGACAAATATGGAGACAGAGAGACTGCATAAAAAGGCCAGGATACTATTACAGGCAATATCCTGCATTAGTTTTGTAACATCCAAGTGGTTAGATGGAGGACCTGACACAGCCATGTATTGAATAGGAAGTCTTACCATATTTATCCTACAATATTACCCACTGAGCCAGCGGTCACAACATATCATAAGAGAAGCAGAAGTTAGAATAGAAAGTGTAAGTGACCAGTTAGCTCAGTAGGTAGAGCATCCGCCTAGATTTTGGAAGGTCCTTGGTTCGAACCCCGGTCTGGCCACACATTTTCCCGCTCCTGTTGCAGAATAGCTCTGATCTGTAATTTCACACTAAGCAGAAGTCTTACCATATTTATCCTACAATATTACCCACTGAGCCAGCGGTCTATCTGAGAAGCAGAAGTTAGCAAAGTGTAAGTGACCAGTTAGCTCAGTAGATCTAGATTTTGGAATTTCACACTAACATTTTCCCGCAGCAGTGTATTTTCACACTAAGCAGCAGTGTATTTCAGTTTATTTATTACCAAGAATATTGCAGGACATATACTTGACACACAAATACCTTATTAGAAAATACAAGAGATCCCAGGAGATATTGATCATTATGCTCTTAATATGAAATTTGACAATTTTATCTCCAAGAAACAGCTACAAAAATAATTAACTGAAAAATTCAAGAAGGTCATCTGTCGGGTACTTATTTTTTTTTTTATCAGACCAAAAATTGAAAGGGCAGAAATATAGGGACAACAGGTAAAATTACAAATGAAATTTAAGAAAGATGTATATGGTACTAGTACTTTTCAAGAAATAATAGGTTAAAGACTGATGTCAGAGTGATGGACCATGGTCAGTGAATGTAAGGCAATTTGATCAGCCCATTATCAGATGATGGTGGACCAACAACATGCACCACTGTAGGGCGAGATCTCTTAATGCAACCTTGACAGTACAAGAGGCCTGTGATTCCCTATACCTGTGTAATCTCATACCCTAGATCTTTACCTAACATTGCGAAATCAGTTGAGCTACACTACAATGACCCCCTAATGGCTAAATCATATTACTTTAGAATGTTGTTATCATGCTAAGTGTGAAAATGGAATATATTGGCAATAACAACACCCACGCTTAAGATTCACAGTCACAAAGATCGTTTCACAGATTTTAAACTCTTTTATCTTTTTTACAGATAACAATTGATCACTAAAAACATACACTGTGTGTATACTTGTGTCCTAGCTATCGACACAAACATTAAAACCTGTAGAGAAAGCCTCAAAGGTTCCATACTAATAAGTACACTGCCAGTATTAATGAAAGGGGAAATAATGCACATGCACCTTTCACCCTGTTGCCAACAGGATAGATATAATGCTGGGTGGAACCATTATACAAGGACTAATACCACTGACGTCAGTGGCAGTATGGGAATACAAATATATTAAAAGTGATAGCTTCATAATATCTCTATAAAATACAGTGCTGCCATAACATTTTATATAAAGATTGATATTAAGTTGATATCATCATTTCCTTGTCTACCATACTTATCCCACATTAACTCTCGGTAAACAGTAATATTCAACATAAAACAGAGGAGCATGGGTCTCTTACTGCACAATTATACAACATCTACCGAGATATATTGGCATGGTGGGTAAAATATCATGCATACATAGACTTATTTGTCTGCATGATCAGAACAAGAATGTAAACTAATTTTTTTTATGGCTCCAGATATTTCAAAAGTATTATATTGTTAAGATAAGGCAAACACACATTTTCCCTATTTTTGTCTACATCAAAAACAGTGATGATGTGTACATATAATGATAGCTGATAAATGAGAGATTTTTCTGTTTACACTGTCTCCCAGGTTCTTCCTCCATGACGACCAGTTGACAACTGACATACAGGAGAACAAATCCCAAATAACATAATTAAATTTCACCTCATTCGTAGCATAATTATAATATTTCTAGACATTATCTGTCGGATAGATTACAATATCATTGCTGTCATCATTTTTTAAAAATGAAAAACATCAATCACTTTTTTTTTTAAAAAATGATTATGCGATGAATGAGATATGAACCTGGTGGTTGTAAAATATCTAGTAAAAAACATAAATCTTATCAAAAAGATGAAAATTGAAGATAGAGAATGTAGCTGATTAAATTGTATATCATTTGAAATAGCCAATCTTATTAATATATGCTTTAATTTAACAGGTAACCATATCGTGATCCTTCCTATCCATAGATTATAGGATCTAAGCCTAACTGCAGATCATTCCATGATTTCAGTAATAAAATATTTCATGAAAATGGAAACCAGAGATCTAATACAGATTTTTTTTTTAAGTGAGAAATTTTCTGGACAATTTACTTTGTTCAATGCAGCAGTGTGACTGTCCAACAGTTTTAAATTCACCTGGTGATAGTTGCTATGGCCAACATTTCCGGCTTTTTTTATAATTTATACAGGAAGAATACAGAAGTAAAGCACAAGGAAGTATTAAGCTGTAACATTCTTCCTTAGGCAAATCAAATGAGATAAAAAAAAATTCTCAAATCACTACAGTTTATGTATTCAGATTATGCATACTTCAAACAAGAAGTGCGGAGAGCTTATATAACTTCACCTGTGGTAATACCTTTAAGTCTTGATTCCGCGACTTTTCATTGCACATGAGATTTTACAAAACTCATCTTGAAGTTTTACTTTTTGCTTGCTAAGTCTAACAAAAATAAAAACATCAAAGATGAGTTTCATAAAACCTAATTTGAAAAGGAAACTCATTTAAGATTGTATATATCTTAATTCCTTCTTCCAACCAAAATTGGGGGATAGTTTTGTTATGACTACAGTATTTACTCTGCGATAACTAATTCCTGGTAATAAGCCCACCCACATCTACTGCTGTTCATTAAATCTTGCATTCCCTGACATTGGGTTATACATGAAATATTTAGCCCTTTTTATTTATGTAGACCACCAAAATACATTGTGTATCATGAGATGAAAAACGCCTGTTTCCATTAGACTGTATAAAGGAAATGGATTATTGAAAACGGTGATAAGGTTGCATGTGAATATCTAGATGAACCAGATCTTTTTTCTTCACATGATAATCAAGAAAACAAGATTAAGATAGTACAACTTTCCAAAATACAACCTTTGTTTTCCACAGCAGACGGGAGAGAAAAAATACTGATTCATGTTTATTGCAAGAGATGTTCCCCAGAGAGATGGGTAATTACGGCTGAGAATGCTGAGAAACCACACGCTGATAGTTGTAGGATCACAGAGTTATTCTGTTTGAAGTTATAAAAGGCCACAACAAATAAATTCTATGTCTTCGGTCATACATTAACAAGTTTGGATTGCTGGGTATATATTACTTTAGTTTAGTTTGACTTCAACAGTACTTGTCTCATCATCATTTACTGACATGAAACATTGTGTAGCATAAACATCTTCTCTGTCTGAAAATTGATTTAATGCTGGAAACAGTTTTTGGTCTCTTCCTTTCTTCTTTGGGCCTAAGGCCAAAACGTATGTACAAGCTCATCTTTCCTGCATCACTGTAACCTATTTGTTAAATATGTCTTGCCTGCATCTTTTCTCTATGAAAACAGAACAATATTGTTTTCATCTAAACCAATATCCAGTAGTTCTACAATGTAATGACAGCATATCTTACTTCTCACCCTGTTGTGAAAAATCATTTCCATCAATAACAGTAGCCTTGCCATTAAACAGCACTGCTATCTCTTCATTCAGAAATAAAATTTAATATCTTTTCTTAATATATGTGTATGAATTATCATTAATATCATTACATTCTTAACAGCCCGTCAACACATAAAAGGTCATTAGGGCCATCAACCGGTAAAACACACAGCGATCCAAAAAGGAAATAACATCAAACAAACTAAAAGGTAATGGACAAATGCTGAAAATCTTAAATGGTTATATTATCACAAAATATTAAAATGGTGAGTCATATTCTATAATATAGACCAACATCTTTCAGATGGCCTAGAATTTTATAAATCTCAACAGTTTCAAAAAGGGTCTTCAGACTTGTAACTTTACGATAATGTGTATTAATTAAAAACACTATCAAAGATGTTGGATGAAAGATAATATCCTTATTTCTTTATTCAGAAGAAATCATGACGTACATGAAAAGATTTTAAATATTATCAAATATGGCAGATGGAAAATAAATCCTGATATCTTTTTCTTAAGAAACCATGATGTATAGTACTGATATCTATTCACTTCCATTAAGTGAACTGACACTGAGATAGTGACTGTCTTCTATAAACTCCTTACACTATTAATGAACAACACAATACCTGTATACATAGCAATTAGCAACTCGGTCCCTAAATAGACGGAGTCAGCATTTATTTCTTTAAAAAAAATGTAAAAACCGAGCAAAATATTCCTTGTATATGCTTTTCACAATACATGTAACACTGCATTTCTCCCACACATACCCTCTCGTGGGCATACATTATGTAAAAACCAAGCGCGCCACCCAACCTGACAAGCCTAAATAGGCAAAGGCAGGTGTACCAGCTCTGCAATGCTTGAGGTTTGTATTGCTGGGATTTCTAACAAAAAAAAAAAAAAAAAATGCCTGTGATTCACTCAAAACCATTCTAATCTAAATGATATTTATCAAAGGACCAATAACGCTCTATTCAATAATTGGATAGCTTTGTAAAACTTCGGCTCTGTTTGGCGTCCAACTCTAGAGTGGAAACCTTGTACCCTAAACGTGTACTATACGACATACGTATCTCAATTTCATTGGTCAAAACCTTTCCACACGAAACAACTAACCCGTTTACATGCATTCCGTGTATACAGGACAAATATTTCCCGCTATTCTCCGAAACGCAGGAAATTTAAAAGTATCCTCGACAAAGGCATAAATACAACCCAACACTATTGTGATTCTTTACATGATTATGCAATACCCATTTCATCTTAATCGGCTTGTCTAAAATCACATGGATTCCACTGAATTGAATATAACAACCACAATGTTCTCAATATCTTCACCGAAGTATTAAATTATAAAGCCACAGTTTGAAATTTATGAATTTTTGAATTTTTTTAAATATCCATTTAAACTGGCTCGTGTCATTATATGGACCGTGAAGGACAAATAATTCGATAGACATCGCAACCCCTCTGAGCTATGATTGTTGATGCATACATCCCGTCTGTATCAGAAATAACGTTAAAAAAGATTTCTCCACCAAGCACTGCTGGCTCCTTACTGTGTCTTTTTAACAAAATCACCCAGACTTCAAGATAGAAATCTTATTCAGAAAAAGATCAGGTTGGATAATTTTAATCAATCTGAAAATCTGCTACAATGATGACAATTTTACTGCTTAAATCACTCCCAGTATTAAGGTCACTTGGTTTAAGCTTGACAAACCTGTATCAGGTGTGCTTTCAATGCGCTCATAATATGTTCTGGTGCAACAAATATATAGTGCCTTATGAAGAATGCTGTTCTACTAAAGGGCATATCAAATGCATATAATGTATTTCAGCAAACAACCTGGATAGAAAGAAGTTAACACAGCCATGAGGAGGAAAGTGTGCCTGAATATCAAAACACATTCGATTTGATGAAGAAAATTGGGTGTTAAAAGTATTTATATAATGAGCTTACCCTTGAATAGTGGACAAATCCTCCAGATAGTGATTGGACTAAGGCTGGCAAACTGTCCAAATATCACCTCCATGAAAAACAGAGGGATTCCACACAGCACCAGAAATATGGTATAGGGTATGAGAAATGCCCCTAGAAACAGTATAAAATTAACACATTAGAACTACAAGTTACCATGACAATGAGAAATGTCCCTAGAAACAGTATAAAATTAACATGTTAGAACTACAAGTTACCATGACAACGAGAAATGTCCCTAGAAACAGTGTAAAATTAGCACGTTAGAACTACAAGTTACCATGACAATGAGTAATGTCCCTAGAAACAGTATAAAATTAACACATTAGAACTACAAGTTACCATGACAATGAGAAATGTCCCTAGAAACAGTATAAAATTAGCACGTTAGAACTACAAGTTACCATGACAATGAGTAATGTCCCTAGAAACAGTATAAAATTAACACGTTAGAACTACAAGTTACCATGACAATGAGTAATGTCCCTAGAAACAGTATAAAATTAACACATTAGAACTACAAGTTACCATGACAACGAGAAATGTCCCTAGAAACAGTATAAAATAAGCACGTTAGAACTACAAGTTACCATGACAATGAGTAATGTCCCTAGAAACAGTATAAAATTAACACATTAGAACTACAAGTTACCATGACAATGTGTAATGTCCCTAGAAACAGTTTAAAATTAGCACGTTAGAACTACAAGTTACCATGACAATGTGTCCCTAGAAACAGTATAAAATTAACACATGTAATGTCCCTAGAAACAGTATAAAATTAACACATTAACTACAAGTTACCACATGACAATTACCAGACAATGTGTCCCTAGAAACAGTATAAAATTAACACATTAGAACTACAAGTTACCATGACAATGAGTAATGTCCCTAGAAACAGTATAAAATTAACACATTAGAACTACAAGTTACCATGACAATGAGTAATGTCCCTAGAAACAGTATAAAATTAACACATTAGAACTACAAGTTACCATGACAATGAGTAATGTCCCTAGAAACAGTATAAAATTAACATGTTAGAACTACAAGTTACCATGACAATCAGAAATGTCCCTAGAAACAGTATAAAATTAACACATTAGAACTACAAGTTACCATGACAATGAGTCCCTAGAAACAGTAATGTACAAGTTACCTAGAAACAGTATAAAATTAACACATTAGAACTACAAGTTACCATGACAATGAGTAATGTCCCTAGAAACAGTATAAAATTAACACATTAGAACTACAAGTTACCATGACAATGAGAAATGTCCCTAGAAACAGTATAAAATTAACATGTTAGAACTACAAGTTACCATGACAATGAGAAATGTCCCTAGAAACAGTATAAAATTAGCACGTTAGAACTACAAGTTACCATGACAATGAGTAATGTCCCTAGAAACAGTATAAAATTAGCATAAAATTAACACATGACAATGAGTAATGTCCCTAGAAACAGTATAAAATTAACACATTAGAACTACAAGTAACAATAGACAACAAGAAATGCTCCTAGAAACAGTAAAAGAATGAAATGTAAGGACTAAAAGTTACTGTAAAGGATACGAAATGCTTAAAGGAATGGTAAAATTTAAACTATTAGAATGAATATAAAAGTAGGGGATGATTAATGCTTTTAACTTCATTCACCTGAAGTCTATCTCAAAATCTACATTCACATCTTCATAGAAAATAATAGTAAATATCAAAACTAATTGAATTAATATTTAATTGATTAATTTCTTATTTCAATTAACCACTGGGACAATTTTACACATACCTCCTCCATTTTTGTAGCAGAGGTAAGGGAACCTCCAAATATTTCCCAGACCTATGGCATAACCGATACAGGAGAGGAGGAAATCCAGTCGCCCTGACCAATTCCCCCTCGAAGTTTCATCTGTACTCTCTGAACTGGTCGAGCTGCTACTGGAGTCATTAGAAGATTGTTCCAAGGCTTTCTGTGATAGAAAAACACACAGGTTATAAGTACACATCTGGATTGCGAAAGTTCATTAATCACATAACAAACATAATGACAAATATAATGTGGAAAGATGAATGTAACAGAACTGTACTGGATTAATCAGCTGTTAATTAGATGTGCTGTCATCCGAACAAACCTGAAATATGATGACACATCTAATGAACCATAACTAGTCAACACTCTTTGATTAAAGCCAATCAACCCAGTATGATGTTGCTACGGTCACTTTTTACAGCTAGATTCTTGTATTTCTTGTAGAATCTGTCTGCTGGGTACCACAGAACTCTGATGCACTTTGTACATGGGCGTTCCACCAAATAGACATAAATCACATGGTGACAACCGTGTGATATCTTTTCGGAGATGCAATTGTGAACATGCAAAGTGATACAAGTAAATAATCTCACAGTGCTACGGTATGACAATAGATCTGGACTTCTGAAAACAAAAGACACTCCTCCGTCATGTTAACGTTTATTGTTTTATAAAACAACTATTTACCTAAATCTACATGTACAGTACTTTTTCTTTCTACGTCTACCATACATTTTATGTAGTAGTAGTAATACTTTCACAGAAAGAAGATTATGCAAGTGATGCGTGTGAGTAGACTGGGGAGAAAAAAAAGATCAGTTATTATATTTGAAGGAACTAATAGCAGATTTAAAAGAGGCGAGTGCTGTAATAGATGTCAAGTCAGGAGGGAGGGAGTTCTACAGAAGAATTGTTCTTGGGAAGAGGTTTTCTGAGCAGTGGTTTTATAATACATACAGCTATAATGTAAATATATGGTAAAATTCTGGGATGAAGATATTTCAATCCCTTGAGTGTTAAATTCTGAAAAAAATTGTGTTTGGTAAAGGAGATGTACTCTAATGGAGGTCTAGCTGTAGCGTGTTTGGTAAAGGAGATGTATGTGCTCTAATGGAGATCTAGCTGTAGCATGTTTGGTAAAGGAGATGTATGTACTCCAATAGAGATCTAGCTGTAGTGTGTTTGGTAAAGGAGATGTGTGTACTCCAATAGAGATCTAGCTGTAGTGTGTTTGGTAAAGGAGATGTGTGTACTCCAATAGAGATCTAGCTGTAGCATGTTTGGTAAAGGAGATGTATGTGCTCTAATGGAGATCTAGCTGTAGCGTGTTTGGTAAAGGAGATGTATGTACTCTAATGGAGGTCTAGCTGTAGTGTGTTTGGTAAAGGAGATGTGTGTACTCCAATAGAGGTCTAGCTGTAGTGTGTTTGGTAAAGGAGATGTATGTACTCCAATAGAGGTCTAGCTGTAGCGTATTTGAATTCTATAACAGTCAGCTAATGAATTCTGACAGTTGATTTTAGACTGGTTCACTGCTCTGGGTATTGTACCATACACTGTTAATAAGGTGAACAAAAGTACTTCTGATCAATGAACAGGTCACTTCTAACAGTCACATCACTGAATCCTCCTACACATATGGTAAGCTCACCTGTAGTGGCCAAATTAGCAATAGGATATGGGGCTTCCTATGGGGTTCAAATGAAGACCGCATATTTTAATATTACTATAATCAGGAAAATTAATTACCTGGAAAGAAAGTTCATGGTATAGCCCACAATTTCTTTGGAATCAACACTGGAGATTTGTTTTCATGAATATTTCAGAGACAAGGTCTGATTGGCTAAAAAAATTCCATTGTATGGTAAGCATCTGAGCATGACCCTTAACCAGTCACCGTAAGATCTTCATAATGCATCTGATAATGATGGTCAGTGTCTTATTCAGATTGGTATTAAACCAAACTTGATCAATACATTTTAAAAGCATTTGATAGAATGCATATAGAACAAAGAATAAAAAAAACCCAAAAATGACATTATTTCTATCATAACAGATTATCACACAAACTTCAGGGGCTGTAAGATCTCTGCTTCTCCATATGTTCTATTAAGATATATATCACAGGAAAAGCAAGCTTTGTAATTCAGTTAATTAAAAAAACAACTAGAATTATTACCATATATAAAAAAAACCATCACACATACATTAATTAAGGTAAGTAATCATGATATACATTATAAAAAAAACTGACAGTGTAAATTAAGTTTTCATAAAAGCCCACAGTTCAGTACAAAGTAATTTCAAGCTTGTTTTCACAAAGTATGTATGAAACATAGCGATAATGACTGGTGTCTGACAATAATTAATGAAACTGTCTCCCAACTACTGGTGGGGCAAGCATACAATCACAAAATTAGCATAAGAAACAGGATATGAAATGATGATGTTATAAATCAAGTTTTAGTAAAATATCCTTCAAACAACATCCAGGAGTGAGGGTTCACAAAATGTATATGTGAAGATTAATTGGGTTTATAACAGTGTATCCTGGATGCCAAAACAACTCCATCAGAATCAGCCCTCTAATAAATTAGCTATAGACTTTGCTTTTATTTAGCTGTCAGCGGATCCATGCAGATTTATTTGCAAGACAGGGATAACAAAATTACATTGATATTATAAACAAAACACTACAGGATTATTACAAGAGGCCCAATGAGCCTGTATCGCTTAAATGGTGTTCGGTGATCATCAAATATAGAATATACAGAAAATATATTGACATGCACCATTGGCATTCAATGTGGGCACATCCAATGAATTGTAACCAATTTCCAAAACAAACAGCTTCTAATACTCAACTCTAAGCAATGACAATTACGACATGGTTTAAAAATAAATGCCATTTCTTTTTTTTCTCTCAAAATTTGTTGCAATTTGACCCAGAAACGCATTTCTACCAAATATCCTGCTTCTTGGATTTTTGGTTTACAGGTTTCAACAAATTCAATTCCAGTGACCTTATATATAGATCAAGGTCATTTTTTTATCGGGCTTTATCCTAGGAATGTTCCAGCCAAATATCGTGTCTCAGGCTTCTTGATTGTTGGTAAGAAAATTTTAAAGAAAAAGTTGACGACAGGCGAACGGATGCTGCACCAATGCATAAGCTCACTAGGCCCTTTGGACACATGAGCTAAAAACAGAACTGTTATTGAATGTTACAATCAATACCATCTGTATCCCTTTTGCTAAATACGGTTTCCGTGACAAGCATACTTCAATGTGCTGAAAGTCATTTCTGAACGCAGTTTGACATAATTCAAGATGAAACCAATTCATATGAAAAATATCTTAGACTTCTGTTTTTTTTAATAAACTTTGCTGTCGTTGTACATTTTAACTACAAAAGGAAATATGCTATGTCATTTAGTCGAATACTTGTTTGTGGACTTTATTTTGGGTCAGCATGATTGATGCTGTTAAACAAGTCTTAATCATGACCACTATCATTTTGGATTTTAAGACGAAGTTGTTTTTCAAGATGTCATAATATTTCATCACTGACCTTGAAAGCGGACTAAGGTCATTCATTTGAACAAACTTGGCAGCAGACCTTTTGTTAATTATAGGCTTCACACCATATGAACTATTAAAAGTTGATAGGCGAGTTAATTAAATTATTCAAAATTGGCTTCAGTTAGACATATGTCAGATTTTTAATCATAATTTAACAGCCAGAATGAGACTAGCTTTAGTTGTTGACATCTATCCACCAGTGGTGAATTAAGTAATGACCAGTGATCAGAGGCATACTGATGTTACTTAAACTACTACACATGTCTATGTATTAATTAATTCCCTAATTACATAAGTTATTACCTAAGCTCTATCTAGGCAGTTTGTATGAAGGCCAATGGGTACTTATCCGGTAGAAAATAATTTAATCAATGACCATTCTCAACCATTGTGAACCATTCTCATCCTTCTCACCATTCTCGACCAATCTCAACATTCTCGACCATTCTCACGTGTGTTGATGTCGTGTATTAACTTGTGTATTACTCATTCTTTGTTAGCCTGTTTATCTATTCTGTAAAATTAATTAACCAACAGTTTCCTAACATTTGGGTATAAATACAATATGTACAGCCAGCATGCATGGGTTCCTGAAGTTATGTGAGTGTTGCCAACTCTACATAGCCAACACTTCAATAAACATACAAAAACCCAAACAGTGTCTGGACTTCAACTTTTCATTGGAATACAAAACTGCATTTTACATGTTCCTTCACCTTCTGAAGATAAAAATTTCACCTCATTTGATACACATGCACATATGTATGTGATCTTAAAACTAGGTCAAGCTAATTATCCAATTGGACACTTAAAACTTAAGGAAAAGCCATCTCCTGTAGTGTGTACATGCACATATAAACAAATCTTCACTACGTGCATGTCACCACAACTATGCAGTTTTCCTAAAGGATAGTGAGATATCAACAAGAGAGTATACTGCAGACAACTAGAGAACAGATCTTCAATACCTGAGTTTATCAACACACTACCCTCACATCTGAAAATCCAGCAGGATTTCTCTCATCACTGGTCTTTGACAATTCAAACTGTCCTTGAACAGATATATTATAGCTAATGATATCCCAGTTAGCTATTTCTTTTCATTCTCAAAATTTCTTTTCACTGGAATAATAAACAAGTACAACTTAAGAAATCCCCGAGAGATCTTAGAGACCATTACTGCATGATCTATCTAGGTTCAACATATCATATAAGTGGGGTCCTCTCTAAATTCCTTGTTCTTAACTTTTCTTTACATATTGTCATGTTTTAACAAATTTTTCTTCATATTGACGTGCATCAATCAAAACGACACTTTCAAATATTTTCTGATGGACTGATAATCAAAAACGAAAGGAAAACAGTTGATTAAGGAAATGAAACCAATTTATTAATACACGAAGATGATAATCGTTACAGGTATAACAGGGAGAGATGTTTGTTTTGAAGTACTTTACAGCTAGCAGCATTGAAAGGCTAAGTACGTATCCATGGTATTTCTGTATACATACCAGTGAAATAAGGCTTTCACTACAGCTACCCAACTGTAAAATACTGACCTGTTTCTACCCATGTGTTTCAACCCAGATTTGAGTTTGCCTGTTAAGCATCAATAAATGATGTAAACATACAACACTGGCGGTGAAATGTCTAGAAAAATTCCTACTCTTTTTTACCGAACACAATATCATACGATAAACAACTCACTTTAACACAAAGTCGAGCCAACTGCAGCAATCAGGACCACACAACGAAATAATCAGACATGGAAAAGTACCAGCCAATGGCTACTGATTTTCTCGTTTTCAGATACAATCACACATTCAGAATCATGATGATATATATAAATTAGTATAAAATCCTATCACAACACCTGCAATTCAAATTTCATTCACAACATTTTCTTTCAACTTATTCAAAGCTTCTAAAAAGAATAAATTGATTTTACAATATTTTCAATACAAAAATGAGATAACTCAAACTATTTTACAGTTAATCAGTTATATTTGATTAATTATATGCGTTAGTTGTCAATCATGAATGAAATTTGAACCTCTCCCTACCACCTTTTGGTATGAATATCAGATTGGAAGAATTCAAGGTAAAGAACAATGTGTTTTTTATTTCACCGATGTGCAGGTTGAAGCATGATCACCTGAGAAGGGTAGTAGTGCATTCCTTTACCAGTAGACATGACTGTTGTATCCAGTATTGATGAATATGATTATACAATGTCATTGTCTGCTGTAAGACTGAATTAAAAATAGACATAAAAAAAACATTAAATAAATAAACAAATGAACTAAATAAACTGTAGAAAAACAGGATTGGTACCATCAGAGATGTATATAACCATCATGAATCACTGTTTACAGGTATCAATTGACAATAATAAATTCTCGTCAATTTTCATTGATAAACTTTTACAATTTACGTCCATGACAAAGACGAAATAAATTATTTCATTTCTTTTGATCTGTGTTAAATAATCAACCTAAAGGAAAAATTTCCACTGATTCAGTGCTGCCTTTTTCAAAAAGGTGACTCATAAATGGATTTGCCATGAAAATTCCACAACAAAGGAATATAAAATTTTACACAGAAAGATCTCCATAATGGTGGAAAATGAATATTTGAGGAAACTGTATGTCCGAAATGAAATAGAAATATTGAATAACTCCCAAGTAAAACCGAATGGAGTAACATATTGTTCATCAAGCAGCTGCACATTCAGGCATTTCATAATTAGGCGTTTTACACACGTGTATTCTGCAGTTTAACATAATTTTAACCTACCTCTTTTTCTTCCAAAAGTCCTAAATCAGCTGTGACAAATTCGTCTGAAGATATACGTGATTTACTCATTTTTTCTCCTGGTCTTCAAATAATTAATTCCAGTTTCAAACACAATAGAAGCTCGCATGAAGTCTCTCTCTCGAACAGGAATATTGATCAATGCAGATAGCGTATCGTCTGCTTTAGCACGTGTGTATGCGTCGATCACAAAGGTTGTCTACAGTGCGAAGGCGGTTTATGCTAGGCACTGTAAACCGGTCAGTGGTGGTCGTGATACATTATACATGGTGATACCAGGAAATCATTCATGCCGGAATACAAATAAATTCGAGTGTCAAATTATACTATTGCAAGAAATAATAACATGATCGGAAGGCTTATTTAGTCACATTTCCACCAACAATACACTGTAGTAGACCGGACATGTGACGTTATGAATATTTACTTAAAAAAAAAAACGGAGCACTGTCAGTAAAAATGTAAATATCAACGATAACATCATGTGGATATTGACATTACATTTTCTTCATAGAGACAGAAATAGTAACCGACTACAGCAAATCGAGGGAATGCATCTGCCGGAGGATAGTCAGAACCCTTCGGGCTAACTATTTCATATAAGGTCAAACTGACTGCCCGCTGGCCTGTAAACCTTCCCCGCCGCCCAGTTACACTTCATATTAGTCCTTACAAATGTTTGTTAAATTTATTGTTGTGTTTCTAGATCGTATAATTGCTCTTTCTGGTGTTTTCGATGTTCCCAATAGCTTTACGATGACAATGAGAAACTATTGTTATCATTATATCGTTCGGAAACATCAAATGTCCTGGTAGGGTTGTTTGATGTTTTCCGTGAACGCTCGTTAACCCGATATTTGCATCGTTACAAGGATAATAAGACCAGATGTTTCCGAACGGCTGGTAACTCCATTTAAAGAACACGGAACACGCTCTGAAATTGAAACCCTGATAAATGTTATATACTTGAAATGATGAATATTTTAAATTAAATTAAACTTTTTAAACTTTAACTTCTCTTAATATTCAAAACAATGTACACGATGAAAAAGCAAACTGAGACATAATGATTACAAGCATATCAAATGGTTTCCACATACATATATACATCTATATATTTTATAATTATAGCTTCGTTGGCGACAACACCTACAGTTTTGTTGTTCTAGCGTCTGTGCTTCTGACGCCGATTGTCAGTACTTCGGGTATGACTGTTGCACATAAGGTTTTCACTTCGAGCAAGATCGTAATGACTCTGACGCTGCACGCTGTGATTTATCATAGGCTCATGAAAACCGAATGTTTGTATCATAATTTATTTTCGCATGAATTATTCTGTCGTTATTTCCACCTTTGAATTAATCTTGATTCGATGGCTTCCAAGAATACACACCCATTCCCCCTCCAACACACACACACAAACACACACCACACGTTGACAAAAAACACGCACCACATTAACACATACGTAATATCCCCTCTCCTCCCACCCCCAGCTTACTACATTGCAAAACCAGAGCTGTCTGCCATTTACAGAATGTTAATCGACATAAAACCACATCATAATTCTCATTGGAATGCACTGCCAATAACAGCACTGTAACGTTCTCTATTCTAACCCCGTCCACTACAGCTACCCGGATACATCTGCACCCACTTTTGTCATCCGCGACAGAATTGCAATTAAGGTTAACATCGACCATTAGTGTCAACCATATGCAGGAAAATAGTGAGTTCGAAGATTTTTTTTTTTTATAAATATGCCCATAACATTTCAAGGAATGCAAAACAAAAATACTTTGGTTATCTTACCAGCTCGTTTTTCCCCTAAAAGACAAATACTTTATTAGTTAAAGATTACTACATTATACACCTAGCAGGCCATTAAAACCTGGGTTATCTCCTCTTGCGACAGAGTTATGACCCCTCAAACTTTTTTTAATCGACCACAATCTACACAAAAGACGTGATTTTATCATAGCTCACTGGGCTTTCAAAATGTTTTCCTGTTCAATGTATAAGACAACAATGCAGACTGTGAGATCCCGGAAGATACATGTTTAATGTGTACATAACACAGCTGTTACCTATTATGTTAACGCAGTACACAAAACACTCCAAAACCATTAACAATACCAAAGAACCAGATGTTGATGCTTAACGGTTTTAATTAATTTACTTCATTATATTTGTTTTACTTTTTACACGAAAAATTAATTTATCAATTGATGTGTTCTGTTCGACATCGATTTCAGTTCAGGACTGACTTTCTGTAACGAAAGCGAAAATGGGATTTTACAAACTGTCAGTTCGTTTTCGGAGTATAAAACAAAACTCGCTTCACCATAGGATACTTCAAACCAAATATAAAAAAAAATGCATCATTCCAATAGAAGAAGAATTTAAAAACCTTTTGGGCTCTATCCCTTTAGCCCCAGGAGGACTAGACCCGCCGCTTATAGTAAAATGATCCCCTTCACACAAGCATGGCTTCGAGTAAATTGGGGTTGAATTCAGACATTCATACAGAAGAGAAAAGATTTTAGATAATTTGCACTTTCTCCCTATCGATCAACACCCTGTGCCACCTTAGGGATCCAAGACCTAACTTTTACATACCCTTTCCCTTTCCCCCAAAGATGCTTCAGACCAAATTGGGACAGAATGCAATTATTCCTACAGGAGCAGTAAGAATTTCCCCATAAGCTCACCAGACCCACGAAGTAGTGGGCTCTTGAGTAAAGAGAGATAACTCTTACATGAACAGATAGAAAAAAGTTAACGTTATAAAACATTACCCATATCTTATTTAAGGAGGAATGTCCTTGGACAGAGCTGAGAATATCTGTCACAGACAAGCTGATAATAATACATTAACATCATAATAAAACACAACTTGCATAAATAACCATCGATATCATTAAGGTAACAGGAAACAGTTACTTTGCATTTTCCCTGTAATAGGTCATGTTTGAGATATATAGGTAAAGCGGAATGGGTATGAAACATGCACTCATACCTATATACAAATTTATAAACTACATTAAATTTACATTGATAGTAGAGAAATAGAAATTGTGTAAATAAAAGAATTCCACTGAAAAAAAATAGTTTGCATATTTCGGTCATTCGTTTTGTGTAGAGTTCGTTGCATTCGTAAAACTTGGTTTTATGAACGATGTTTCCGGAGAAATACAGTAATTGTGTAATGAAATCGGTGTTCTAAATTTTCCTAAAATTGACAAATACTCGAGAGTTTCAATACTTCTTTATAACTCTAACAGTGATTCTGCGTTTGCTTAATTAAACATGCTCTTTCATCTACTGACGACAGAATCTATAAATAAAGCTGAGAAGTAAACGATAACCAGAGATAAATATTTACATTTCCGGTGTGTATCCTCTATATAGACCTACCAACGAAATTGACGTTTACACTTCGGTAAACCTTACGTATGAATACATTGGAGTCAGCTGTTCGGCTATTCCATCAGATGTCGGGTATTCTCGTCTAAGCGAATAATGTCCAAACAATTATAACCGGAATTTTTTAATGCGGTAAATATAAATATAACAAAAAATTAAAATTATTTCTTAAATAAACAGTGACTTTATTCCTCGCTCTAGTTGTACACGTGACCATGCCTTTCTTTTTTTTCAATCAGGGAATGAAACCTCTCATGTTTTTTTTTTCTTTAATTTCATATTGTTGCGAAAAATAATTCTTCAGGAGCGAAATTTATGTAAGGACAAGCAGACAAACCTTTTTTTCCAGTGCCAAACATAGAGATTTTTTTCCAATGTCAAGCATAGAATTTTTTTCCAGTGGCAAAGCTAGAGATATTTTCAAGTGTCAAGCATAAAGATTTTTTCCAGTGTCAAACATGGAGATTTTTTGAGTGTCAAACAGAAATTTTTCCCAGTAGCAAACATAGATATTTTCAAGTGTCAAACATAAAAGATTTTTCCAGTGTCAAACATGGAAATCACATAATTTCTTTCAGACACATCTTCAGTAGGCTCAATAAACTGCTGTATCGATAGCAGATGACGAGCGAGAGTGCAAGCATTGAAGTTAAGCCGATTTTAGAAAATAAAACTGTAACATTTTGAAAATCTAACATTGTTCATATAAAAAAGAGATAGTATGCTTTTACCACATCGGATACATATTTTAGACTTTGTATGGTATAATATAATTTTATCCAAATTAAACTGGAAACCAGATAACTAATTAGTTGGCGTATGCAAACGTGTTTTCTCTTACATTAATCTGCAAAAAGTTTTTACACGTTTTCATAATATTGATTAATTACTTGAATCATTAAAAATTTCTACACGAATGTTAGGAAACGAGCTATTTTGACCAGGCCGAGATTCCTTGTTCGTAGTGCATAGAAAATCAGCGACAATACTGTCGAAAGCTGATAATTAATGAAGCTAGTTGGTGTAGTTGAAATCTTTTCAAAGCAAATAAAGTTTATTCATTTTATATTTCAACACACGACCGCTGCGTTGTTCTAAAACAAGACCAATGATAATATCTTCTTTAAGGTAACACATTCTTGTTAAAGTAGGTCAATGCTGTCTAATGTTTTGAGATCGTAGGTATGTCTTCACGTTTACATTCCATGTAATCTACGCGAGTTAAGAAATTCGATTGATAGAAATTTTTAGATCTCGACATCGTCACCTACCGGAAGGATTAATATTTTCGAGGGACTCCCTTTATCATTATTTTAAAAGATGAAATAAAACCGTAAAAATGGATACTTTAAAATGAAATTGATACACAGATCCATTGCCTTTTTCATTACTACGCGAAAAAAACGAAAAAAACCTCTTTCTTCGATCTGTAGTTAAATCCGCAAAAATTGAAAAAAACCAAACAAATTCACTTTTTCTAACATAAATTCGCCAGTGAACGAAATCATTCTTTTACACTCAACATAAAGTCGAAAATAGGCAATGGCTTTGTATAGAATACACTCAAACGAAGACAACACAACGACAATTTACAAGTGTTTGTTTATTCAAAAAGTAGACATACCAAGCCGAATCCATTGGATTTATCACGAGTGTAAAGATTAACCCGCAAGAATACTGTAAATATTATTACGGCCCAGCTGTTTTTGATTAAGAAGTTTTGGTGCCATGTAAATAAATGACTTGGCCAGATCGCTATTCTAAACTCTTTCCTGCGTGGCTGATTTTGCTCTTTGTCCTGTACAATATCAACCGTGAACTATCTCATTAGATATGTTTTACTTGATATCTAACTCATATGGTTCTGTATGTCCATCAGCTGATCTCTAATATCTGATTTATTGGAAAAGACTATCAAACGATGTCCCTTTTGTTTGATCCCTTTTTTCTGGTGCAAGAAATGTTGGTTGAACGACACAAGGCAAATTCAGAGTACAAGGAGTCAGCGGATGTTTTCAGTGACCATTCCCGTTCGGTTTCCCGTGAAAGACCCTTCCGGGTGAGTTGTGTTTGTCTTCATTCCGGTCCACGCGCAATTCATCCTTCACCGCTATTGTGTCGCACTTGACAATTTCTCAGCGGTCGTGTTATTCAGAGGAACATGACTTCATCTGCAAGACGGAATACGAATTACACATAAGAAATATGTTAAACTATCCTGCTCAAGAAGGGTGACTAACAACTGCTGACATACAAAGGCAAAGTACAACACAATTGTCATTTATACACACAGTCGTTAATCATGTGTGGAGTTTGCATTCCATTGAATATCTGTAGCTGATGAGCGTTGACTGGTAATATCAAATGCTATATAAGAATTAATACCTCTTGGTTATATTCTTCTCTATGAGAAGAAAAACTCACATACAGTCTGAATATGTAAATTTACTCAAACCTGTGTAAAAATATTAAACGTTCTTGTGTCTCTCTACGAAATCTCTTTCCAATTAGTTTAATTTGTGTCCGAATTTTCATGGCATGCGAGCATGCTTGTGTTGTGTGATAGCATGATTCGGTTGGTGCGGTTAAAATTATAATAAAGTGTAAGATATGTTTAAGATATATTGCATTTATTTACACTCGGAATTCGAGTAGATCTCTCTCTGTCTCTGTCTCTGTCTGTCTGTCTGTCTGTCTGTCTCTCTTTCTTAATTAAAAATGATATATACATAATTATTTTTAACCATCTCGTAATGTATATATGCTTTTTCTAAATGAAAGAGCAAGGGCGTTAATAATGTTATTTTGTGTCCAATCCTTTTGCTTAACGACAATAAAACAATAAAATATGTTTAAACACAAAATTATACGTATCAGCAGGATCACATATATAGTATAATGCAAAGCTTAACTAAGAGAACCAAATTAGTCTTGTATTATTGAATGGTTCTACAGTACTAATTGAGAGAGGAAGAAAATTTACATTACCTGATGTTTTTACTCGGAAAGGAATAGATGTGTTCCTTGGAAATCAGTGCCAGTCTATCGTGATGGTGGAAAGCTTTCTTGTCAGTTCTTCTGTGACGTCTACTTTCCTAGTTTAAAGACTAAAACATCGGAAACCTGTTGACATCAGAAGAAATAGTGTTTCTGGGGATAGTTAAAAACAGACGATGTTTTCTGCTCTAACAACAGCAAACCTTGGCTGTACCCTCTTCAGTGACCGAAGCAATCGACAAATACGCCTCTTCTGTGACCAGGCAATCCACAGCTGTGCCCTCTACTGTGACCAATTAATCAACAGCTGAACCCTCTTCTGTGGCCAGTCAATCCACAAATATGACTCTTCTGTGAATAAGCAATTCGGAACCGTACCCTCTTCTGTGTCTGTGACCAAAACAAGCCACAAATACGCCTCTTCTGTGACCAGTCAATCAACAGCTGTACCCTCTTCTGTGACCAAGCAATCCAGAACTGTACTCTCTTCTGTGACCAAAGCAAACAACAAATATGCCCCTCTGTGACCAAACAATTCGGAACTGTACCCTCTTCTGTGTCTGTGACCAAAGCAAACACCAATAATGTCTCTTCTGTGACCAAGCAATTCGGAACTGTACCCTCTTCTGTGTCTGTGACCAAAGCAAACACCAATAATGTCTCTTCTGTGACCAAGCAATCCAGAACTGTACTCTCTTCTGAGACCAAAGCAAACCACAAATATGCCTTTTCTGTCACCAAGCAATTCGGAACTGTACCCTCTTCTGTGTCTGTGACCAAAACAAGTCACAAATACGCCTCTTCTGTGACCAAGCAATCCAGAACTGTACTCTCTTCTGTGACCAAAACAAGCCACAAATATGCCTTTTCTGTGACCAAACAATTCGGAACTGTACCCTCTTCTTTGACCAAAGCAAACACCAATTATGTCTCTTCTGTGACCAAGTAATCCAGAACTGTACCCTCTTCTGTGACCAAAGCAAACAACATATATGCCTCTTCTCTCACCAAGCAATGTGGAACGGTACCCTCTTCTGTGACCAGTCAATACACAAATATGCCTTTTCTGTGACCAAGCAATCCAGAACTGTACCCTCTTCTGTTTCTATGACCAAAGAAAACCACAAATATGCCTCTTCTGTGACCAAGCAATTCGGACTGTACCCTCTTCTTTGATCGAAGCAAATCACATATACGCCTCTTCTGTGACCAAGCGATCCGAACTGTACCCTCTTCTGTGACCAAGCAATTCGGAACAGTATCCTCTTCTGTGTCTGTGACCAAAGCAAACCACAATTATGCCTCTTCTGTGACCAAGCGATCCGAACTGTACCCTCTTCTGTGACCAAGCAATTCGGAACAGTATCCTCTTCTGTGTCTGTGACCAAAGCAAACCACAATTATGCCTCTTCTGTGACCAAGCGATCCGAACTGTACCCTCTTCTGTGACCAAGCAATTCGGAACAGTATCCTCTTCTGTGTCTGTGACCAAAGCAAACCACAATTATGCCTCTTCTGTGACCAAGCGATCCGAACTGTACCCTCTTCTGTGACCAAGCAATTCAGAACGGTACCCTCTTCTGTGTATGTGACCAAAGCAAACACCAAATACGCCTCTTCTGTGACCAAAGCAAACCACAATTATGCCTCTTCTGTGACCAAGCACTCCAGAACTGTACCCTCTTCTGTGACCAAGCAATCCGGAACTGTACCCTCTTCTGTTTCTATGACCAAAGCAATCCACAAATATGCCTCTTCTGTGACCGAGCAGTTCGAAACTGTACCCTCTTCTGTGTCTGTGACCACAGCAAACCACAAATACGCCTCTTCTGTGACCAGTCAATCCACAAATATGCCTCTTCTGTGACCGAGCAGTTCGAAACTGTACCCTCTTCTGTGACCAAGCAATTCAGAACTGTATCCTCGTCTGTGTCTGTGACCACAGCAAGCAACAAATATGCCCCTCTGTGACCAAGCAATTCGGAACTGTACCCTCTTCTGTGTCTGTGACCAAAGCAAACCACAATTATGCCTCTTCTGTGATCCAGCAATTCGGAACTGTATCCTCTTCTGTGTCTGTGACCAAAGCAAACCACAATTATGCCTCTTCTGTGATCCAGCAATTCGGAACTGTATCCTCTTCTGTGTCTGTGACCAGTCAATCCACAAATATGCCTCTTCTGTGACCACTCGATCAACAGCTGTAACCTCTTCTATGACCAAGCAATCCAGAACTGTACCCTCTTATGTGTCTGTGACCAACGCAAACCACAAATAGCCTCTTTTGTAACCAAGCAATCCACAACTATACTCTCCTGTGTGACCGAAGCATAAAGGACATTTTCCCTCCTCGTCCAGATTATTAGGACATGACTCTCTTCTCATCCTGTACCAGTAGAACATATTGCCTCTTGGTCTTTACTCATGGAACTTAATACTCCTATACATGTAGGACATGCCTCCTCATCCTGCCTGTTAGGAAAGGATCCTCCCCATTTCCCATTCCTATCAGGATATCATTCTACTGTCGTCCTGTACCTATAGGACGTGTTTCCTCATCATCCTGACTATTAGAACATGCTCCTTCTGATCGTTCTGCACATTAAGGCATGTCTATACCTCATCCAGACAAGTTTGAATGTACCTCTGGTTCATCATCCTCCCCTTGCCCCATACCTCTGGTTCATTATCCTCCCCTTGCACCGTACCTCTGGTTCATTATCCTCCCCTTGCCCCGTACCTCTGGTTCATTATCCTCCCTTTGCCCCGTACCTCTGGTTCATTATCCTCCCTTTGCCCCGTACCTCTGGTTCATTATCCTCCCCTTGCACCGTACCTCTGGTTCATTATCCTCCCTTTGCCCCGTACCTCTGGTTCATTATCCACCCCTTGCCCCGTACCTCTGGTTCATTATCCTCCCCTTGCCCCGTACCTCTGGTTCATTATCCTCCCCTTGCCCCGTACCTCTGGGACTCTATGATATCTTTGTGTATGATGATCTCACTCCTGTAAATAAACAAAACTAAAATCATATATGATTTATATACATTTTCATTTTCTTTCTCATCGTGTTTCCTATCTTTACCATAGTTTGTCGTAGACATAGCTTTATAGAAATTATTTAGAGTATCAAAACATTTAATTACACTTACCTCATCATAGCCGATCAAAGCGGCACTGTATGAAAAACCTGTTCCACTCTGTATAATCAGGTGCGTCATTAAGGCGTCAAGACTCTGAAACGAACGCAAGAGGGCAGCACCTGGGTCTAATGGTTGCCAATCTGTTGGAATCACGTTGTTTTCTCCCATTGGGCCCCTCCGGTGACTATCAAACAGCCACAATCTATCGTCGTCCTTCCTTCGCCAAACTGCCATTGAGTACTGGCCAATAGTAAGAACCATATTAACGGCTGCCTTTGGGTCCGATTCGAAGGTCGTGACCATGAAATCAGGGAATTCGGGAGACACGGCAGATAATGCTTCGGCTAATTCTCTGCTTTCGTACTGGAAGCAACCGTCGACACTGTAAAGCGTCTTAGCTGTGACTCCTTTTCCTTCCAAGTTGCTGCCACAATTTCCCAACGACAGAAAAGTTGGAAGATTACGCACTCGATATTCCTCAGGAAGCTGATAAACTCCCACCTTTCCATCTATGTGGGTGCTAAGTTTATCAATATTCCTGAACTGATTGTGTTGGCGGTGTCCAAGACGAATGATATCGTCGATATCTTTGGGGGTCCAGGTCTCCGGATGTCTTCGTCTGGCTTGGTAGGCCAAAGCCTCGTATGCCATGGTTGTACATTGCCGGTTAACGAATAAGGGTCCAATGCTGTCCTGACACAGTGTTCCTCTGACTATGACGTCTAAAAAACAAAGACAGAGAACTACATGTAAGTTAGACGGATACGCAAATAACATGTAGACAGATTTTTCTTTTAGTTCAAATATGGTTTGTATTCTTAATTGTGTCCGGTCGGAACAGAAACGCCCAGAGCCTTAGATAAATAAATATCCAAAAATGACATTACATTACTGACTTGGAAAGACTGATTTTCTCAACCAGAAAGTAAAAGCAGCGCTGGCAGTCTGTAACACGCAATTAAGGTAAATGTCTTGCCCTAGAATACATGTTAGTACAGACCGATTGTTTCTAAGCGTCAAACTTAACCAGCGCTTCCGGTAGGGAGTGTCGAACCACACACCTCGGCTCTCCACCTTAGGTTACGTCGGCCGACGCTCACTCGACTGAGCTCGCGCTGCCCTTAAGCTAATGAGTTATGTCATCAGATTGGAAGGAATACATCTTTATGTAGCTTTGTGACATACGAAAATCTATTCACAGACATTGTAAACTCACAAGTCTGAAGCAAAAAAGATAATAATTAAATATTTGTTGTCGATATTAAATCGAAAAGCAGAAACTTAAGGAATATGATATTTCGATAAGAATTGCCAAATGTTACGCCCAATTTACTTACCTTCCACTGCCTCTGACATCGGTTCTGGTATGTTTCGGAAGAGCAGAGGGTTATACAGGGATGACTTTTGATCGCTTGCTTTAGGAAGAGGGAAGCTTTGCGGGCGTGTCACGCGAGAAACGGTGGTCAGATCTATCCCAGAAATGTCCCGCATGCTTGCAATCGATTCGGGTGTAAAGTAGGGGCCTCTGCGGATGAGGAAACAATTAATTTGAGGCGAATCATGATATTGATTGTAACATTGTATAATTGTACCGATGTTAGCGGGAATTTGTACCTGTGTCGGTTGTGACATCATATATTTGTATCGTTGTTGGTTGTGATATCGGGTAATATTTGTACCCGTAATCGTCAAAGATTTTACTTTCTTGATAAAATGGATAATTTATCGGAAATGCGTTGTGATAAATACATCTTCTCTATCCAACTTGTGATTATGTATGTCGGGTTGGTTTATTGCTTGACTTAGTAAATATTTGTTCTTTCTTTTTCATTTCACTTTTATGATTTTAATAACTAATTAATTTCAATGTTAACTGTTAATTTCAATGAATTTGAGTTACTTTGATATTCTATATATATAGATGAAATTTTCAAAGCAGAATTGAAACATTGCTGATTTTCGCTCTGTAGTCCACGCCTCAGTGTTGTAAACGTGTTATCTAACGAACGGTTCCACCAACAGAATTATGGATAATAATTTGAATAAACTTCTGTAAGCTCAGAAAATAAGGCAGTAATACAAGGCTACAAGAACCAAATTCAAAACAGAAATAATTGATATTCAAACTCCGGATGGGAACCGATATTAATGGGATGAATAGTCTAAATTTAAAGCATACATACTCAGAATCCGGATAGTACGGTGGCGAATTCAAAAATACATCCGTTCGTGTGGGCTGAAAAGGAGAAACATATATGATTCACCTGTTTTAAAAATCCTAAATGGTCATTTTGGTTTGTTTTTACGTTATGCAGCTCAGACTGAGATTAGAAACTAAAACTCAATGTGATGTTTTAGTTTACGTTTAAAGTTATATAGCTACATAGACTACAGACATGCTGTAATTTAGTGCTTTATTTTAATTTAAAATATAAAAACAAGACCATGTTTGATAAGTAAAAAAATTATGGAATTATATCAATGTTTGCTTATTTTCTGTTATAAAAAAAAACAAAACAAAAAACAATCCCCCAAAAGACCCCAAACTTTTAGCAAACTGAATGAATGCGCGTAAGAAGATTTTCTTTCATACCAGCATGAAACTAAGATATATTCTTTTCAAAGCTTGTAATTAATTTCTTCTGTAGGAATCAAAATAAGAAATAATCAATAAAACATAGGTTTGATAATTATTCAATGATGGATAATATTATAACAAATTAATACGCATCACAGCTGGTGTGACATGACGTAACGTCAATGACCGCTAATTCGGGCCATTTTCAGTCATTCAAAATTCATTCATGATTGGGCCTGTCAAATTCCAAACGAAAAAATATAAAATAATACATTGTTTATTGTTTGTGTACATTGCATGATATTTGAATATTTCATAAGGTCCGGTTTTTGACATCACTGAATGCCAGCGATCTACACACCGGCCGAATGTAAACAGATATTCCATTCATGAAAAAGTTCCAACAGAACCGCCGGAAGGTGGCGTGTTGCAATTGACACCTCCAATCATTATCAAGTGGGCGGGACTAATTTGTTAATATCGACTAATCAGAAACCTGCATTTTGCATACAGACTAATTAATTAGTTACCAATCGGAATAAAATGTTCCGAAATGTCACAGCATTTTGCTTAATAGTTACACTTACCTCATCATAGCCGATCAAAGCGGCACTGTATGCGAAATTGCTTCCAAACTGTACAATTAGGTGCGTCATTAGGGCGTCAAGGTTTTGAAACGAACGCATGAGGGCAGCACCTGGGTCTGATGGTTTCCTCTTTGTCGGGATCACATTAATACCTCCCCTTGGGCCCCTCCGGTGACTATCAAACAGCCACAATCTGCCGTCGTCCTTTCTTCGCCACACTGCCATTGAGGACTGGCCAATAGTAAGAACCATATTGATAGCTGCCTTTGGGTCCGAATAGAAAGTCCTGGCCATGAAAACAGGGAATTCGGGAGACACGGCAGATAATGCTTCGGATGATTCTCTGCTTTCGTATCTGAAACACCCGTCAACACTGTAAAGCATCGTAGCAGTGACTCCTTTTCCTTCCAAGTTGCTGCCACAATTTCCCAACGACAGAAAAGTTGGAAGATTACGCACTCGATATTCCTCAGGAAGCTGATAAACTCCCACCTTTCCATCTATGTGGGTGCTCAGTTTATCAACATTCCGGAATTGACTGTGTTGGCGGTGTCCAAGACGAATGATATCGTCGATATCTTTGGGGGTCCAGGTCTCCAGATGTCTTCGTCTGGCTTGGTAGGCCAAAGCCTCGTATGCCATGGTTGTACATTGCCGGTTAGCGAATAAGGGTCCAATGCTGTCCTGACACAGTGTTCCTCTGACTATGACGTCTGAAAAAAACAAAAACCGAAAACTACATGTAAGTAAGACGGATACGTAATAGACATATACTTATAAGACCTAATTAATGAATAAATAGACAGTTACATATAATTTACCACTACAACATCACGTTACTGACCTGGAAAAGATTGATTTTGTCAACTAGAATGTAAAAGAAGCGATTTGGATCTAAACCGAGATGATGGGGGTGATGCAATTCAGCAATGCAGGTAATCCAGCAATTAAGGTAACAGATTATTTTTACATTCAGGGTAATTTTGGGGATTCTTAAATAGCATAACTGAGGTCTATTGCATGTAATAAGGGTAAACGGTTTTCCCCAAGGTCAAAACTCGGTACAGACCGGCCTGTTTCAAAATTTCAACCACAAACTGTCACGAGTAGGGAATGTCGAACCACACATCTCGCAGCATCATCTTAGGTTACGTCGGTCGACGCTCAGCCGGCGGAGCTCTCGCTGCCCTTAAGTTATGTCATCGGATTGAAAGGAATACATCTTTATATAGCTTTGTGACACCTTAAAAACTATACACAGACATCAAAAACTAACAAATCTGAAGAAAAAAGGGGGTTAATAGTGAAATATATGTTGTCGATATTAAATAGAAACGTTAGAATAGGATATGTCTCTATAAATTGTCAATTATTATGCGAAATTTACAGACCTTCCACTATCTCAGGCTCCGGTTCTGGTCTGTTACGGCAGAATAGACGATTAAAGAGGGATGGCTTCTGATCACGTGGTACAGGAACACTGACACGTTTTGGGCGTGTCACGTGAGAAACAGTGGTCAGATCGATCCCAGAAATGTTCCGAATGCGTTCAACCGATTCGGGGGTAACGTAGCGGCCGCTGTGAAAGAGGAAACAATCAATTTGAGGCGAATCATATATTGCATGCTGGTTCTAGTGTTGGTTGTAACATTGACAATCATATATTGTTTGTATGTTGGTTGTAACATTATATGTTTGTATCATTAGATGTTTGTACCGGTGTTGTGTAACATTGGATGTTTGTACCGGTGTTGGTTGTAACATTGGATGTTTGTACCAGTGTTGGTTGTAACATTGAATGTTTGTACCAGTGTTGGTTGTAACATTGGATGTTTGTACCGGTGTTGGTTGTAACATTGGATGTTTGTACCGGTGTTGGTTGTAACATTGGATGTTTGTACCGGTGTTGGTTGTAACATTGGATGTTTGTACCGGTGTTGGTTGTAACATTGAATGTTTGTACCGGTGTTGGTTGTAACATTGGATGTTTGTACCGGTGTTGGTTGTAACATTGGATGTTTTGTAACACTAGATGTTTGTACCGGTGTTGGTTGTAACACTAGATGTTTGTACCGGTGTTGGTTGTAACATTGGATGTTTGTACCGGTGTTGGTTGTAACACTGGATGTTTGTACCGGTGTTGGTTGTAACATTGGATGTTTGTACCGGTGTTGGTTGTAACATTGGATGTTTGTACCGGTGTTGGTTGTAACATTGGATGTTTGTACCGGTGTTGGTTGTAACATTGGATGATTGTACCGGTGTTGCTTGTAACATTGGATGTTTGTACCGGTGTTGGTTGTAACATTGGATGTTTGTACCGGTGTTGGTTGTAACATTGGATGTTTGTACCGGTGGATGTTTGTACCGGTGTTGGTTGTAACATTGGATGTTTGTACCGGTGTTGGTTGTAACATTGGATGTTTGTACCGGTGTTGGTTGTAACATTGGATGTTTGTACCGGTGTTGGTTGTAACATTGGATGTTTGTACCGGTGTTGGTTGTAACATTGGATGTTTGTACCGGTGTTGGTTGTAACATTGGATGTTTGTACCGGTGTTGGTTGTAACATTGGATGTTTGTACCGGTGTTGGTTGTAACATTGGATGTTTGTACCGGTGTTGGTTGTAACATTGGATGTTTGTACCGGTGTTGGTTGTAACATTGGATGTTTGTACCGGTGTTGGTTGTAACATTGGATGTTTGTACCGGTGTTGGTTGTAACATTGGATGTTTGTACCGGTGTTGGTTGTAACATTGGATGTTTGTATCGGTGTTGGTTGTAACATTGGATGTTTGTACCGGTGTTGGTTGTAACATTGGATGTTTGTACCGGTGTTGGTTGTAACATTGGATGTTTGTACCGGTGTTGGTTGTAACATTGCATGCTGGTTCTAGTGTTGGTTGTAACACTGGATGTTTGTACCGGTGTTGGTTGTAACATTGGATGTTTGTACCGGTGTTGGTTGTAACGTTGTAACATTGGATGTTTGTACCGGTGTTGGTTGTAACATTGGATGTTTGTACCGGTGTTGGTTGTAACATTGGATGTTTGTACCGGTGTTGGTTGTAACATTGGATGTTTGTACCGGTGTTGGTTGTAACATTGGATGTTTGTACCGGTGTTGGTTGTAACATTGGATGTTTGTACCGGTGTTGGTTGTAACACTAGATGATTGAACCGGTGTTGGTTGTAACATTGGATGTTTGTACCGGTGTTGGTTGTAACACTAGATGTTTGTACCGGTGTTGGTTGTAACATTGGATGTTTGTACCGGTGTTGGTTGTAACATTGGATGTTTGTACCGGTGTTGGTTGTAACATTGGATGTTTGTACCGGTGTTGGTTGTAACATTGGATGTTTGTACCGGTGTTGGTTGTAACATTGGATGTTTGTACCGGTGTTGGTTGTAACACTAGATGTTTGTACCGGTGTTGGTTGTAACATTGGATGTTTGTACCGGTGTTGGTTGTAACATTGGATGTTTGTACCGGTGTTGGTTGTAACATTGGATGTTTGTACCGGTGTTGGTTGTAACATTGCATGCTGGTTCTAGTGTTGGTTGTAACACTGGATGTTTGTACCGGTGTTGGTTGTAACATTGCATGCTGGTTCTAGTGTTGGTTGTAACATTGGATGTTTGTGCCGGTGTTGGTTGTAACACTAGATGTTTGTACCGGTGTTGGTTGTAACATTGGATGTTTGTACCGGTGTTGGTTGTAACATTGGATGTTTGTACCGGTGTTGGTTGTAACATTGGATGTTTGTACCGGTGTTGGTTGTAACATTGGATGTTTGTACCGGTGTTGGTTGTAACATTGGATGTTTGTACCGGTGTTGGTTGTAACATTGGATGTTTGTACCGGTGTTGGTTGTAACATTGGATGTTTGTACCGGTGTTGGTTGTAACATTGGATGTTTGTACCGGTGTTGGTTGTAACATTGGATGTTTGTACCGGTGTTGGTTGTAACATTGGATGTTTGTACCGGTGTTGGTTGTAACATTGGATGTTTGTACCGGTGTTGTTTGTACCGGTGTTGGTTGTAACATTGGATGTTTGTACCGGTGTTGGTTGTAACATTGGATGTTTGTACTGGTGTTGGTTGTAACATTGGATGTTTGTACCGGTGTTGGTTGTAACATTGGATGTTTGTACCGGTGTTGGTTGTAACATTGGATGTTTGTACCGGTGTTGGTTGTAACATTGGATGTTTGTACAGGTGTTGGTTGTAACATTGGATGTTTGTACCGGTGTTGGTTGTAACACTGGATGTTTGTACCGGTGTTGGTTGTAACATTGGATATGTGTACCGGTGTTGGTTGTAACACTGGATGTTTGTACCGGTGTTGGTTGTAACATTGGATGTTTGTACCGGTGTTGGTTGTAACACTGGATGTTTGTACCGGTGTTGGTTGTAACATTGGATGTTTGTACCGGTGTTGGTTGTAACATTGGATGTTTGTACCGGTGTTGGTTGTAACATTGGATGTTTGTACCGGTGTTGGTTGTAACATTGGATGTTTGTACCGGTGTTGGTTGTAACATTGGATGTTTGTACCGGTGTTGGTTGTAACACTAGATGTTTGTACCGGTGTTGGTTGTAACATTGGATGTTTGTACTTGTGTTGGTTGTAACATTGGATGTTTGTACCAGTGTTGGTTGTAACACTGGATGTTTGTACTCGTGTTGGTTGTAACATTGGATGTTTGTACCGGTGTTGGTTGTAACATTGGATGTTTGTACCGGTGTTGGTTGTAACATTGGATGTTTGTACCGGTGTTGGTTGTAACATTGGATGTTTGTACCGGTGTTGGTTGTAACATTGGATGTTTGTACCGGTGTTGGTTGTAACACTAGATGTTTGTACCGGTGTTGGTTGTAACATTGGATGTTTGTACCGGTGTTGGTTGTATCACTGGATGTTTGTACTCGTGTTGGTTGTAACACTAGATGTTTGTACCGGTGTTGGTTGTAACATTGGATGTTTGTACCGGTGTTGGTTGTAACATTGGATGTTTGTACCGGTGTTGGTTGTAACATTGGATGTTTGTACCGGTGTTGGTTGTAACATTGGATGTTTGTACCGGTGTTGGTTGTAACATTGGATGTTTGTATCGGTGTTGGTTGTAACATTGGATGTTTGTACCGGTGTTGGTTGTAACATTGGATGTTTGTACCGGTGTTGGTTGTAACATTGGATGTTTGTACCGGTGTTGGTTGTAACATTGGATGTTTGTACCGGTGTTGGTTGTAACATTGGATGTTTGTACCGGTGTTGGTTGTAACACTAGATGTTTGTACCGGTGTTGGTTGTAACACTAGATGTTTGCACCGGTGTTGGTTGTAACATTGGATGTTTGTACTGGTGTCGGTTGTAACATTGGATGTTTGTACCGGTGTTGGTTGTAACACTTGATGTTTGTACCGGTGTTGGTTGTAACATTGGATGTTTGTACCGGTGTTGGTTGTAACATTGGATGTTTGTACCGGTGTTGGTTGTAACATTGGATGTTTGTACCGGTGTTGGTTGTAACATTGGATGTTTGTACCGGTGTTGGTTGTAACATTGGATGTTTGTACCGGTGTTGGTTGTAACATTGGATGTTTGTACCGGTGTTGGTTGTAACATTGGATGTTTGTACCGGTGTTGGTTGTAACACTAGATGTTTGTACCGGTGTTGGTTGTAACACTAGATGTTTGTACCGGTGTTGGTTGTAACATTGGATGTTTGTACCGGTGTTGGTTGTAACATTGGATGTTTGTACCGGTGTTGGTTGTAACATTGGATGTTTGTACCGGTGTTGGTTGTATCACTGGATGTTTGTACTGGTGTTAGTTGTAACACTAGATGTTTGTATTTGTTGTATATGCGCCTGCTGTTATTTTAGGCGTCTATTTTTTTTTACATTTTGAATAACATAGATAATCTGTTGTACTTTGGCGTATAATTTATTCAGTATACAAACTAGGATTTGTTCACTGTAATAAAAATATGTCTGGTTGTTTTATTATATACAAAGTAAATGTTTATTTTTTAACAATTTCAATCTCAAATTGTTTCAAATGTTGACGATTAATTGCAAAGAGGAATTAAGAAGTGTCAGTCACAGGTATATTTCAATATTTACAGACGAAAGTTTCAAAATAAAATTGAAACCTTTTTGCTTTTCTGCACTCTTGTCGCCTTACAATGTTATCAAACGAGCGAATAGATCAAGAGAATTGAGGATAATAATTTAAAAAGACTTCTGTAATCTCAGATAGATAGACATTAATACAGGGCTAAAGGAAACTCAAACAACAGAAAATAATCAATTTTCCAATTCGGGGCGGCGAACAATATAAATTTGATGTGTAGCATAAATTTACAATATACTTACCAATAATCTGGATAATATGGTGGCGAATTCACAACCTTTCGTGTAGGCTGAAAAGGAGAAACATATATGATTCACCTGGTTTAAAAATCCTAAATGGTCATTTGGTGTGTTTTTACGTTATGCAGCTCAGACTGAGATTAGAAACTAAAACTCAATGTGATATTTGAGTTTACGTTTGAAGTGTTATAGTTATATAGACTTTACACTATAGACAGCTGCTGTAATTCAGTGTTATGTTTTGATACTAAATATCAAAACACAACTTTACGTTGATTATAGAAATACTACATTGTTAATTTATATCAATATTTGTGCTTATTTCCTGCTGAAAAGATAAATTTTCATTTCCATACCTTGATGGAACAGCAAGAAAACAGATTTTGAAGTCTCTGCTTGAAGGTTTTTCCCATTATCGAAGTATATATGTATCAAAGTAAAAGCGCAATGAAGAAAGCTGCTAATTACTCGGTAGTCAACTAAGTAACTAAATGACATCATAGTCACTATGACGTCATAATAATAATCACGTGATATAATGTACGGGTATGTAACTTGATTGTGACGTCATAACCAACTATGATACAACTTTACAATCAGGTTTTCCAAGAAATATGGAGAAATTATCGCGTTGATGCCATTATCTGTACGTTATAATGATAACTTATGTTAACTGCATCAGAAGATATGACTATTCGGAAATTTATTAGGATTTTAGTGTAGAGAGAGTACTGTCGGAATCAACCAACAGCGTCACGCGTCACAAACATGGACACTATCCGGAAAATATGTTTGAGCATCTGTAACGAAGTTGAATCTAACCTGCAATTGTTAGAGAAAATATTTGACAAAATACATATAAATAAATAGATTATTTTATTGTTTTAAAACCTAGCAAACTATTAAAAACCCGCAGAATGTTTTGTGACATACGTCAAAATAAATATAAACCTTATTTATTTTACAACAGTTGCGAAACAAGTTATTTCAACTTATACCAATCACTCTTGTTGGTTCGCGTTTAAGCGCGAGAGGGGTCTTATTGTGAAAGGAGTACCCGGGAAAAACCCACGTGGTCAGGCAGGTGACCCCTTACCTTTTCACGTCCGTTCCGGAAATCGAACACCAGACCGCTAGGTGAAAGGCGAGTGCGTTATCACTGCGTCACTCGACCACACAACGTAGAATGAACAAGTTTCATCGATGATTCCGAGGTTTCCGAACTCATTCTCAGAGATCATTACGGGGAAGATAAAATATAGTCTATCAACATATTCTAAGTAGTTTTACGAAAGTATGTATCTGTGATTATCTGTATTATACATAAGACGTGACTAAGAATCTGTGACTACTATAAATAGTACCGATAAACAGTAAGTTACGCTAGTCTTAGCTCTTTTTTTCTTATCAACAGAGCGTAGAAAAAATGTTCTTTTCTAGATACGAAAAGTTATAACGTCCTTGTTCAGGATGCAAAATTTTAAAAGATTTCAAAGATATCAAGAGGCGAATAATGATTTTTTTTCTCATTTGCTGTAAAGAACTCGGCTATTGAGGTTTTCTTATATTTGTGATAATACCGATTTGTTTAGATTAGAAATCAGTAGGTTAGTGGATTTGATTTTAAATGTGTGTATTTGGGATCGATGTCTTGTTCAAACTCAAGCAAGTCTTGTTCATTAACCTGAAACATTAATCTGAAGCATTTCTGTGTCCCGTATCCATTCCTCGCTGAAAAGACGTGAAAAGCGTGGGGAAAAAGACTTTATAACGTAACTTATGCATCAAATGTCAGATGTTTGAGGCGTGGCGTGGAGTAGACTTAATGAAACAGATTAACATTGCGATATAGGTTAAATTTGCTTATAAAATCATGTCTATAACATTTATTTCTTCAAGAAACACAAATTCGGGCAAGTTAATTAACACCTAATTTCATGTAACGTTATTGATGTCGTTGTTGTTATCGTTGTTGTTGTCGTTGTTGATGTATTTGTCGTTGTTGTTGTCGTTGTTGATGTCGTTGTCGTTGTTGATGTTGTAGTTGTTGATGTCATTGTTGTCGTTGTTGATGTTGTAGTTGTTGATGTTGTTGTCGTTGTTGATGTTGTCGTTGTTGTAGAAGTCGTTGTTGATGTTGTAGTTGTTGATGTTGTTGTCGTTGTTGATGTTGTCGTTGTTGATGTTGTAGTTGTTGATGTTGTTGTCGTTGTTGATGTTGTCGTTGTTGATGTTGTAGTTGTTGATGTTGTAGTTGTTTATGTCATTGCTGGTTTTCACGTGTCTGCATAACTACAATAATTTATACAGAAAAATGTCAAATGAATATCTGCACGTGTACTGATTTGACGCTGTCTTGATTCTTTGCCTATATAGCTGGTAGTAACTACTTATATTTACAATTTAAAAATTTTTAGATTTAACTGGTACATTTTTACCAATGGCTTTACATCACTTTGACTGACCAAGAAGAAAATGCGGTTAAGACAATATAACTTTTCAACAAGTTTATCGCTACACCATCTGAGAGAGTGGAACGAAGGGCAATAACTCTGGGAGATCAAAATGACGTTTAATAATAATAATGATAATAAAAAAAAAAAAAAAAAATGAAGCGAAATAAAACTATTGTTCTAAATCTCAGAAACGGATAATTTTTGTAGAAAAAAATGCATGTAGATATTTAGAGCAGTTCCAAACCGGTCCATCTGAAGTATATGAATTACAACATTTCATTTATTAAACTATCATGATATGATATTCGGCATATATTTCGCTTTATTATAAATACTATTAACCCGGTAACTGACATTTTCAGTATGACTGACTTGATTGATTGACAGCTTTCTGTCTCCGTGACTCCTCCCGTGTCCGGGTATTGTCTCACTGACGAACGTCAGTGTTCTGTCGACTGTTGGTTGGTCGACAGGTTTCTGTCTCCGTGACTCCTCCCGTGTCCGGGTATTGTCTCTCCGACGAACGTCAGTGTTCTGTCGACTGTTGGTTGGTCGACAGGTTTTCCGTCTCCGTGACTCCTCCCGTGTCCGGGTATTGTCTCTCCGACGAACGTCAGTGTTCTGTCGACTGTTGGTTGGTCGATAGGTTTTCCGTCTCCGTGACTCCTCCCGTGTCCGGGTATTGTCTCACTGACGAACGTCAGTGTTCTGTCGACTGTTGGTTGGTCGACAGGTTTTCCGTCTCCGTGACTCCTCCCGTGTCCGGGTATTGTCTCACTGACGAACGTCAGTGTTCTGTCGACTGTTGGTTGGTCGATAGGTTTTCCGTCTCCGTGACTCCTCCCGTGTCCGGGTATTGTCTCACTGACGAACGTCAGTGTTCTGTCGACTGTTGGTTGGTCGACAGGTTTTCCGTCTCCGTGCCTCCTCCCGTGTCCGGGTATTGTCTCTCAGACGAACGTCAGAGTTCTGTCGACTGTTGGTTGGTCGACAGGTTTTCCGTCTCCGCGACTCTCCATGTTCGGGTATTGTCTCACTGACGAACGTCAGAGTTCTGTCGACTGTTGGTTGGTCGACAGGTTTTCCGTCTCCGCGACTCTCCATGTTCGGGTATTGTCTCACTGACGAACGTCAGTGTTCTGTCGACTGTTGGTTGGTCGATAGGTTTTCCGTCTCCGTGACTCCTCCCGTGTCCGGGTGTCGTCTCATCAACGAACGTCAGTGTTCTGTCGACTGTTGGTTGGTCGACAGGTTTTCCGTCTCCGTGCCTCCTCCCGTGTCCGGGTATTGTCTCTCAGACGAACGTCAGAGTTCTGTCGACGTTTTCTGACTTCAATAAACGAAGGTAAATACTGAAGTTAATCTGCCTGTTAATTTATGGAATATATAAATTGATTATTCCTTAATACGAACCTATTCTCATTCTATTTTAACTTATGATAAAGCCTTATCATAGTTGTGTGTGTGTGTGTGTGTGTGTGTGTGTGTGTGTGTGTGTGTGTGTGTGTGTGTGTGTGTGTGTGTGTGTGTGTGTGTGTATGTGTGTATGTGTGTGTGTGTGTGTGTGTGTGTGTGTGTGTGTGTGTGTGTGTGTGTGTGTGTGCGTGTAGGATGTCCCGAACAAGACTTGGATGACCTTGGAGGCTTCCGAACTATAGCGCGTTATCGCATAATTGAGCTTATAAATAGTACATTAAGTGTTATCACAAACATAATACAAACGTTTTTCCGGTAATAGACTGAAATGTATTACCCCAAAAAGAGAATTAAATGAACAGTATGTTAAATCAATTATCGAAACATTGGAAGATGCAATACTTCCAAAATTCAACAAATTCCATATTATCATTCGAAGGGAATTTGAGCATATTCTGAAAATAAAAGCAAAAATTGTGAGTTCACATGAGATGTACATTTTGACTTTGATTATGTCAACTTTAAACATCTTTACCTTTTTAATGAATCAACATAATAATAATTATAATAAAAATAAGTCTCAAGTTACTTGGTATTAATTCGACATAGACTTACATAGCAACAAAATGTCATTTCGAACTCAAAGTCGATAAAAACGAGGGTAAAATATGAGCAAAAGAAAGAATAATGTGGAGACACATGAAAAGGACAAATGAGACCAGGTGTTCCGGAATGGTAAGCATGCTATGTTTTTATGTTTCTATTTTAGTGTCGACATTGACTTACATATCAACAGAATCTTAATTCGAACTCAAGGTCGAAAAAACTATTGCAAAATATGAGCAAAAGAAAGAACAATGTTGAAGCATGTGGAAAACACAAAGGAAACCAGGTGTTCCGGAATGGTAAGCATGCTATGTTTCTTGTAGATCTTTATCAATCAAAGCACGAAGTGTGTGATGCCACGTTCTCAAATGAGAACAGTTTTATCAAAACAGGAACCAATTGACTTACTTATCTGGAGGGTGTATACGATGATCATGGCCAATATGTTTCTTATTGTCGGTATATATAAAAGTATAACTGAAGGATTTAGCAAGGTCTTTATGGCATATTTCGACGAATTCAGCCTCGTATGAAGATAGAAACAAATAATTCAGTAGAGGGGCAAAGTTAGTTCTCATAAGTATGCCGATAGTCTGGAGGAAGATCATATTGTCAACTCAAAATACTAAAATTGGCGCAGATTTGGCCACCAGCATATTTCTTGTTGGCTTCAAACGTACACAACTGTTCACAGTATGCGCTCGCCTTTAATTCACAACCATATGTATGTACTGCCGTTTGCCATCATTTTGAAAAGAGAGCTCTTTAAATAGAAAAAAAGTAGTTTGATAATGTACGGAGAGAAATGCTTTTCAGCAAAAAATAGAGGCATGGAGCACTAATAAATGTTTGGCAAATCAACTAGACCCCCCCCCCCCCTATGTAATATGTTTTCACAATTCACTGATGTAACATACAATGTACCCCGTTTTACCATTTACTGGCAGTAGTCGATGTGATGTCATAAAACCGACGATGACGTTGCATCATAATTCAAATTTTAATGCAGCAAGTTGGTAGCTTCCTTCCGACTTTGTCCTCCACACTTAAACTTTTAAACCTGTCGAAATGTAACTTGAGTCATCTAATAAAATTTATCTTAAAATCATTTTCATTTCATGAGACTTCATAAAAATTCGTCTCGTAGGTAACGTTAAAAATATTTTCGTTTTATATATAATTTTTATGCAAATCATCGTGAATCATTGCATTGACATCAGGTTCAATTACTACAGATTTGTTTTGTTATCATTTAAGATTTAAAGAATAAAAGGCCGAATGGATTTAATCCACTCTGAAAGTAAATCCAACGCAACAAGTACTTTTTTGTATTATTGCCACATAAAGGTCATGTGGTGTATGTTCGTACAGTGTTCATTTATTAAGGTGTCCTTAAAAAAGTAAGTACTATTCTCTTCAGCTGCTTACCAACAGTGAAATATCGAGTGAAATTATGGGTTGAATTCTGGTGTCAAGATATCGTAAATTAGAGTCACGTGTATCTCACTATCGTTATGTTATACAATCAACAGTGCAACACGAAGGCCAAATCATCCAGTAGAACTCTCCACCGCAATAAAAGGGATACTAGTCTTTATTGTTAGATGAGATAAGAGGAGATTTATGACGAGACATCTGTTTCGGTTTCATCATAAACGTTGTCACAAGTAGCAAATTTAACATATCAATTTCTTCATTTGTTCAAACCTTTAGGTATAAATAAGGGATAGAGACAAACGGTACAATAGTTCCCTTAGCTCTTCATCAGGCGTTTTAGGTAAGTAAGACCAGACATCATCATTATTGTCGTACTTTGTTACTTAAGACTGAATACATAGTTTATCTACTGTATAATGGTGTAAAATACACACATACCTAACAAGACTTTCATTTGAAATCATTCAATATTAAAAAAATGTGAATTTATTGAATTTTAGGGCTAGTACACCTTTCCATAAGGTTTTTGACGTTCGTTTCGACCAGCTTGTATTTTACAAAGTCCCTTCCTAGGTTTTAGTAATTTTGGATATAAACAATCCTAGAAGGATGAAACAGCTGTTGTTTTATTCATTATCTACTTCTTCTGCTATCCACGTGTGTCTTTTGTACAATATTTAACGAGTATATGCTTAGAAATAATCAATTCGGCACTATTTCCCAATATTATAAACATTCGTTTAAACGAAATTTGAAATCGGCGTGGATCATCACTGAATAGCAGTACTATTTTACCATGTATTAATCCTTTATCAACATAAGACATTGTAGAAGACAATGTTACTTCTAAATAGAAAAAGTTAACCAGAATTAATTCTTTTAATTTAAATGAAACATTTTTCTTTTTGATGTTGTGTTCCCATTGTATTCAAAAGTAACGTTTTGAATGCGTTTTAAACACTGAATATTGGTAAATTTTCCTGTTTCACGCCATATTCCTTTACCGTCCGACATATTGTTTTGTGAAACTTTATTTAAACCAGATTTTGCTTTCATTCTTGGAAATTAATTGATCTCTGTCGAGATCTGTCGAAATTATTGCATGCATTTTCTTCGATATTTTGTAAAGAACTTTTGGCAAAAGATCACATCCCCTGTAGTTGCTGTGGTGTGTTGACTGATTCTATCACATAATCGACGTGCTGTTCAGTGACCACGCCCATGTACTATTTTTGTACTTGTCACTAGTGTAATATACTTTAGAGCGTTTTTATTGGCTGAACCCGTCAAACATTGGTTGTAAATTCCAAATATGGGCATTGACGTTTCGTCATAAATTGAAAAATGGAACAACAAAATAACTCACCCTGTTTGACTTTTGTGTGCATTTCGTTTAAATCAAATCAAATATAACATTATTGACTTGTGTGATAAAATTTAAATTGATTCAGTTCTTATACATTTTTTCTTGAAGTTTTAATTATTAGATGCTTTACAGTGTACATCTATGAATGAAGCGATTTTGTTGAGTTCTTCTGAAAAGTTCAGAGTTACGGAGCAATGAAAAGTACGAAAATATTTTATTGTTTTCAGTGAAAGGTACGAAAATATTCTATTGTTTTCAGTGAAAGATACGAAAATATTCTATTGTTTTCAATGAAAGGTACGAAAATATTCTATTGTTTTCAATGAAAGATAGTTATAACAATAGAGTTTTCTGTTGTTTCTTTCTTATGTTCATTCGAGTTTCAGTGTTATCTTCCTAGATATATACTTTTGGTTATTGACGGTTTACAGAGGGTCCGGAGTCTAACTGTTACCATGATAGTTATAACTTAGTGAGAGTGTGTTGTATAGTATACTGTGTGTAGATTCAAAGAGGTTAAATAACTTCAACAAGCTACCAATTTGCAATGTGGCTGCCTTGAAAACTTGGTCGCTGGAACTTTCTTCGTAGCGCGAAATGTGAACTTCCAACCCACTGATTGGATAAAAAACTTGACCGACAAAAAGTCTAAAATTAATTAAATAAATTTAATATACATACATTAGTTGCAAAAAACTTGGTGGGTAAAAAAGAAATAAGGATAGGAGCACTGTTTACCTAACTTCCTGATTTGAGCCTCAAGAACGTTCGTCGTAGACAAGAAATGCGTCATCTGTTACATTGAATGCTTATATCTTTAATGTGTAATCACACTTGTAAAGAAGGCAAAAAATGGAGAGAAATTTTCGCATATGCTTCTTGACTTACTGATTAAGATAAAGTTGAACGGTAATTTCAGATATACAGACGTACATCGGCCGCTGCTGACGTAATAAAATGGGGTTCCAGTTGATTGTGACACTAACTTTCATGTGTCATGTCGTGTATGTATGTAACGCCTCCACGCTGAAGTCTGATCACGATTCACCGAAACTCCGAACGCCTGGGTTTCTTGATGTCGCTGCTTTCAACATAAAAACTTTTGGCAAATCCAAGATGAGTAACCCTGAAGTTGCGGAAATCATTAAAAATGTATGGGTATTTTCAAAATGGCATTGTAACGTCACTAGTTCAAGGTGTCAAATATTGTACTTTTCATTTTTATGGGTATTTTAGGTCATCTGGACCCGAAGGGTCCGATGACCTATAGTCATCATGCTTCGTCCGTCGTCGTCCGCCGTGCGCCGTGCGCCGTCCGTAAACTTTTCATTCAAACGACTTCTCAAATACTAGAAGGTCTAGGGGGCTAATACTTGGCACAGAGGATACTGGCATGGAGCTCTACCAAGTTTGTTCAAATGAATGACCTTGACCCACTTTAAAGGTCACAGGGGTCAAATATGTTAAAATCTTTAAACAACTTCTTCTCATTAACCAAAAGGCTCAGAGTGTAGATATTGGGCCTGTGACATGCTGGGATGAAGGACTACCAAGTTTGTTCAAATGAATGACCTTGACCCACTTTAAAGGTCACAGGGGTCAAATATGTTAAAATCTTTAAACAACTTCTTCTCAATAACCAAAAGGCTCAGATTGCTGATATTGTGCCTGTGGCATGCTGGGATGAAGGGCTATCAAGTTTGTTTAAATGAATGACCTTGAACAACTTTCAAGGTCACAGGGGTCAAATATGTCAAAATCTTTAAATAACTTCTTCTCAAATACTAGAAGGCCTAGGGGGCTAATACTTGGCCCATAGCATGCTGGCATGGAGCCCTACAAAGTTTGTTCAAATGAATGACCTTGGCCCACTTTCAAGGTCACAGGGGTCAAATATGTTAAAATATACAAAGGACTTCATCTCAATAAGCAAAAGTCTATGAGTGCCGATATTGGGTCTGTAGCATGCTGGGAGGAAAGGCTACCAAGTTTATTCAAATGAATGACCTCAACCCACTTTCAAGGTCACAGGGGTCAAATATGTTAAAATATACAAACGGCTTCTTCTCAACAAGCAAAAGTCCATGAGTGCTGATATTGGGCCTGTAAGATGCTTGGAGGAGAGGCTACCAAGTTTGTTCAAATGAATGACCTCAACCCACTTTCTAGGTTTGGCTTGCTTTTTGTCAGATGACCGTTAAGGCCCATGGGCCTCTTGTTATGATCTGACTTCGTTTACTCATTGTCATCTTTACATTATCAAATCAACATTCGTAAGAAAAAAAAGTAGATGTTTTGTCACACTAGTGATATAATGGTGAAATATGTTCTACAGGACATTTGTTAAAAAGGTTTTATTCACCTGTGTGTGTTTTTGTACAATCTTCGAGATTGCAGATGATAGACATTGTTGATGGACTTTTACTCCCCAAAGTTTGCCGTAACCGGCATGCCATGCTTGTATTTGTTAAAATAGTGGCAGGGTACAGAATATACACATGGACTTCCTCAGAATTTATCAGACATCTGCAAATTACGAAATACGTGCATATTTAATAATTTGGTGTTTGCATCTATCTAAATTTTAATTTTTATTTCGTCACTTTGGATTTTCCTCAGTGACCCCAAAGGCTTTAAAATTTTATGTCCTTAGCATCACAACAAGTCCTAGAACTGTATGATGTAGTTTGAGTTTTTTGGCATTTCTGTTTCTAATTCTAAATTATGTTAAAAGGTGCTATTTACCTGTGTGTCTTTTGAACAACTTTATGAACTTCTTCGTATTTCAAAGAAAGTTTTTTTCGTACTGAGAGCAATGACCTAATTTAAGAATCTTAGCTTTAGCAGATTTATGACGAAAAATAATACAGCGATATATTGTTTAAGGTTTATGAATAAGTAATTCTGACATAAAAATGGACAACAATGGTTTCAGATTGTGTTGGAGTACGACCTGATACTGATCCAAGAGATCCGAGATATATCTGGAGAGTCGTTTGAAAAGCTCCTAACAATGCTCAACGAGTAAGGTTATGCTAAGATACCGAGGAGTTCCGCCAGCGGAACCTTGACTTCCGAAAAAGTGTTCCATATCATGTTCATGAAAATGTTTGGTAATTACGGGATGTCGGTTAATACAGCTGGTCTTAAGTAATGCATATCATTACGGAATTCTGTCCTGTTTTCTGTTTATTTAAATGCATTCATTTAATTCAATACTGTTTCTCTGTTTGTCTAAATTTTTAGAAAACAAATACTAAAAAATATATCTTATACTTTTTACTGTAGAGTGGAATCTTATGAAATGACCATCAGCGAGAGACTTGGAAGGTCGTCATATAAAGAACAATACGCCTATTTTTACAGGTACGAACAATTTTCCGATGAAGTTGGAAACTTCAGCGTTTCGTTTGCACTAAAATATAAAAGAATAAACCAGAAAACATTTCAATTGTTATATTCTTAGTATAGATTTTGACCTTAAGCAAGTGTTCTTAGTTTGGAAATACAGCACTTGCTTTTTAAACCGTTTTAATGAAAGTATCTCCTTAGAAGGAATGGTGATGTTATAATACATATAGTAATATATTGTGATAGAATGTATCTATAAAGAGAGAAAGGCACGTTATTTCTCTTTTCTTCCCCATGAAGGGGCATTGAAAGGTTTGTTATTATCTCGTATTTGTACTACATGTATAGGAACAGACACCCTGTAATTACAAGTAGGTTTTTGTTGGGCATTCTTCTTAAGCAAGAAGTAGACAAAAACTTAAAATCCTATGCCTTAAAATTAACGATTTAACATCATGTATTTTCTTTTTTATTTACTTATTTGAATTCAATTTACACTCAATGATACAGTAATTGTTGGGTCTTCGTTTGATTAACAGAACGTCCGCCCTCACCCTCCTAGAGACCCGGCAGTATCCCGATCTTGGAGATAGATTCGAGAGGGAACCGTACAGCGCCATGTTCATGTCTAAATCCAGCTCTGAAAGTACAATACTCTGTCTGTCTGTCGTTACATGTAACCATGTTATAAAAGAGTTCCGATTGACATGTCTAGTACTGTATATCGTCTCATTGTTGGTACTGCATCCATTGTTTCATATGATTTTCATTTCGCTGCCATCAGGTCATTCCTTCCTTTTCCAGTTCATTTGTTATTTTTGTTGTTTCGAAAGTAATTGTTTATTTTATGATCGGAATCATAGTTTTTCGCAGTACAACATATAAGTAATATGTACTAATGAAACTACCTTGAACATACAAGGCAAACTTCTACTTAGAATGACCGATACGATTTTCAGCATTCGTCGTCACGGGGTTGCACGCCAAGCCAGACGATGCTGTCGCGGAAATTGGACTGATGGACAAGGTTTACGAGGATGCTCTTAATGAGTTCAACAATCCAGTAGGTTTATTTACATTGAGTCAATAATTCCAGAGAGGGTGGAGGGCCAATGTCAATCAACAACTCAGTCAGCATGTTATCCAGACTTAGTAACCAAGATTGCGTAATCTTACAAATTACTGGTCAGCGTCACACTTAGGGTAACGTAACAATCATCTATGCTATTACTGTCATAGGTAAAATACCTATGATCCTTTCCCGGTTTGATGGTAGTGTATTAAAGTCATTACATGGGGATAGCTCTCTGTGTCTTAAGAAGAAGATTTTCAAAAATTTGAATCTTGGAGTTTTATGTCATATAAGACAAGAATATTTGTCCTTTACAAATTCTTATCCAAACTGTTAGATATAAAATATACGATTGCTATTATTTTCCAGAATATGATCATCATGGGAGACTTTAATGCCGATTGTTCATACGCCTCAGAAAATGATCTCAACGAAATTCCGTTCTATTACAACAGCAATTTTCAATGGCTGACTCCTTGGGAAGCTGACACAACCACCTCCACTAACACTGACTGTGCATACGACAGGTCAGGTGTTATCTAAATGCATTATTATCATATGAAAACATAGGCGGTCAAACTGATAAATACATGCAATGGTGGATATTTCAGCTTGTAAATCAGGATTACATTTTGCATAATTTTATATTATTTCTATGAGGTGATATTACATCCTAATCACGTGTCGTGGTTCTTAACTGTAATTTATTGCATTAAAATAAATAATATATTCACCTAATGTTAAATTGTGCAAAACCGAACCTTTCTTATCATACTATTGTTCTTCATCTATTTTTGTTTGACTGAATCCCAGTTCTCATCATTAACGTCATTGTTTCTGTTTCAGGATTGTTGTAACCGGAAGTCTGAAAAACGCCGTTGTGTCTAGATCCGTGTACAACTTTGAGGAAACATACGATTTAGATTTTGACGAGGTATGTCTTTATGTACAGTTTACGACAAGTTTAGATGTGTCAATAAGTATCAGTTACTATTTCTATTGTTATATATTCAGTCGCATTTTTGTTTATCGTAATGCCAGTTAATTTGGAATCAACTTATTGATAAAATGTTAACATTTATTTGTAAATAACTCTCTATCTATTGTTCATAGTGTGAAACAACTTTACCTTCGATAAGAAATTCATAAGAATGATTAAGACTGTTTATATTTCATCATTGCCTAAATGTAAATATACCAGGACTTCTTTCTATGAACGAAAGGTCGCATTCTGGTATGTTGTCCTTAATGTTTTTAGATCTTATTCGTTACTGACTGTTCAGTAATGATAGGGACCTCAAGTGCCGAGAAGGTGATCAGGAAAATGAATAATAGCCGAAACTAAGATTACTTATTATCAGTAATAACTACATTATTCTTTAGAATCAAGAAGAAGTTTCGAACCATATGCAGATTCATTTGTTTATTGAAGAGAAATTTCTAGTGAAGGTTTAGTATATTGGTATCGACAATGCTTGCTAGATGTTGCCAGATGACATAAGACGTTGCTTCGAACCTTGTTTTGGTGTATTTGTTTCATTGTTTAATGACGAGAAAATAATTATGTGTTAAAGATAGATAGTGTTTCATAGATGTTGATTAATGACAGAAATTGACATACGTTTAAGAACTGAATGACAAAGAAGACAATTAGAAAGGTTTAACATACTGATCACAGTAAATACTTGATTTCCTCGTAGGATAATACGTCCTATCCGATACCCGTGGTAAAAAAGCTCTAACATACAGCTAGATTTAGATGACATGAAAGTCGAAAAAACACCTGGTCTGATTCTTCTGGCGCTTTTTCAAGATTTTCCTGTAGATCTTCAATAATTTACGTTTTGTTCTCATCGAGTTTATTTTTCATTTTGAGATGAAATAACGTTTTATAACAAAGTTGATATATCATTATTTGATTGGATGACCTAGTTAAGATTCATTTTAACGTATATACTCTCTGATATTTCCGCTGTGCTTTACAGATGTGGGCGGTCAGTGACCATTACCCAGTAGATGTGCGTCTCGCGCTCTGACGTCATGACAACATCGCTTTCAGTCATCACAGGGGAGATGAAATAAATTGAATCAATCCAAAATTCACTATACGTTATGTTTTTGATATGCTATGATGATATTTGGAAAATATTTAGGATATTTGAACCTTAAAACACCGTGTTGTCCTATACGATTAAAAAAACTATACGACAATACAATGTAGGACCAAGCGTTCCATAAATACTTGATTGCATATCGAGGAACAGCTAAACATTCAGCATTAATGTGTTGACAATAATACAATTATACATATTTGATTACCTCACAGTTCAATGAGTCATTTTATTAATTCATTAATTACACTGATGGATATGGGCTCTAAACGGCCAGAGGAATAACAGACGTCGTATATTGAGTGAAGATTCATTGTTTTAATTCATTGTATTTTTACGATAGGGGCATCATTTATTTCAAAATTATTTTTTCAACAATAATGAAAAAAAAATCTCATTCCGGTGCTTTCATGGATAAAGCTAACAGTCGACTTGAGTGCGAGAAAATAAATATTTGTAAACATTGATAAACAATACAAAAATTACAATATTTCAAATATATTGTATGAGTATACTTTTTAGCGTGACAGTAACATTGATTTATCATTAGAAGCCATTTGAATAATTACACTATTTCCCTGTGTGACAAATCTGGCAGGACTACAAGACTAACAAGAAAATGTAAACTGTATATTATAAAGATGATTTAAACTCTCTCTCTCTCTGTCCTTCTCTCTGCTCTCTGTCTGTCTGTCTGCCTCTCTCTTTCTCTCTCCCTCCCCCCCTCTCTCTCAAACGTATCCTTAAATCTTTTAACTATACATGTTAACAACACTACTCTTGGTGAGTGTTTTGTGATATTTGAATAGTATGATTCTTGTGCACATAAGAATATCATATGAAGTCCTATTTTCTGGTTAATATCAATCTGTAATCCGAACAAAGCATGATGATATACTTAATTTGTGCCAAAGAACTTTTTCCCATTTAATAAATACATGTGTGTGTCTTTTTTAGCGCAAAGGTTTTACTAAATATAAAAAAAAAATCATTTAAAAGATATGTTTTAGATATGTATTTATCAAAGAGGGTTTTGTTATGTAAATATAGCATGTACAGTCTCTTTTCCAGTTTACAAACAACATTCAAAATTATTAAGCAAACGCCTCCGACTGACACCCATAAAGTTTGTTGTCAAAACGTAAGCTTCCGTCAGATTCAATGGACGTTTGTCTGCTACCGTAGTTCCTTTTTTTCCTGAAAAGTATAAAGATAGATGTAAACATTTGGTCGGATGCATACATCAGACATGTCGTTTTCTGAAAGACTTCTGGACTTAAATATAAATAATATATGTGGAAATTGTGTGGAAAATATGCTACATTTATATACTTCACCACAGCATCATAATCAAATAAAATGAAAACGAAAATATAACATTCTATCACAATGAACTTGAAAATGTCTTCAAATTTGATACTCATTTAGAAATTCATAATTAATCTCCATCTCTAGATTTAAACATTTTCAAGACAAAACAAGTGTTGATTATATAAAACAACTAATGATAGCATTCGTAATAACTGAACATTCACAAGACATACATACGTTATCTATATTACAACGAAAACTGTTACGAATACTAAACACGATGAGACTAGAAATAGATTTTGAAATGAAAGTTGCTGAATACTCAAGGTATGTATGATGCACTCACCTTTTCACCACCACTACTACCAAAGCGATTAAGGACATTAGGGCTATAGGTCCACTCACCTTTTCAACACCACTACTACCAAAGCGGTTAAAGATATTAAGGCTTTAAATCCACTCACCTTTTCACCACCACTACTAACAAAGCGGTTAAAGGTATTAGGGCTACACGTCCGCTCACCTTTTCAACACCACTACTACCAAAGCGGTTAAAGATATTAAGGCTTTAATTCCATTCACCTTTTCACCACCACTACTAACAAAGCGGTTAAAGACATTGGGGCAACACGTCCGCTCACCTTTTCACCACCACTACTAACAAAGCGGTTAAAGACATTAGGGCTACAGGTCCACTCACCTTTTCACCACCACTACTACCAAAGCGGTTAAAGATATTAGGGCTATAAGTCCACTCACCTTTTCAACACCACTACTACCAAAGCGGTTAAAGATATTACGGCTATAAGTCCACTTGCCCCTGCGATTACGATGTACTTGTTGTCAGCAAACCAACTCTACAATACAGAAAAAAGGCACGCATTTCAACAGACTAGTAGGTATAGATGATTATATATTTCACGTAATTGATATCTTATGTCAAGGGTTCCGCTTTAGGGGAGACAACTTTCCGTATAACCTCGTCTGACACTTTGCTTTTTTAATCATTTATTTAATTTTTTTTTCAATTATTTGGTACCAGTTTTATATACAAATTCTCAAGTGTTGGATAATACACAGTGATCGGGTAGATGCAGAAGTTGTTTTCTAATGAAATCGAAAATTAAATACATTTCGAGGGATAAAAATGTCCGAATAATAGGTACATCACGAGAAGTGTAAAGAATCTGAAATATAAAATCATTATTAAAACAAAATATATGAAAGAACTGTTCAGTCCCGTCTTCGAATGAAAATATAAAAATTGGAAATATGAAATATGATTTGTTTACTTATCACATTCGATGAATAGTTCGGTTATTTGGTATATGCCAAGTTTATCTGCGATTCATTTTTACGGCAATTAAATTTTTATTTCTAACACATTAAATTTACTAACTGTTTGTCCCTGTGTTGCCCGCTCGAAAGACGATCCTTTTGCTGGTTCGGTAGATGTGTGGTGTTTCGTGGTAACTATAAAACATAAGATGAAGTATTCAGCATGTGTTTTACTGATATACAAAATATGAATCGGTTTTAATCGATTCTTCAGAACATTGCATTGATTGATTTTATGTTTGATATCAAACCATTTGAAATGATTACTATTACCGATATGATAAATGAACCCTGTCTCAACACCTGGTCCTAAAAATAATTATTATCAGGAGCCACCGTGCACATCATTCTTTTGTTCAACAACTGGAACACTATGATAAATGCACCCTGCTTTGATACAACAAGTGGAACACTATAGTAAATGCACCCTGCTTTGATACAACTGGAACACTATGATAAATGTACCCTGCTTTGATACAACAACAGGAACACTATGATAAATGTACCCTGCTTTGATACAACAACTGGAACACTATAATAAATATGACCTGCATAATACAACAACTGGAACAACATGATAAATGTATTATGTTCCTAACAACTACTGAAATACTAATAAATTTGTTCTATTCTAATAAAATTACTGGAACAATATAATTTATGTGCAGTTCATCTTGCTATGATACAATAACTCGAACACTTTGTACAAGAACTTTATCATATGTGAACCCTGCTTTGATATGATAACACTAACTTGTCGATTTAGGCTGTGACTTGGTAACAGTCGGTGTATGTGTAATCGATGTCTTCGATTCAGTCATTGTGTAAGGTTCGAGTGATGTTCTAGAATCCACGGGAGCAGAGGTTTTGACCACGATGTATGATGGAGACGTTCGATGTTCCTCTGACGTTGGCACTGTTATTGGAGTAGATATGAAAGAGGAGTTACCAGTAGCAGTTGTTGATGACATGGTCATTCGTTCACAAGACGCTCCCACGTAATTTCTCTTGCACTCACACCGGTAACCGCCCACCAGGTCGTGACATGTCCCGCCATTTTGACACGGGTCGGCCATACAATCGTTGATATTGACATTACACGTAGTTCCTGTATATCCAGTGTCACAAACGCAAAGGAAGCCAGAGATTCTATCAGAACATTTACCATTTTTACTGCAGGGACGAGATGCGCAATCATCGATGTTTTCTTCACATTTTAAACCAGTCCATCCTACAGAACACAAGCAGAAATCACTGCTATTTTTATATTGGCAGGTTCCGTTATTAAGGCAAGGACTGCCAATACATCTCGAAGTGCGATTTTGACATCTGTCACCAGACCATGTCGGTGGACAACTGCAAACGGTTGTGTCGTTAACGAAAATGCAGTCACCAGCATTGCACCAATCTGGGATGTGACAGAAATTAAGATCAGTGTCACAATTGTTTCCTCCCCATCCTGGAGAACAATGACATTTGAATCCCCCAGGGAGATTTTCACATGTTCCATTTCCTAAACAGATGTCGCTATTGACGACACATTCATTTAAATCTACATCACATCTTGGTCCAGTCCAGCCTACATCACAGTTGCAAACAAACCCACCGTTAGTGTTGGTGCATGTACCATAAGAACCGCAAGGCGAACCTAAACATTCATCTACGTCAATAGAGCAGTTAGTTCCCACGTATCCATCTGAACAGTTACAGTGGTACCCTCCTTCATTATTTAGACACAAGGCCCCATTCAAGCATGGATTACTGGCTTGACACTCATTGACGTCATCGAAACACGTCGCTCCCTCCCAATTCTTAGAACAGTTACAGATGAATCCGCCGACAGTGTTAAAGCATTGTCCGCCGTGAAAACAGGGGTTTTGTTGACATTCATCCACATCGTCACCGCATGTCACTCCCTGCCTGCCTTCCGAACAGTTACAACGAAACCCTCCGTCTTTGTTCATGCATGTCCCGTTGTTCTGACAAGGGTCTTCGCTGCATTCATCAATATCCTGTGAACAGTTTTCCCCCGTCCAGCCCGCGGTACAATTACAGAGGTATCCACCAGGAATATTTGCACAGGTTGCCTCGTTCTGACAAGGGGAGTTTCTGCATTCGTCCACGTCAACGTCACATGTCTGACCTGCCCATGCAGTAGTACATGTACACATATAACTACCTTTGGTATTTTCACATATTCCTCCATGTTGACAAGGTATAGAAAGACATTCATTCAAGTCCTGTGAACAATCTGATCCTGTCCAACTCTCCGTACAATTACATAAATACCCCATGTCATGATTGATGCATGTGCCATTGTTCGCACATGGCCCTGATAGACATTCATTTACATCATTTTCGCAGTTAATTCCTGTCCATCCCTGGGCACAAACACACGTGTAACTTCCTACATTATCTGTACAAGTACCGCCATGTTGGCACGGTGTACTTTGGCATTTGTTCCTGACCTTGGTACAGTTCTGACCAGTCCAGTCTCCGTCACATACACAGATGTAACTGCCCCCATTATCAACACAGCTGCCGCCGTTTTTACACGGGTGTAGAGTGCGACACTCGTCAATATTAGTGCATGTCTTGCTGATACGAGAATAAAGATACCCTGAAAGAAAATCTTCGCATTAGAAAACTTTCATGGCAGGTAGTTCAATGGGTTGCTGTAAATAATACCGCAGAGTATGTGTATGTGTATAAATGTAATTAACATACGTTTATCTCATAGCCAAAACATTACTGCAATGTAAAGTAGTACTGTATCGGAGGGTTTTATTGCTGTTCGATGAAAAAGTGCTGACAAACAATATTATAAATATTCATTCCTGGCATATCTTACCCTTTTCACAAGACACTCTGCCCTTGCCTCCAGGGATACATATTTTGTGGTTATTTGGGGTGAACGGTATTTCACAGTTTGATCCCGATGAACATTCACTACAGTACACTTTAAAAGTAAAGGATAGCCTGTAATAAAACAAAGTTAATTTACAAAAGTACAAGTATATGTTTTAGTGCCTGTTTTCTATGTGTAAAGGTTAAACGGATGTTATGGTGTTATCACACTGCAAAGTAGTCATGTGAAAAAAAATCACAGTTGCCACATCATGGTAAAATTTGTAAGCAATTGGGAAACTTCAGCGATCTCCGTAATCGAGAAAATATCTGATATATGAAAATTACGAATTCAATTTCATTGCGGGGTTGTTGCACCTCTCCGTATAAATTTTGAGTATTCTTTCGATCACTTTGGATTTTTCTCAGTCACCTCATAGTTCAACACTTAGGTCTTTAGCATCACTAACGAGTGCTGGAAGGACGAAACACATGTATGATGTAGTTTAATTCATTGTTTGGCCCTACTCTATATAACTCTATATTATCAAAAGGTACCATTCACTTGTGTGTCTTTCCTACACTCTCTTATAAGGATAATTATTATCAACACAACTTGCGCCATCCATGCTATATTTTACTGTGTCCAATCATGAAGATTTATTTATTTTAAGAAACGTGGATTCTAATAAGGGAGGTTTGAATATTTTCACTCAGTTTCAAAAAAATTAAGATATATTTTAATGTTACAAAGTTAACAGAGTACAATATATATATATAATGTATTTTAAGACAACATAATTTTGATCAAGTGGAAATGATAAAAAATGCAAGTTGTGTCATCGTTTTAGTTGCAACAGATATTTGTCAGCTGATTATGAACAGGAAGTTGCACATCAGTGATAAAATGTTTATACATGTACGCTTCATGTCCTTGGTATCTAATATCAGTCAGGACAGAGATTGGATACTGGAGAAGATGTCGTTAGTTAATATAGCGATGGCGACGGAGGAAGAAGCGATGGTAGTTCTCAACAAGAGAGCCACATAAGCAGGCAGGACTATGATTCTGAAGAGGCTAAATAATTTAAATTAATGGCGCAGTTTCTCATTTTACACAAAATAGTCATTACTTTTCTTTTTATAGAGATGTATGATAACTACACGTCTTTGGACCACATTGTTTCTAAAAAAACAGGTTTATTAATTCCTAATTGTTGTAGACTTGATCTAGGAGGACTTCATAGCTTCTGATATATCATGAGAATGCTGACAATTTTGTTTTTTTATCTTCACTCTGATGTGTTTAGCCATCCAAATTGTATATATAGGTCTAGTAGTTACTAATTCTTGGAATCAAATAGGTAAATAGCTTGAGGTATTTTATTAGTAAGAATGGAATTGATCTTGTCAATATCACATCGTGATTTTTAGAATCGAATCACAAGGGCTAAACTAATAATTTGCGCTACATGGATATATTGCTTAGGAATCCTTATAGGTAAGATTTTATATACAAAGACTGATAAGGCGAACTGTGAGGTAAGGAAGTAATCCCAGATGGTCCCTATTTAAACACTAACATATTCAAAGGAAACCAATTTCCTACACAAATATATAGTATAAAATCAAATTTGAACCCTATCCTAGTAATCAGCTCGATAGTTAAGGGTGATGGCTTATTAACAGATTAACGCAAACGTATCATATTAAGAGTCTGCTGTGTCTGGAAGATGGATATGATAAATACTTACTTATTACTAAGAGCGGAATTGCTAACATCTCCTCCGAATGCAATTGGGGACATGAAAGAAGGTCTGATTATGATACTCTGTCTCCCAGTCAGTATCATGTCATTGGTACCATACAGTGTAACGTGGACTGTTATACCAATACCTACCTATAAACGAAACCGTGTATCGTTATTGTTATATTTGATCATTCTTGTAATATTTTAATAAAACTCGTGAATGGTTCATTAACAAATGTTACTACATTATTGATAAGTAGAGATGTTATGTAATTATTTGATGGCCATTGTACAACAATTTTCATACAAGTCTGAAAATTTGAATTAAAAAAAAATATTGACGACATTCAATATAGATAAATCATTTGATCGTGAAAAGTGAAACAATGATACAGTGAAATGAGTAGAAAAAGATTTAATTTGTAATCAAAGCTTTCTAGATACCAACATATAGAATTATGACATAATATTTATTACAGCCAGTTCATTGTCTTTATTTCAAAAATACTTTAAGTAAATGGTAAATTTTCATACATTTTTAATTTTAAATACATACATGCCAAACAGTGATCTAACGTCGATCATTTAGTTGTTATGTAGAAATTTTGAATGCGGTCCGTCAAAGTGTCATGCGATTATATATATGCAATTTGAACAAGGAAACAACTCACCAACCTCGTGTTTTAAAGGAAAGACTATCAACATCGGGTAAATGGGTTTTGATACGAAATAATCATCTAAAGTCCTGACGAAGTAATTTTCCTAAGATTTAAGCTATGTACGAGATAAAAATTGAATTATATCAACGTCCATACATTTTTTAAAACAATTATTTAAGTTGAAAATGATAAACTACATTACACGCAATGGTAGACAGAAAATATCATAAGCTTGTGACCTCTGTAGATCTAGCATAAAGAAATTTGGTATTAAGACGCAGAATTGTTTTCATTAGGAAGAACCATGAGTAATAAGACGTCACGTCAACCGTACGACTTCGCGACTGGTAGGTGTCTTGTCTTTGAGGGAAAATCATAATGATACCGAAATGCTTGGCATCCTTTCGAAACGAATTGACACACTGCCCTGGATATTTTTGTGTCTTAAAATCCTTTAAAATGGTCATGATTTGTTGGTATTTATTTCCAATATACAATGTAATGATAAACATTTGCATTAGTGTTAATGTTTGTTCCAGACTTTACAAATCCCTTCCACATCAGTCTATAATCGATTGAATCTGATCATGTACATGTATTGTGGTAGAAAGAAAGAAGGAACAAGAAAACACGTACCGACCATTGGGGAACAGTTAACTTGACTGGATTCGTCAGGTTACCCACGTGATCTCCGAAAGTAACAGTATGATCGGTGGGAACTATTTTCGATGTGACTTTCTCAGACTGACATTTTTGTTGATAATAGCTGAAAGTGAAAACATATATTAATCTGTAAAATTCAAGCTGTGTGACCGTCAAGATATTGATGATAATTTGAACACTATTTTTTAATTACATTGACCTACATACATATGGTGGATGCCACAGAAGCTGAAGACACAAACTCTTCCGGAACAACTGGTCTTGTTCCTTTTGTTTCAGCGTTTCAATTAAAAACAAGCAAAAATCCATTTTATCCCTGCTTTCAGTTCTTTATCTTATATCTAAAGTTAATTTGGACTTTTGTATTATATTACTAATAGCTCACGGGATCATCATTAAACAGCAGAGATAATGATATGCATTATTGTTTGTCACTACTGAGTGTTACTCTTTATGCATTGTCATTTAATTCTTATCATATGTACAAATACCACTCTCTGGTTTCAATATCTTACAACATGGGTTTATCCGGGTTACACCAAATAGCTCTAACTGTGGAAAGGCATATATAGTGAAAACATAAAGCACCACAGAGTTAAATGATGTTCCAATGTGTACGAAACTTACTTCAAACAGAAGCTGATCTGTATTGGACAGGGAGTGTGACAGTTGGGGGACCTCTCTGTTGGGTTACAACAGACTTTAGTTTGCTGATGAAACAAGAACCCAGTACTCTCCTTCATATAAGCATAATGACCATTCTGGAAGCTTTTAACGGCGATCTCTACCACAGCTTCACCGAAAGCCTGAAATAAAGATATTAAATGTAGTTACAATTTCAAATTAATTTACTACTCTTCTTGAGAGTTAAAGAGAACTTTATTATCAATTTCTGTGCTAGAACTCGTCAAATGACTGACACATTCATAATACAAGGTTTCAAAAGATGACAGTCGATGAAAATTATAGGAAAATTACGGTCGTCATAGTGATATCACGGTATCTTTGGAAGAACTCGTCAAATGACGGACAAACTCATAATAGAAGGTTTTAAAAGATGGAAGTTGAGGAAAATTATGGGAAGTTTTACTGTCGTCAAAGTGATCGCATTGATAAATATTCTGTTTCTTTGTGCGATATGAGACTGAACGTGTTTGGTGCCCGTTAGTTTACTGTTGGTTGTATGCCTTGGTCTCATCTGAGAACTTGACATCACATTCTGAGACTGACCAAGGATTACATTGCGGGTGTCGTCGATGAAACAGAGGGCATTTAATCTTACGGAAGACCTGGCCCCACTTGCATAAAACATCTCAACTTGAGATTTCCTCAAGTCGAGATTTTCCTCAGCTGATATCTCCTTGAAAATATCTTGTATGAAAATTCCTCAAGGAATTTCAGGACATCCTAGCCGATGCCTTCCTCCTGTTCCTTGAGAAAATTTTATACAAGCCGTTTTTGAGGAGATATCAGCTGAGGAAAATCTCGACTTGAGGAAATCTCAAATTGAGATGTTTTATACAAGTGGGGCCAGGTCTTATTCTCCTTGCACTTTTTTCGGAGTCTTCGCGTAAGTATTTTTGTTCATATTTTGCCATAGTTTTATTGAATTTTAGTTTGGACTATGATTGTGTTGACATGTTGGTATTTTCTTTTTTTTGTGCAAAAAAGACAAATAAATGATCACGTTATTCATTAAGAAATGAGTTACACTTTATCATACAACTGTAAATCTTCTAGGGCTCGTCAATTATGTCAAGGGACTTGATTATTCAATACATATAAATCGATTAAAGGAAAATAATAAAAGATTGTGAAAATTGTCAATTTCAGGATGTGAAAATGAATTAATCCAATACAGCTTATAATCTTAGGTGATGGATGAAAGTAAAGGACCACAAACTACATGGTGGCATCCCTCATTGATAATAGGCGGCTTCTAAAATTACTTACTTTATTTTAAATTATTTTTTAAATTATTATTATCATTAATTGTTGTTAATTGAGATAAAAGTAACAACATTAGTGTGATAACCGTTCATCCTAATACTGAGAAGGAAAAAAGAACGTTCCTGAAAAATACAATGTGCAGCATACTGTACAAAATATATCAACGTCTAATAGTTACTATTTCTAAAATGATTTTTCTTTTTTATTCTTCTAGTTATTTCATTCAATTTGTCACTTACATAAAACTTAAGAAAATGTGTGATGTGTTTTGTTAAGTGGCCGGAGAAAAGTCAATATCATGATATATTATTGAATTCGTCCATTTTTTTTAAAAGTTTGTATGGTATAAACAATTCAATTCAAGGTAATCCCTGGCCTTAAGAACGTTTTATGCAGTCCCCCAAACGAAGAGGGGTATTTATTGTTTTTATTCCGGATATGACTTTCTTGGGGGTTTTTTCTTCAGGTAAACCATGTCCGCCACTTTTCCCGATAATTATTTACCCAAAAGTCATGAAACATTCCATGGACATTGGCTGCTCAGGATCTCAATGGCACGTGTCTCGTTGCGTATTTCATATTGACATCCACATATCATGGCCTCTGATTGGTCGAAAGTTTGTCCCGGAATACCTTCTATTTTACTAGTTGGAACTTAATGAAAAATTGTGAAAGGTATCCACAAATGACACTTAAAAAAATCCCATTTAATTTTGAAAACAAAATGGCTACCGAGGAGAGTCTTTTGCCTGATCGAAATTAAAATATCGCCCTATTTTCGCGAAAATTGGTTTCTACGTATTTTCTGAGGCGACGGGCTTAACAGTGATTTTCTGATTGAACAAAGTTACAGAGTTTAGAGAGGTGTCTAATATTGGAATGTTAATGTTTCCGGATTTTGATCAAATTTGGTATATAGGATTATTAATAACACTACGAACACTGGCGTCATATAATTGGAAAAGTTGTCACCCTAGTCAGGCGACCAATTTTGTGAAACTTTCATATCGTTTGATTTCGATTTTTTCAACTGCGGGGTGTTTGGGGACTTATGTAAGAGTTCCTGTTACAATTAAAATGATGTTTTGAAATGAGATAGAACAGTCAACACAACCATGAATCTTGATCCGTATACCAGAATTTTACCATGACATGAAAAAAGCCTATCTAGTATTAATAACAGATATCAAGAAATGCCTTACCTGAGAGATTACAGAGATGATCCACAAAGCAAACACTCCGAGTATTCTTGTATTACTTGTAACGACCATCATTTTTCACGCCTATAAAGTACCCACTTACATGTCTATTATTATTATCAATATTATGAAATGACAAACGAGTTTATCTCATAGCATTCATGGACAAGAGGTCGCTTCATCGTACGATCACTGTTGACAGTGAGATAATTACAGGTAGACAAAGGACGTAGCCCTAGATCCAGACCTGTCCTGGGTATCAGTTATCTGATTTTCGGCGTTCTGTTGTTACATGTGTTACAACAACTTAATATGATTGTTTAACGTTGATATCATATTACTGTATTACAGTTGTATTATATTGCTGAGTGGTAAAGCAATTAAGCTGACAACTAGGGGGCTTTGCCGGATTTTTTTCAGCTTAAAAATCTTATCTCGGCGATTTATCAAACATCTCGATAATATACGCGGGTGATTTGTTTGTTTTAAACCTGTCCGATTTTGTAAATGTTATAAATGTCATCTACTGCTGTTAAAACATCATGTTGATACCACAGCGAAGATAACATTTAATTTAGTAAGGTTAAGTTTCACCTTGTTCAGAGTGTTGTATGGTAGATATATGAATATTTTTGTGCTTTGTGACGCGGGTCAATATTTGGACATTTCCCTGTTTAATTTTGGATACACTTGTATGTCATACCCACAATGAAATCATTTTATTTTTCTAATAAGACGTTTTGCTAGAATTATTTCAAATTAGGGTGAAATGAAAGATACCTGCCTTTCAGGCGTTGGTGATAACTATGACAAATATCAGTTAGATGCATTACAGTCAAATAATGGAATAAACTTCATCATATAGCTGTTTCGTCCTTCTAGGACTCATCAGTGATGCTAAGGACCGAAATTTTGAAGCCTATGAGGCAACTGTGGAAATCTTAATATTGGAAGAATTGTCAAATTATAAATGAAAACTTGTGATATTTCTATAATTCAATAAATTTTGTCCGTCTGATAGTTTAGAAGAGCGTCACGTACTTTTGTGTGTATGAATATATAGCATGCATGTTACAGCATCCTACTGAATTGGTAACACGAAAAGAGAACAAGTTTCCGTGGACAAGAGGTCGCTGCATCGTACGATCACTGTTGACAGGTGAGATAATTACAGGTACAGTCTGTGATTATGCACATAGGTAGACTATGACTGATTATTAAACCTATGATATTCTGCAAATGTAAAACGACAATATTATTACTAAATACCTGCAAACTGTAGATTAATATAAATGTACCAATGACGGATAAGACCCCCCCCCTCCATAACTGATCGCGCTCAGTGAAGATAAGACATATCGTTTCTCTGTATTTTAACTCAGAACTCGGGATGGTGTGTTTATTTCAACTTCAGCTCCATGACGTATTTCTGTATTTATCAGTCAAACTAGAAAATATCAATTGATATACAAAACAGTATACCTGCAATAACCTAGACGTAAGCGTCATATTGTTGATTTTCGAATAATGCTTTGATTGAAATTATACCTAAAAACATACTGAAGGAAGAACATTCCGTCGAACGGAATTTCCAAGAATCAGACACATTTTTTTCCAATGATACCATTCGTTGTATTTCAAGATGGTCGTCAAGGAGATTTCCGTCAATAGCATTACGTCAAAGTTTACTCAACGTCAATGTAGTTTGAAAGGATCGCCCTCTTGCTAATTCGTAACTCGATTGCTCTGTTTAGAGTGTACCCGCCAAATTATAAATTCAATTGCTTATGTTTGAAGAAACGCAATGAATTTCAGATTGTTATATTGTTGAAATTAGTGTCAGAAGGACAATGCTGTCGGGATGTCGACCGTTCTACAATGCAGCACTGTGGTAAAGGGATGTACCGGTGTTTACGTTAACGTTCATTCCAACCAGGGGGGTGCCTCGTAGTGGTATCTTTACCCTTTCCCGGGGGCCAAAGCGCAAATAAAATCCTCATCTTTCACTAAGGCAACCTAGGGTCTTAATTGCTGCTTAAATAATCTATACTCTGTATCGAAATCATACTTCAGCATAGTAATCATTTAAAAGCAAAACAGCGGGGGAGGGGGGAGGGGTGGGGGTTACAGTGTCGGAGCATATACAATGCCGACTGGACCTCCGACAGAATCTATGAGATCGGCCTGACGTCATTGGAAGGGTCTTGTGGTAGGACCACATGAGGATGGAGGGTGTTTCCAAAGCGGAACACGTGCGATGTAAACTTCCGGGCAGCTACCTGGGAACAATCCGCTGAAGGTTTTAGAGTGGTCCATGGGAGATAACTGAATGATAGGTTTTATCAGGGACGTATACGTCCCTGGTTTTATCCACTTCAGAGATTTGTACCATTACCTTTTTTGTAGTCACGACAGATTTCGCTTTGTTTCGTGCACTTAAACACGGGAAAGGATTTGTATGTGTGTATGGGTTGACATATTTACAAGGTCGTCAGTATTCTCCCTGAAGGTGCGTAGCAAAACGGTTGACTTTCTATCAACATATCTGATGCATCTCTTCGCCACAGTAGAATAGTGGCGATGCAGCCACCATCGGCAAGAGCTGTACTGGACCAGCTGAGTAAATGTAAACTGTAGAAAAACAAGAAGAAAATACAAACATGTCAACATTATCATAATTCAAATTCAATAAAACTAGGGTAAATATGAAAAATGTCATATTCGATGAATTTTCATTGAATTAAAATTAAAAACTTGCAAGGACATTTATCAAACAATGAACAAGTTTAACTATTCGCAAGTGTATGCCCTTTCACATTCTTTGGTCTCAGTGTGTCTTATTTGTATCTGTAACGATCAACACTTAATTCGACGATCAAAATTCTAAATAGAAATTACTGTTATCGATAAGATATAAGACAGTCAAATGGTTTCTTAGCCTGTTGTCTTCCGGCTGACAAGAAAGGGGATATTCTCTACAGTTAATACACACACCACCTATGAAAAGACAGTAAAACAGATACACACCAGACTTCAAACTTGTAACTGTTTTCGTAACTTTATCAATACGGTAACGGAACATTTTTATTAAAAATATATTTGAGTTGTACATAATTTGTGTTTATGATATTTTTTTTTGTTAGGTAACTTAATATATTCCCCATATTAACGAAAAGAGTAGTAAAATTTAAAATCTTGTTCATACGTCATCATCACATTGTACGGATTCAAAGTTAAATTGTTGGGCCAGAGACAACAACAAAAAAAACACAACAGAATGAATCATTTCATGTAAAAAAAATAATAAATAAAAAAATAAATGGGAAAACGGAATTGATAAAATTATTAAAAAATAATTTTGAAGGCAACTGTATTGTATATAGAATTGGACGTACACGTATGTAATCACCACTTTCTCCGAGAAGAGCAGATCTAATGTCATCACGTTTCTTGCTTATCATATTTTTGTTGATTGAAGAAAAGAGGTGACCATGGATCACCTCCTGCCATCTGTGTAAACTGTAATTTCAAGATTGGATGACTAATTTTGGCTTTACATAAAAACTCATGATTTTCCCCTTCTTCTTAACAGACATCATCTATATATATATACCATAGCTGTTATTGCAATGTTGGGGGGGGGGGGGGGGGGGGGGGGGGGGGGGGGGGGGGGGCAGCTGAATGAGAACATATAGGCTCCACCAAAGAAAGACGTCAAGTTTCTGGATCTGCTAGGAGAGTTTGAAATATATGATTTGATTTTGGGAAACAGAAAATACTTCTATTTACCAACATTTGTCAATATCAATGAAAAGTTGATGCAACAAATTATGCAATTTCATTTTCTCGTCATGTGTGTTATCTTTCAAGTGTGCTGTCAGAGAAAACATCTAACATTGAAATAACCAAGTTTGTATTCGTACATTTTTATTTCTAGTTATGACTTGGACCGGAAAATATTTAAAGTTAAATGGGATATTCGACTTAACGAAGTTGAACTGTGCATTCCAACCAAACGATTTGAAACCAAAATAGGTGTATTGAAGGTACAACATCACTTTTGGTATTTCCACTTAATTGAAACCAATCCATAACTGAAATGCATCTGGTACAGAGATGATATATATTTAGGCCTAATATTGTTTTCCATCGTTTTGTAAATATTATAGGGCGGTGAGCATGAAGGGTGGTCTCCCTAACAATTAAAATAAATATTAGGCCTAGACTGTTTAAATATTTGGGAAAAGGGCAAAAAGTCGCAGCGAATTCAGACTCGATGCTATATTTAGGAGTTCGCTTAACTTTACAAATGACTCGCAATTATGTATTGACTAAACAGTAACAAACAGATGATGAAGTATAAATTTAGAGTATTTTCGAGTTTATAGTGGTACTTGAAGCTCGGAGTGAGCTCTACTACCCACCTCTTGTGTCTGTCTAGTTCGTCCGCTATCTTGAAAGAAAGGGTACTGTACGCGGTAAAGATAAATCACGAAAAGGGCCGACAAGGAGTCGGAGAGTACATAATTTCAATGTGTTTTACCATGTGTAGAGAGCATGTAAAACTTAATATTTGAAAAAATAATATACACATTTAAATAGATTTTTAGCAATATTTTCAACATAAATATCACTTTAAAACAAATAAAACACCTCTTTAAAATCATGATTACCCTGTTCGGTTTATTTTGATTTACCTCTCACTGCAAATCATTTTAAAACCAAAAATAAAATATGATCCAAAACCTATAAAAACAATACAAAGCTGTGAAAACAAAACAATGCAAAACTGTAGAATCTTAAAAAGCTTAAGACATATTCCAAAGGACTATTCCATAAGTGATCAAAGTTTGCAGGTCAATTGTACGGTCTGCAGCACCGGAAGCACCGTGCCTGTCCCTACTGTGCAAATGACTAAGGGGAGCTAACTCGCACTGGAATTGGGCGGATAAGGGACTAAACAAATATGGCGGTCCAGGAAGAGTCGGGTACATTGTGACACAAACATGGCACATTTTGGAAAAGACCTCGATCATTTCAGTTCGTCTAGAACTGTGAGGATTAAAGGGTCTGAAACAGTGGAAAACCATACGGTAATATTTATCAGCAATGGCCGCCAACATTTGTACTTTATTGTCTACTATCATGACGTAATCTGGTTTTGACGATAATGTTTGTTTACAATTTGAAGTTGGCAATCTACAGCTGACCTGAGCTCGCATCGTTAAAAAAACGCACACGTGTATTTTGACTTATCGATATCGTTATTAACGTGTCCTATCATATATGTAATGGAATCCTACTTATGTTTTGATGACACAATTAACACGATAACGCTCATATTAATATGCATGCCTGACACCTACATCAGTTTTGTGTTAGCATGCATAGAGACCTCAGTATATATCATTACGCTAATTAATGGGACCTCTTGAGAATCGTATATCGGGAGCAATACTACGGCAAGGACTTGCAACCAAACAAAATAGAAGATTTTTTCAATTAAGTGTTTAGTTACATTGACATTTTCACAAGATATCCACAGATGTAAACCTTACGTTCCTCATTTGAAATGATGGGTCTGTGTATCGGAAATACGAATTCACTTCAGTTTTCTGATGACACCATCAAATCAAAGTAACCCTTAAGTAAGCTAGTCCGAAAGGTTCTTACTATTTCTATTTTCAGGGCTCTAACACCCCATTTTGGGACTTGGGCCCGGGGCCCTTTGAACTGGGAAAAATAATGGTGTTTTCCTTAGAATTGGGAAAACTTGGGGTCTAAATTGGGAAAAAAGATACTATTTTGCATTGGGAATAGGGCCGAATATCGGCCCCAAATATGGCAGATGGAGAGCCCTGATTTTATTTGTGCCACAATTTTATTGTTGTCTTTGTCATTTTCGATAGGTAATTTAGATTGTTTGGACCTAGGCAAACAATATCTAAAATGGTAAAATGAGTGTTTTGGTAATTTTGGTAAGAAAGGATATATTCATGTATTTCACTACGTTTTGATTTATTCAGCTTTTTTTTCCCAAAGTGTTACATGTTACAATATCCGAAGTATTTCAGCTTAGAGGTCACACAGCTCATAGTTCACATGATACAGCTTGATAAAATGGTAGTTCTGAAGCACATAGTGGTCCAGACTGATATCTTAATAACATTTCCCAATTGTTGACATAATGTCTTGTTGACTGTGGTATTGGCCATGGATGTAGCTGCCAATATCTCAACAATTAAAAATGCTAATAAGAAACTGTGGTCATTGGCACAATGACACTAGTCTATTTCCTGACATACCGATAGTCAACACCCAGAAATGATAAGATAACATACTGTAATATCTTCCTTATTGTTGAACACAAGTTTCAGATTTCATTGATAATTGAAAGAAATTCTTATAGTTTTAAGAGTTTTGATGTGTATAGTCGTATTATAAATACCAACCATATCCTCTCCAACTCACTACTGATTGTGAGGGGGAGGGATGGTGGTGTAGGGAATTGATATACTGGAATCACCAGTCTCCATCTGTCCATCCGTCCATAGACAAATTTTGTCCAGCTGTGCATTAGCTCAGTTTTCAACGGATTTTCTTTTTAATTTTGTGGAATAACCAGCATATTAAGGAGATGTGCCCCCTGAAGTAGCTTTGCATTTTCCTTGTAGCAGGGAGTATATCCCCCTTTATATAACAAAAATGAACACAACTTTGTCTGGCTATGCAGTCGCTCAGCTTACAACAGATCTTTGAAAAAATTTGTGTGAATGGCCAGTACAGTTTTGAGATGAGCAGAGCCATAAAGGGTCTAATTGACTTAAATTTTTAGATATTCTTCTCAATACCCAAATATGGTAGAATCTAACACTCCTTATGGATGGAAGAGTCTACAGGCACTTTACTCTGGCTTACCCCAAGGGACTGATGGATGTTGCCAAAAAGGATCAAATTGATAGAAATTTCAAAACTTTTCTCAATAACAAAATTGTCTATAGACTATATATAATACTCTTCATGGATGGAAAGGTCATAAAGTAAAGTGTTCTGGCCCAGTACAAATAGCATTAATCATTTTCTCTTCACTACACTACACATAAATTCCAGTTGTTTCAGTTTGTGAGCTCACTCAGGTGACTGTTTAGTTTAATAAGAATGATGATATTTTATCAGTTATCACTGATGATTGGTGTCTTTATTTTCACATGTATCTTTGATATTTTAGGTTTACACGGTAGAAGTCTCGGTTGGATCCTACACGTGGACTGTTAAACACCGATACAATGATTTCCTTTTGCTACATGAGAAGGTACTTATCACTACCTTGTTCAAATGGTTTCCTCTCTTTGCTAGGAATTGTGAAATGGGCTCTGACATCAAACTGTCACTCGAAAATAAAAATTTATACATAATATATTAAAAAAGTACTATAACACAACTAATCATGCATCTTGTATGATCTTATACCAAGGTATGTTTATATATATATATTTATGGGCGTATAAATATTGCCTGAAAATTAAGATAGCTTGATATTAATCAAAATTTAGTTTATCTTGTTCTTAGTAGTCATTTCTTGGTACGTCTTAACTTCTTAGTTTAAGTCTGGATTAATATATCCATATGTACATGTATATACAGTTCTATACGTGAAATACATCTATCATAATATACTAAAATAACTGGATTTATTGATATTAAATTCATTTATATAATTCCAGCTATCTTAATTGTATAATTTCACATATAGAATGTCCGATATTTCGGATATAGAACATTCGATCCTGTGGCATACTTTACATGTTTGTCACACCATAGACTTATGTTTATGATTAGTCAGCAAAATCAGAGAAAACCTAACTGCCCATCACTGCCCTGGGCACCTATTTGGTCCATGTTTTTGTTAAAATTTTCATGATTTTCCATTAAGCCGCCCTGGGCAGTAGTTTTTCCCGTAGATCCAGGTACAAGTGAAAACATCAATAATTTGATACAACATATAAATAATTTGAATTATCTTTTTTTTATCAAAATTTCTAAGTCATATTCATTCATTTTTTTTCAACAGCTGGTTTCAGTATGCAAAATAGACAAGACCCTGTTGCCTCCAAAAAAAATATTTGGAAACCAAAGTGAGGGATTTATAAAGAAGCGCCAGGCGGAGTTAGAGGCCTATCTACAAACAGTGTTGTACTACGTAGCTCACAAAGTTCCACCAGTTCTTGCCACCTTCCTTGAATTCAATAGATATGTGAGGGAATCATATATTTCTATAAACAAAAATGATTACCTTTTTCTTACATTTTTTTAATATCATTACATGTGCATGTACTTGTCTTGTCTGATAGATACTATGCATGGGTAAACTGGGCGTATGAAGGGAGTAGTTGATGTGGTTGTAAATAGATGGGCCTATCTATTATGTTCATTCACACAGTGAACGTTTAAGAAAGCACTTGTGTAAGAAATAATATAACTAACTGAATTTGTTATTTTTTGTAACTTTAAATTTTGAAAAATGAAAATTATATCTTCACAATATTGTCCTTTAAGATACCTTTTCATAAATTATGGTTTTTTTAAATGAATGTTAACTACAGATTTTAAGAGTAAATTTTAATAAGCTTTATTGTTGTTTCTACTGATCCTGATGAAGTGTTACACACATGTAGATACATGTGTACCAGTTATAAAGTCACTGTAAATACAATATTTCTGTACAAGTAATAAAATTGGTTACATTTGTAGTATTTAGTTCTCTTACAAACTAGTACCTCAGTATTTTTATACCTGGTAATTATAAATAAATGATATATTTTGAAATTTCTCTTTTGACAGGAAATTCATGGCATTACACAGGGTATGGCAGAAGATCTCTACAATAGAGGTACGCAAAATGTCTGATATCTTCGTATCAGAATCTGATACTGCAGAACAATAGACTTTCATCATGGCAAACTTTGGAATGAATCACATGTACTGTTATTTGATGAACAGGTTATATTAACACTCTGTCAGATTCTGATAGGTTTGACAACTGACAGATACGACACAACCTTGGTATACTAACCATAAGAAAGTGTTTAGCTTATTCTTGCATTATGTGCTGTGAAAAGTCAAGGTCATTTTAGGTTGTAGAAGAAACCTGTAGCTCTTAGACAAAAAAAGGAAAACCACATCTCTGCCAGTACGTGGCGTCTGCCTCATGAAGGCTTTGAACCTGCGACCCAGAGTTAGGAGATTTAGTGATTATAATGGCCAGAGGCCTTAACCATTCATCCACTGGGGCTCCTATCGTATGGAAACTGTGATTTTGAATATGTGAAATATTTCAGTTTTCATGTAATTTAAATGTTGTTTTTACTTTGTAGGGGATGTCCTACTCCAATCTAGGGAGATGTATGAAGTGACCCCTCTTCAGCTTTTCTCTCTCACTGAACGTCTGAAGTTGCCTGAACCTACCTGTGGTCAGTACCTTTCACTCTCTCTGTATCTTATCTAAGTGTTTACATGCATTTTTGAGATTTTTTATCCTTTTTACCATAATTTCACCAATTTGTTGTCATTTTGAGTTTTTGTGGTAGGTTTAAATTGTCATAGTTCTTTGTTTTTCGTGTAGATACTCAAACTCAGATTATCATTTTTTTCATTTTGCACTGTAATTGCAATCTCTTGTTCTATATGAAGAAAACTGTACTTAGAGAATGTTTCTTATTTTGTTTAAGTAACTTTAAATGAAAGCATTTAATGACATCATCATTATCTTTTGCTTTTGACATCTGAACATAAGACTTGATTTTTGCAACACCTTAAAATTAATTAAAGATATACAAAAGTATAAATTTTATAAATTGAAAGGTTTCTTGTTTATCAGTATTAAGTTACATTAAACGCTTGAAAACATGACAAGGTGTTAATAACTTTCCATATATATTGCTATGATTGAAAGTTCATATGAATGCCTTAGTGTATTTGAAGGTGATAACAGTGATATGCTTTGTTGTTGTGTAATGTACTATTGTCCTAATTGTCTTTGCTTGTGTTTCATATTATGGTTTAAAATGATACATTTGTTTTGCACAATGTTATTGAATATTCTTCTTTGATTTGTGTAAATGTTTACTAAACAATAGAGATGTGTGTTTTAGCTTTATCATTTTGATTTTACATTGTAACTTGTTCTAACACTTATTTGATACTTTGCTTTCTTTATATCTGGCTGTTGGTATGGTAACGGTTCTATAATCCTAGGAGGTAGGTCATCGCTTGAAGTCTGTGCAAATATATATTAAAACATTTCTTCACAAATTGTGAAAATTCTAATAACTCTGGTTTGAGAAAGGCTAACGGAGTTGTTGAATATTATAAGCTAGCCTATCGTCACCATAATCAGCTAGATAAGTGTGCACTACTGTGGCATTCCCACATTTAGTTTCCACTAACACTGCACTACTGCCTTTGTCTGATTCAATTCCAATGCGGATTATCACAGGCTTTGGTTTTTCTACGCCCGAATTCTAATTATTTATTTTCCAGTCACAATGCTCCAAAAATGTGTTGAAACTCTATTTAGCTTTGAAGTACAATCAGCCTTTTCTCAGCATGCAATTTTCTGAGAGTTGAAGCATATTATATACAAGGTTTTATGACACACATTTATATTTTAACATGTTCCTTACCAAAAGTATGTGCTTAATATTGTTTTTCAGGTCCAAAGGACAAATATCAAGGTCACCGTTACTATAAATAGGATTTTTTTTTGGTGATAACTTGAGTAGACTTTGGGTGAGCTACCTCAAAATTTATACAGTGCTTCCTTACCAGACGTGTTTGCTTGGGATTGCTTTTCAGGTTCAAAGGTCAAAGGTCAAGATCACTGTTACTATAAACAGGAAATTGTTTCTTTGTGATAACTTCAGTTTCCCTAGGCTGATCAACATCAAAATTAATACAGTGATACCTTACTAAATGTGCTTCCTTGGGATTTCTTTTGAGGTTTGAAAGTCAAAGGTCAAGGACAGTGTTACCATATATAGGAGATTGGTTTTCATGCGATAACTTGAGCTTTCTTTGGACAATTTAATTGAAACTTCTTGCAGTGCTACAATATCAGAGTTGCTTGCTTTTCAGGTTTGAAGGTCAAAGGTTAAGGTCACTGTTCCTATCAATAGAGAATTGGTTTTCGTACAATAACCCTACAAAAGGTACTTGCTGGGATTGCTTTTCAGGATAAAAGGTCAAAGGTCAAGGTCATTGTTGCTGTAAAAGGAAAATTGGTTTTATGTGATTACTTGAGATTTCCTTGGACAATTAGACACAATCTTCATACAATGCTTCTTAATCAAAAAGGCTTGTTTGAGATTGCTTTTCAGGTGGGTTGTCCATGTTTCTTTCATATTTGGAGCAAAACAAATTATGTAATTGGAATAAATACAATGAATAACTATGGCCTTGTTCCATAAAACTCACATTCATTAACCTTGCTGAGCAGGCAACACATCCATTTTTGTGGAATTCTTGTCTCTCCAAAAATGTATGACAGTGATTTTGTTACTAAAATCTTGAAATCATGCTAAAGTTAAGTTGGTGCATTACTTGTAGGCCTAATCTTTTGTATATGTTTTATTGCACTTTTTTTTTCTGTATAATTTTAGCTTTAACTTTTCATAGCACAGTAAACTCCACTTTTTATGAAGTCAGATTTAATGATATTCTGCATTATAAGGTTTACCCCATTGACCCCATATATAACTCTATATAAATTTTACCTGTATTTATAATGTCACGATGCACAATTAATTGCTTTGTACAATGTGATTTGAGGGTCCCTGCAGTGTAATTTACCTGTATGGACGATCCTTCGTCACTTACGCTAAACAAATTTGTATCTTGTCTAGAAAACACTACTCACAGTAACACACAAAGTAAAAAAATCTCACTGTTCATATCCATTCATTTTACACTTGTATTCATAACAAGGTGTCAAAAATGTCTACACCTCAGGAAAGAAAAACACTTGAAAAGGAACAATAAATAGTAAAATTTCACATTTTACCATGGTGGTAGCCATGGTTACATGCAGTATTACATGAGTGAAAACATTGTGCCGCTTGATTACACTTGCTGATAAGGCCTACGCATTGACCAGGTCAGAACTGAACTGGTATCGTATTTCATGAAGTTTGGTTTCTACAAAGTATTTTTGATGGTCCTGACTTCGTAAAAAGCAGAATTTACTGTATATATGTATGCTTGTTGCCTTTACTGTATATGTGTATGTTTGTTGCCTTTATTGTGTATGTATTTGCTTGTTGCCTTCACTGTATATGTGTATGCTTGTTGCCTTTGCATTTGTGTGTGTGCTCCTGCACCTTGATTTACAGGGTTATCTCCCTTACCATAAGCCCATTCTTGGTAATAAGCTTCCCTCTCATACAAACACCTTGTTAGTATCATTTTGTGTCAGGTCTTTATTATCTTTGTGTTAGATCATCTTGGAAGATAATTAATCATACCCTAGAGGACATGTATAACTATTTTCTAGTAGAAATGCATGTATATTCCTGTGTGTGAAATTTTAACTGGTGACACAAGATACAAAAGAACACAGCATAACAAAACTGTGTGCCTACAATGTGTTGGGTATGCTTTACAAAACCTAATTGAACAGGTTGTTAAAGTTCAGATTTATTATACAAAATGCCTTGATAATTATTTTGTATTACTTTGATGAGGGTCTAGTTTGGATGAACTACAGATACATTTTTTTTTTTGGAAAAAATAGAGGTGGGATCCTTATTTGATGGTACAGGATGCTAATAAAAGTGACTAATCGTGATAAATGCAGAAGTGGGACATTTTTATTATTTTTTTTTTTTTGGCATTGCAAGACATGATTGATTTCATAAAATCAAGGTTGATTAATACAGGCATATACAATTTGCATAGATTTTCCTAAATTATACAAAATATATTCTCATTGCACAACTACAGTTACAATACTAATAAATATTATGACACATTTTATGCGAGGGTTAAACTGTTTATCAAAATGTATTTCATGCTTTCAAAATCTGTTCATTTCAGATAGTGGTGATGTTAAAAAAGATATAGGGCACATCTTGGACTTCATCACAAGAGTCAAATATCTAAAGGTATATTGTAATGTAATATGGGGTATTTCAGCTGTGGTACATCTTCAATTTGGGCATTTTACTTCATTATGTAATTCGTAAGTCCCCCAAGAAGTCTGTTTGGCAGTAAATAGTTAAGTTGCCTCTCTTCAGGTACATAGTTGAGCCAGCAGCTTCGATATCTTGACAGTGTATTTAAACATTTACTTGTTGGCCGGGTAATACTGAAGTTTTGGCAAGCACTACAGCTGTTATAGCCCCTTAGCCCATATTATGATAATGTAATAAACTGTTAAGATTCCTCGCAATGTGCCTCTGCTTAATTTGTCATAAAGTGATATTTATTGATACAAAATAGAACATAGTGTTCAGCAACTGTTAATTTTGTAAGATTAACTAATTTCTATTAAACTACTTTGAATTCATTCATGTTTGAAATGTGAATGCACCATTAGAAAGATGGTTTTATTATTACCAAATCTGTTGTACAAAATCCATTTACAGACATAATTGATAGAATTACTGAAATTTTTATTTTTTTTTACAGGTTGTTGGCAATACAGATCCTGTGGGATCCAGCAATATTGATATGTCACAGCTCAAATTTGACCTTTCTCTGTTCAAGTCACTCCAGTGCTTAGAGGTCAGTGGTAATATTGTGGAAATTTTCTTTTGGTTAGAACCTTAAAATTTAAAGGTTGGGAAGCAAGAAATAAAAAAGAGAAAATTTCAAAACCGGAAAAATAAATTTAGTATGTATATGATATATTGGACATTGTAACACAATTAACAAAGGAAGAGTTTTTGACTTGTGCCCTATCATGGCCTCAAACTCATGGTCAATGACACCAAATTGCCTAGTCAAGAAATTCCAGACTGCCTAACCATTACACCACCACGACATCCTGACTTGACATGGAGTTTGATATATATTAATGAAAAATAAAAAAATAAAGAGAAAATGAAGGGAAAATGTTAAAAAGAATGAATTTATAAAACAAAATTATCTTGTACTCATTTCTTTCTCAACAACATCTATGTGAGATATTCATGTCTTTCATTCAACGATATGTAATCTGTGTTATCTGTTACCCAGGTATCGTTCAGTATAGCTCTCCAAATCTCTGGAATAGATACCATCAAACAGACAATGGATAGAATCACGCTTCATTACTGTGTCAGCAAAATCAGGGTAGGTTCCAGTCACTTCATTCCAGCAGATAGATTGACCTTTCACCTTTGATACATGTAATTAGCATGTCTACATCAGAATACATATTAACATCCGACTCCTTTTTGCCAAACATCGCGGTGATACCTATACCTAACTTCATGACAAATTTTGTTCATGTTGTTTACGTAATAAACGTAAATCTCTTACATTTTGCATGGGATTTAATTCAAGCTTAACAGGTGAAGAGAGTCGATCTAGAAATCAAATCCTTTACGATAATTTGTACAATATAATTCTGGATAACAATTATGTTGATTTGATTACTGATTTTGGAGTCTTGAAAAGTGTACTATCTTCTTATTCACAAATTTGAAGTTATTTTTAGATCAGCATTATGCAATCATGTATTCGTGAATATATCTAAAGTTGGTGAAATAAATTATTTGCAAAATCTATGTGTTTTACATTATATTGTACTTTCAATTTTTTTTACAGTTTCACATGCTTAAGCATTGTTGTGATATTTATGGTGTTGAATTATGCCCCAATGAAAAACTTCATTTCTGTCAGAGAGGAACATCCCTGAAAAAGTGATGTCAGTTCAACTTAGTGTTTCACACATTCTATAATCGCATGGCTTTGCTTTGTACTGCGTTACAGGACATCCTGCTGCAAGACTTACCACAGTGGAAGGCAGATGATGGTACATTGCTTGTGTCCTACTGGGACAAACTCACAGAAGCTGATTTCAGTCACAACACCATCACAGATATAGACGATAGTGTGGTGAGTCAGTTATCTCCCCTGAATCGCCAGTTACCTCCCTTCTACCAGAAAAAGATATAAGCCTTTGCATTTGATTGTCCACACATTCTTTTCAGTTATAGTTGTTATTGTAATTAAAATACGAAATCCCCATGTTAAAATCTCTTGAAAACATAATACCAGACAGAATGATTTTGTCAGATGGAAATCGAGTTAATTTAATTATTCATTAAGTAAATAAATGTACAATCTATATGATCAAGAATGAGTTGTTATACAGTTTCTTTAAATATTGTACATTATTTATAGTCAGATAAATTGCAAAAGTGTGGATTGCTTCATTCTTTGAATCTTGTCTTTTTTTAAGCAACTGATGCCGCGTGTGGAGGTCCTGAATCTCGCCCACAATCACATCAAGAGTATCCAGCACCTTAACTGGCTGAGTCGACTGACCTACCTCGACCTTTCCTATAACACATTTAGATCTCTTGATGCTTTACATACCAAAATTGGCAACCTGAAGACCCTCATCCTGGCTGGAAATAAACTAGACAGTCTACAAGGTAAACAAGTACAAACTTTGTGTAGATGGTAATGCTGGCCTCTGGCCGTTACTGCTTGGTCTTGTTGAGATGAAATTAAGCGAGGCAAAAACTATAAGGTATACAGTTTTTAAAGTCAAATGTATTGAATAGTTTAGAAATACTTTATAACGTTTTTTGTGTGTGTGTTTCTTTTTTTGTTTATTTTGTTAAACTGAAATACAAAAAGAATCAGAAGCAAAAATTCATTGGCAAACAGTAGGACCTATTAGACTTGGTTTTTAAGGATATTACCAAGACTAAAACATGATGGCTGTATACATCATAGAACGCTATCTAACATTTTTTTGTACACTGTAGTATTTAATCTTATTTCAGAGGAGCAAACTAACTCTCGACTAGCTGTCAAGAATATTTTCCATTCTCGAATACTCTAGTTTCTGTATACATGTTCAAACCTTTTGACTTTACATGTATTGAGTATCAGAAAGTCAAGGCCATCATAGACATTGTTGATAACCCAAGGTCCTGATACTCAGCTTCAGGACTGTGGGTTACCAGCAATCCATCAGAGCGTGAAATGTGTTAAAGTTTGAACCGTATTAAGTATTTGATAATGAATGTTATAGTATGATTTCATGGACAGTAATGAATGTGATCAGTCTTGTACGTTGTGGTGACATTTATTGTTATCCTGTTTTCAGGACTGTCGAAGTTGTTCTCATTAGAAAATCTTGATGTCAGCCACAATGAGATCTCACAGGTAAGTGTGGCCTTGTAGATATGTTATATTATAGATGACAGAGGTGTTACATGTATGTAAGCTGACCTTGTAGATATGTTTATAGATGACAGAGGTGTTACATGTATGTAAGCTGACCTTGTAGATATGTTTGTAGATGACAGAGGTGTTACATGTATGTAAGCTGACCTTGTAGATATGTTTATAGATGACAGAGGTGTTACATGTATGTAAGCTGACCTTGTAGATATGTTGTATAGATGACAGAGGTGTTACATGTATGTAAGCTGACCTTGTAGATATGTTTATAGATGACAGAGGTGTTACATGTATGTAAGCTGACCTTGTAGATTAGTTATATTATAGACGACAGAGGTGTTACATGTATGTAAGCTGACCTTGTAGATTAGTTATATTATAGACGACAGAGGTGTTACATGTATGTAAGCTGACCTTGTAGATATATTTATAGAAGACAGGTGTTACATGTATGTAAGCTGACCTTGTAGATATATTTATAGAAGACAGGTGTTACATGTATGTAAGCTGACCTTGTAGATATGTTATATTGTAGATGACAGAGGTGTTACATGTATGTAAGCTGACAGAGGTGTTACATGTATGTAAGCTCACCTTGTAGATATGTTATATTATAGATGACAGAGGTGTTACATGTATGTAAGCTGACCTTGTAGATATGTTTATAGATGACAGAGGTGTTACATGTATGTAAGCTGACCTTGTAGATATGTTATATTGTAGATGACAGAGGTGTTACATGTATGTAAGCTGACCTTGTAGATATGTTTATAGATGACAGAGGTGTTACATGTATGTAAGCTGACCTTGTAGATATGTTATATTGTAGATGACAGAGGTGTTACATGTATGTAAGCTGACCTTGTAGATATGTTATATTGTAGATGACAGAGGTGTTACATGTATGTAAGCTGACCTTGTAGATATGTTTATAGATGACAGAGGTGTTACATGTATGTAAGCTGACCTTGTAGATATGTTTATAGATGACAGAGGTGTTACATGTATGTAAGCTGACCTTGTAGATATATTTATAGAAGACAGGTGTTACATGTATGTAAGCTGACCTTGTAGATATGTTTATAGATGACAGAGGTGTTACATGTATGTAAGCTGACCTTGTAGATATGTTATATTGTAGATGACAGAGGTGTTACATGTATGTAAGCTGACCTTGTAGATATGTTATATTGTAGATGACAGAGGTGTTACATGTATGTAAGCTGACCTTGTAGATATGTTATATTGTAGATGACAGAGGTGTTACATGTATGTAAGCTGACCTTGTAGATATGTTTATAGATGACAGAGGTGTTACATGTATGTAAGCTGACCTTGTAGATATGTTATATAGATGACAGAGGTGTTACATGTATGTAAGCTGACCTTGTAGATATGTTTATAGATGACAGAGGTGTTACATGTATGTAAGCTGACCTTGTAGATATGTTATATTGTATGACAGAGGTGTTACATGTATGTAAGCTGACCTTGTAGATATGTTTATAGATGACAGAGGTGTTACATGTATGTAAGCTGACCTTGTAGATATGTTTATAGATGACAGAGGTGTTACATGTATGTAAGCTGACCTTGTAGATATGTTATATTGTAGATGACAGAGGTGTTACATGTATGTAAGCTGACCTTGTAGATATGTTATATTGTAGATGACAGAGGTGTTACATGTATGTAAGCTGACCTTGTAGATATGTTATATTGTAGATGACAGAGGTGTTACATGTATGTAAGCTGACCTTGTAGATATGTTTATAGATGACAGAGGTGTTACATGTATGTAAGCTGACCTTGTAGATATGTTATATTGTAGATGACAGAGGTGTTACATGTATGTAAGCTGACCTTGTAGATATGTTATATTGTAGATGACAGAGGTTTTACATGTATGTAAGCTGACCTTGTTGATATGTTATATTGTAGATGACAGAGGTGTTACATGTATGTAAGCTGACCTTGTAGATATGTTTATAGATGACAGAGGTGTTATCAAATAAAGGTGATGTTTTCCCTTCTGAACTTCTTTTTCAGATATAATTATATTGTAGATGACAGAGGTGTTACATGTATGTAAGCTGCCCTGTTTGGAGGAACTTCACATGAACAATAACCCTGTTACTACAGTGCTGGACTACCGTACCAAGGTCCTCTCCATGTTTATGGACCGTGCATCAGAGGTAATGTATCATGAGTGTTCACAACTTTTATCAAATAAAGGTGATGTTTTCCCTTCTGAACTTCTTTTTCACAAATATAATTATAAATTGAATCAGTACTAAAGATAGATTTAAATTTGAAATTGAAACATTCTGTTCACAGTATAGATGTCTATTTTCTTGTAGGTAACCAGTGTGTGTTTCCTGTATCGATTGTTGGCTAGGTTTCTGTAGGTAACCAGTGTATGTTTCCTGTATCGATTGTTGGCTAGGTTTCTGTAGGTAACCAGTGTATGTTTCCTGTATCGATTGTTGGCTAGGTTTCTGTAGGTAACCAGTGTATGTTTCCTGTATTGATTGTTGGCTAGGTTTCTGTAGGTAACCAGTGTATGTTTCCTGTATTGACTGTTGGCTAGGTTTCTGTAGGTAACCAGTGTATGTTTCCTGTATTGATTGTTGGCTAGGTTTCTGTAGGTAACCAGTGTATGTTTCCTGTATCGATTGTTGGCTAGGTTTCTGTAGGTAACCAGTGTATGTTTCCTGTATCGATTGTTGGCTAGGTTTCTGTAGGTAACCAGTGTGTGTTTCCTGTATCGATTGTTGGCTAGGTTTCTGTAGGTAACCAGTGTATATTTCCTGTATCGATTGTTGGCTAGGTTTCTGTAGGTAACCAGTGTATGTTTCCTGTATTGATTGTTGGCTAGGTTTCTGTAGGTAACCAGTGTATGTTTCCTGTATCGATTGTTGGCTAGGTTTCTGTAGGTAACCAGTTTGTATATCTTCTGTCATCCACAATGTCCTCTACCAATCTCATTGGCTAGGTATCTGTAAGTAATGAGTAGATGTTTTCTGTTATTCTCAATGGTTGAGTTTCTGTAGGTAATCAGTACAGGTACTCCTGTCATCCTCAATGTCCTCTCCCCGTCTCATTGGCTTGGTATCGGTAGGTTATAAGTATATATGTCTTCTGTCATTCTCAGTGGATGGGTTTCTATAGGTAACCAGTACAGGTACTCCTGTCATCCTCAATGTCCTCTTCCCGTCTCATTGGCTTAGTATCTGTAGGTTATCAGTATTACATATGTCTGATTTCAATGGTTAGGTGCCTGTATTAATGGTGGAGGTTTCTGTAGGTAACCATTATTTACGCTCTCTGTTATCCTCTGTGGTTCGGGTTTCTGCAGGTAATCCTGGATGATCACAAGCCAAGTCAAAAGGAGTTGGACACTGTGGCTGTGCTACAGGCAATACAGAAGTCTAAAGAAAACAAGGACAAATCCAGGAAACCTATTACAAGGAAGGTAGGTGTTGGATATCACCATAATTAATCTTCACATCTTTTAACTTCATTTCAGTTTCTATCCAACTAATACTAGAGGAAGTTGACTTCAATGAAGGTTATTTACATGGAATACTTTGCTTCTGTGTTCAGGTTAGGAAATTTCAACATCCTTTAGTGTGGAATCTTAGCTTTTGTGATTATCTAAACCACCTTTTGGTATTTTCTGAGTGAAGTGACATATTGACTACAACACTGTTCAGCGTGTGGAGATTCTCTGTATCAGCTGTGGCGCTCACCATGTTTTTCTCTTACAGTCAATTAGTGATGACCGTCCCTCTGGTTCCCCTGTGTTGCCTGACCTTTATGAGGAGCAGGGGTTACCCCAGGCCAGTTCTACAGGTAATGTATGTATCCCTCCAGTGTGGCATGTGTCCTCTCATGGACCTGTCAAAACTGGCTTCACATTCAGCATGACCTGTTCTCTCTGGTTTGTAACGCTGTTGTCTGTAGCTTTTCATTTGGTGCTTTGTAGGTGGAAATAACATGGATTCGCAGAAGTAGACATAACACAACAAGTGGTCATTTTATACAGAATTTCTTTCACTCAATTTAGTTACAGAAAAGCTTTTTCGAATGTTCGTTGTACCTTTTTAAAAATAACAAAACGAGAGATGAAAAAATAACATATACAAGAGACAAACGTTTTGGTGAACTCTTTCTACCACAATACAAAGTACTATAATGATAATGAATTGACCTATTCTGTACTGAGGTGGGGTTTTTTTTCCACAAAATCTTGTCGGGCTTAATGATATTACCTGTAGTGATAAACCTTAATAAATATGCAAAACTGACAATTTTAGAAATATCTGGAATTGTCATTATTTATTATAAATCTTAACTTGTAATTACAGGGTTATTATCTTTAAAACAGTCAAATTATTACCATAAAAATCATGAACTACTTATTCCACGCTCTAATTTCCATAAGCATGTGGAGCACTGCTATAGTTAATTCCATGTGTGGTATAGCTGTTTGTTCATATCATCAGCTGATGCCTTGGAGGTTGAATAACGCCTACATATTGTTGGTAGAAATATTATTTGAAATTCTTCATTATTTCTCATTATTTCATTGTCCAGATTAACTAATGAAAATTGCTAGTACCAGGAAACTCTCACACTCGAGTAACCATCCTTTCACTGATAAAATCTTCACCAAGTATATAACTCCATACTTCAAATTATTGGTATGATTACACTTAGCACAAAGTTTCATGGTAAAGGTTTCCTGGTACAGTTTTCAGGAATAGAAGTAAAATTAATGTACCTTTGATGTTGCTATTCTAGTTCAGAATTAAATTTAATTTCAGTAAACAGAATTAAATTGAATTCAGTGACTTGATCAAATGATTAAGTTCTGTAGGATATATATAGGGAATATATTTTCTGATTTTAGAGGGAGGAGACTTATTTTCTGATATTAGAGAGAGGGGACTTATTTTCTGATATTAGAGAGAGGGGACTTATTTTCTGATATTAGAGAGAGGGGACTTATTTTCTGATATTTGAGAGGGGACTTATTTTCTGATATTAGAGAGGGGACTTATTTTCTGATATTAGAGAGGGGACTTATTTTCTGATATTTGAGAGGGGACTTATTTTCTGATATTAGAGAGGGGACTTATTTTCTGATATTTGAGAGGGGACTTATTTTCTGATATTAGAGAGGGGACTTATTTTCTGATATTAGAGAGAGGGGACTTATTTTCTGATATTAGAGAGGGGACTTATTTTCTGATATTAGAGAGAGGGGACTTATTTTCTGATATTAGAGAGAGGACTTATATTATTTTTTATCTGTGATTTGTGTTTCTATGTGTACTATAGAGACAAGTATGGGTTCTTAAATTGTTGAAATTTATGTGTAAGAAACATATCACCTTTGATATTCTTATAGAATTCTTTTCTGGAGTTATTTCCCTTCAACTTCTTGAACTTCTTCTGTTCACGTTTTCTTTACAGATAACATTTTTGTCTAAATGCCTTAACTGAAACTCAATATTTCACTCCTAAGATGATGAATAGTACACTCCTTTTCATTGTTCATACTTTCTCCTTTCCAGTATTGTTTCTTTGAACCACAACCATTTTATAATTTACCAAATACATGTATATTTTCACTTCAATTCTGAATCAAGAAACCTCGGACTTAAATGGACACATTTCTGAAAATTCGTACTACAGATACATGATGTAACAATTTGTTGAATAATTTTGGACCTAGATATGCTGTGAAAGAACATTTACGTTTCATGTTCTACCATCTGACAAACTCTTGTGGAAGACAAATTTACGAACCGTCAGTCTGTAAAACATTTATTGGCAAAGACTGTATTTCGTTCTAATAAAGCTTTTTGATAAATTAAGGAACATGTTAAATTTCTCAAGGATAAGGTATTAATCTGATGGATGGTCTTTAAAATAAACTTTTAAATTCTTTGAAAATAATTATCTTCTCTTGATACCCTAAAATCTTTGAATAAGCCGTGCTTGAAAATAAGTCAGCACTGGAAATAAGCCTGACATTTTTACAGTCAAATATATTTTGCAGCCACTTGTTAAAATGTAACCATACAAATTGAAATAGATAAAATATTGTTCTTGTATTGTTGAATATAAGGATCTAAACACATGTCCAGGTCCCCACTGTAGCCTGAACATTTCTTTCAAATTGCATGGAAAATGGCTTTTGAACGCAAGACAGTCTGGAAAATAGACAGACTTCGAAAGTAAGTCTGTGATTCCTTACAAAAAGTGAAAGTTTATAACTAGCAAAATCTAAGTTTTTAGGGTATTATCTTAGCCTGTACAAATTTATTTTTATGTAACATGGAACTTGGTTTGGATAAAATGAAATACACATAGAAATATGATGGTGTTGATGTGTCCTTTTAATTCTGATGGTGATATTTCTGTAATGATAACATGTAATTTATTTGAAGAAATGTTGTGAAAGAATACATGTATTTTGAAAATGAAATGCTTCACGGTTTCTGAATTTTTCGTTAGTTGTGCATGCTTTGTTTCTGTGTTGCCCAGGCATAGAGGGTTTGGAAGGGGAAGTGAACCCCGAACGTTCACAGAGGCAGGACTCTGAAGGAGACCTTTCCCCTACCTCCTCAGGGAGCTGGTCACAAAGTCTAGTGTTTCTACAGCAGGCTGGCCCAGAATCCAAGGTCGATAAACTAAAAGTCTTATACGCAGATATATATATATATACTTACTACGTTGAAATACTATGAAAATTAAAAATTATTTATAATGTTAATATTATGTTCTAGCATTTCTAACATGGTTTCACACTGATTAAAAAAAATCTTATTATTAAAATATAAAATGATTTAGCTGGGAGCAAATATTGTTGGTTTCATAGTTGATGTAGAAAGAAATGTACTTAGGTTGAGGGACTGATAGAGCAGTGCTTAGCCATGTTTGTATCTGAATAAATGTTGTTGCTTTTTCTTTGATTTCATAACTGTATATTTGCAATGTTGTAGTTTCTTCATTTGGTGTTGTTAGCTTCTTAAAAAAATTTCCTTGCTGTTGTTTTATTTTTGAAATTAATACACACGAATACTTTAACAATACTGTGAAACAGATGTGATTGAATATTCTTCTAAATTGTAGGTACTAAATGATATGATCTAGTATAAAATACCTTTGTGAAACATTAAATTTTATTAGGTCATCTGAAGAGTCCTGATGATCTATTGCCATTGTGTTTCATCTGCCATGCGTGAACTTTTGACATTTCTAACTTCTTCTCAAGTTCCATCAGTGGGATTGAGCTGAAACTTGCTTATAAATGATCCTGAGATGGTCCTGATCAACTGTTGTTACTTTTTGGGTATGTCTGAAATCCAAGATGGCCACCATCTTGAAAAATATATTTTAGACTTCTTTGCGAGCGTCACTGAATCCATTGAACTAAAAATTGGTAGGAATGTTAAGGAAAGGTAGTCAAAAAAGTGTTGTTATTTTTCGAGTATGTTTGAAATCCAAGATGGCCGCCTCTTGAAAAACATGTTTCAAACTTCTTCTGCAGTTCCACTGTTACCATTGAGCTAAAAATTATTGGAAATGTTAGCAAAAGGTAGCCAACAAAGTATTGTTATTATTTGACCTTGTTAAAACTTTGATATGGCTGTCAGGGAGGCCATTTTGAAACATGATTGCGCAATCATTGTTTTCCTGTGTAACACCTATTTCAAACTTCTCAAGTTTCACCAGATGGTTTGAGCTCCAGCTTTACTGGCAAATAATAGGTATCACTTGTTACAGTTACCTACTCCTTGCCAAAACTAACATCTGCATCATAGAAAACAGCTTCTTAATAAGTTTTCTTTCAAAGAAGAAAAAATAACCCTTCTCCCTGATGCAAGATTTTGTAGTCAGATGACTGTTAAGGCCCATGGGCCTCTTGTTTAAAATCCTTGGTCGAAAGTAATAAAACTAAAATTTATTAAGTCATTGAGGTCAAATATACCCGAAGAAATTGTATATCATTTCTTTGTGTATTTTGTGGGAAATGACATTGATCTACTACTTGAAATAAAACTTCTACATGAATATTGAACACTGTGTAAAATTTACACAATATTTCTTTGTAGCACAGGGTCTTGGCACAAATTCGCAACCCATGACCATATATAATATTATGTGTTATGTAGTGTCAATATATAAGACATATATAGGGTCCCTGTGTTGGGAATTTGTACCAAGTCCCTGTGCTTCGTAATGGTTTTGATACCAATTTTCATCAAAAATGATATTTTTAACAAATTGTATGAAGTCATTTGGTTTTCTAGCGAAATAGAGTTTGGTATTATGCATTAATTTCACACATAGTTCAGTTGGTATTTTAAAGTTTAATCGTTCCTTTTGGTAACAGATCAAGTGGTGATGATTTCAAAGATAGGGAAAATTAACACTGCTGTGATATTGTAACCAGTACAGTGGTACTTTGTGTTCTAGATTTATCATTTTCTTATGATTAATACTTGAATAATACAGTGTATATTCAATACACAGTGTTTTGTTGTCAGAATTAAGGAAATCACGGTAACATCATGAAATTTTTTAGTGAGAATAATATATGGTTAAATGGAGTACAAAAAGCAGTGTATAAAGATGTCAAATACTGATTGGGTTATTGTTCTGTAAAGACATGTTTTGTTTGAAATTACAAGTCATATCTGATTCCTATCATAAAACATTAAAAAAAAAAAAAAGGAAATAGAGAAATCTTTCGCAAAATTCTTTTTTAATGTCCATTTTCAGCAACAATGATTTTCAGTCTAGCAGAACTAAACATCACAGAATTTATATGTGTGCCATGAGTAAGATATCAAGTGAAGACATTAAAATATTTTCTTTATAGCAAGTATTGGAGGGTTAGTTAATACAGTGTCAGTCACATACCCTACAATCTTGATCATCAGCCTGTTTTTACCAATAAGCCAGTCTCTAAGATAGGATGTGTATTCCTAACAGAGAAAATAAGATATTTTTGAAAATGAGCTGGCCCCACTTGTATAAAACATCTCAACTTGAGATTTCCTCAAGCCCAGATTTTCCTCAGCTAATATCTCCTTGAAAATATCTTGTATGAAAATTCCTCAAGGAATTTCAGGACATCCTAGCCGATGACTTCCTCCTGTTCCTTGAGAAAATTTTATACAAGCCATTTTTGAGGAGATATCAGATGAGGAAAATCTCGACTTGAGGAAATCTCAAGTTTAGATGTTTTATACAAGTGGGGCCTGGTCTCGCATGTGAATATCTAAAAATATCAAGTCTGATACTGAAAACACTAATTGACGAAGAAATGCTATTGAATAACATAATCAGTTCCCTTTTAATTACATGTAATTGTTTTCATTTTGTATAGTAAGTAAATAATATTCTAAATTCTCAGCAAAATGCCGTCCTTGGTTTGTAGCTTGAATATATGACCTAATTTTTTTTCAATATGTCGGGATATCACAAGACTAAATCAACATAAAAAACATCTGAAATTAAACCACTGTAGTTGTTACTGGTATTGTATTGTTGTTCTTCAGGCTCCGGTGGAGACTCAGGGCAGCAAGAGTTATGACGAGAACCTCCAGACAGACGACACTGTGACATCACAGTAAGATGTTTATAGATCTCGTTGGTAAATGTTATCATTGATCCTCATCTGTGCTGCTTTATGATTAGCTTCGCCTGTCTGCATGTGCTGCTGGTGGTTAGTAAAGGCAACAATGTGTAACCTCGCTCTACTAATATTCAGATATCTCCTTAAACCAAATATGCTTCTCAAGATCAGTGCAAGTTTCAAGTATTGAAATTTTCTGATTTTTCCTTTACTGAATCTATAATTTGACATAAACTCTTTTTCTAAAGGGTTTTAATACATGATTAATAAATAATATTTAATAAATTTTGACCTTCAACTTTGCTAAAATATCTTCACATTTGTTACATATTTGTATATAATTGTGAGGCATTCTTCATCTCTAAGGGTATATAATTGTGAGGCATTCTTCATCTCTAAGGGTATATAATTGTGAGGCATTCTTCATCTCTAAGGGTATATAATTGTCAGGCATTCTTCATCTCCTAGGGTATATAATTGTCAGGCATCTAAGGGTATATAATTGTGAGGCATTCTTCATCTCTAAGGGTATATAATTGTGAGGCATTCTTTATCTCTAAGGGTATATAATTGTGAGGCATTCTTTATCTCTAAGGGTATATAATTGTCAGGCATTCTTTATCTCTAAGGGTATATAATTGTCAGGCATTCTTTATCTCTAAGGGTATATAATTGTCAGGCATTCTTTATCTCTAAGGGTATATAATTGTGAGGCATTCTTCATCTCTAAGGGTATATAATTGTCAGGTATTCTTTATCTCTAAGGGTATATAATTGTCAGGCATTCTTCATCTCCTAGGGTATATAATTGTCAGGCATTCTTTATCTCTAAGGGTATATAATTGTCAGGCATTCTTTATCTCTAAGGGTATATAATTGTCAGGCATTCTTTATCTCTAAGGGTATATAATTGTCAGGCATTCTTTATCTCTAAGGGTATATAATTGTCAGGCATTCTTTTTCTCTAAGGGTATATAATTGTCAGGCATTCTTTATCTCTAAGGGTAAATAATTGTCAGGCATTCTTTATCTCTAAGGGTATATAATTGTCAGGCATTCTTTTTCTCTAAGGGTATATAATTGTCAGGCATTCTTTATCTCTAAGGGTATATAATTGTCAGGCATTCTTTATCTCTAAGGGTATATAATTGTCAGGCATTCTTTATCTCTAAGGGTATATAATTGTCAGGAATTCTTCATCTCTAAGGGAATATAATTGTCAGGTATTCTTCATCTATAAGGGTATATAATTGTCAGGCATGCTTTATCTCTAAGGGTATGTAACACATCTTGACAAAGGATACCTTAAAACTAGAGGTTAAAAGAAAGGAAGTATTATATTCCAAACTTGATTATGAATGATATTCTTTTGAATATAATTTACTTATCAATGCATTTGGAACATAACACAGATTTCAGCAAGTTATTTTGAAGTGGAAAATAATGTTTACGTTAGCATTATTTTAAAATGCATAAATATATTTGCTTCATATTGGTACAGCTGGTTTTGTTAATGAAGTTAAACCGTGGTTCATGATGATGTAATTTAAATGTTATTTTTGCTATTTTATGAGCTTTTAATATGATATTTATATTATTATCTGATATGAAATTTATTCAAAAATTCCTTTCCGGCATGACTGTTTAGTTTATATTCATATTAACATATCTATGGCAACCTGGTTAACACATCAATTAGAGCCTTACATTCATTTGAACAATTTCGCAATAACAAACTGGCAAAATGTTATGATATTGGGGTGGTAGGTTGCTGAGAAGAAGCCAGACAACGTTTAAGAGAAAAAATGACCTTCACCCTTATTCTAGGTCACCGGGATTGAATTGTTAAAACATTTAAACAACTTCTTGTGATTAACCAAAAGACAGAGTGTCAGATTTGTCAAAGTCTGTTAAAGAGTTCTTCATGTAAATAAAAAAATCTTAGAATCATTATATTTGACTGGCAGGTGTCTTTGATGAAGTACAACAAAGTTTGCCAAAAGAAATGATCTTGATCTACATTCAAGATGATAGGGATCAAATATGTTAAAACCTTTAAACAACTTATAACTTAAAAGCCCTGAAGCATACTATTTGGCTGATGTGATCCCAGTATTAACCATGACAAAGTTTGCAAAAAGAAATGACCTTGACCCATATTTAAGGTCACAAGGATTAAATCTATCAAAACCCTACAAAAACTTCTGATAAACCAAAAGGCTTAGAAACCTTATATTTGGCTAGTAAGTCTTTTAGATGAAGCCTGATGTTTGTGAAAAGCAGCGGCCAAGACCCATATTCAAAGAAACAGGGGTCAATTTTTTTTCAAACTTTAAAACAATTTCTGTTGATAGAACCATGATATTTGGCAGGTAGGTCTCTGGGATGAATTCTTACAAAATTTACAAAAGATATGACCTTGAACTGTTTTTAAAGTGACAAGGGTCAAATTAATCAAAACCAGTAAAAAGAAACCCAAAAGTCTGGAGAGCAGAATAGCTGGTGGGAAGATGTGTTTCTAGGCCAAATTTTGACAAAAAAAAAAAGAAATGACATTTACCTATAATCCAGGTTATAACTGCCACAGTTTAGAGCTTGGTGTTAGGAACTTTGTTGTGAAAATTGTTGAAAATTGATTGGATGTGCCCACCCCACTTTTTATGCCAATGGTGCATGTGTTAATGCACTTGTGATAAAAGTTGGTTGTAATTTTGATGAACAGTGAATATCAGGTGAGCGATGTAGACCCATTGGGCCTCTTTTATAAACCAATCCAAATCCCTGTACTAAAGCTAACTGCAGCCATAATGGTCTCCCAGAGGATTCATAGAATACATTGTGACTAAATTCTCCAATTACTATATAACCATGTTTTAAGTTTTTTAGCAGACCTACTTTATGGATCTAGTGGTGTTTGTCAATGAAATATCCCATTAAACAACCCCAGTTTACAATGGTCAACCCATAAACACACTGAAGTGATTGTGAGTCTGTGTGAATGCTTTTAGTAGTCCCTAGTACTTTTATGCAATGCATGAATATCTTATACATTTGGACCTGTTTCAGATGGTATTAAGTTCTTATTGATAGATGAAATGCTTTTTAGCAATAGAGGTAGGTCAGTTAGATGTGTTAAGAATGCATGCTTGTTTTTTTCTTTCTTGGTGCAGTCAAGATTTTCTACGTTGAAAAAATAACAGCATGATGGAACAATGAGGCTACGAATCCGTTAATGTTAAATTTAATAGTGCTATTTTTTTTATTAGTAAATAACAAACAATGAGCTTTTGATATGTATTCATGATAATGTACTAGAACACTATAAACAGTTCTGATATATTTGATAATGCAGATTTCACATATGGATAAGAATGATGTTTAAAATTCATACACAAAGAATGAATTCTGAATACAAATTAGACGTTTTATCTGGTTAGGTGAAATGTTGTATAACATGTGCATATACACATGTGTTTCAACACACTGCATTATGCATATAATCTGAAAAAACAGGTATGACTATGGTAGAATTGTGCTGGGATAATTCATGTACAGATAATCTTAAATCTGTAGTAGCTTGATATCATCAACTTAAGTTGAAACTTCAAACTTTCATGGTATAAAATCTAGATTAAGACATTATGTTAGCAAACTTTTAAAATTTTGTATGAAGAACATGATGCATTGTAAAGGTGAACAAATATGAGGTGAACAGTATCACGGATTTTGTAATTTTAAAGTAAAAAAGGGTTGTGAGGACATTGTAATACATTGTACATTGGGAATAACTTTCCATGATATCAATGTGTAAGTAAACTTAAATTTGGTTCTTGTGATGGAAAAGCGGGACACTTTACATTGATCAAAAGTAGGACACTTATATACCGGTATTTCAAAATCTGGGACACTTTACATCGATCAAAAGTGGAACACTTTATATATTTCAAAAGTAGGACACTTATATACCAATATTTCAAAAAGTGGGACACTTTACCTTGATCAAAAGTAGGACACTTATATACCGATATTTCAAAAAGTGGGACACTTTACCTTGATCAAAAGTAGGACACTTATATACCAATATTTCAAAATCTGAGACACTTTACCTTGATCAAAAGTAGGACACTTATATACCGATATTTCAAAATCTGAGACACTTTACATTGATCAAAAGTGGGACACTTTACATCAATCAAATGTTAGGGGGGCACTTTACATCAATCAAAAAGTGGCACACTTTTACATTGGTCAAAAGTGGCACACATTTACATGGATCAAATGTGGACAATTTATATCCTTCAAAAGTAGAACTTTTTATATCCGTTAAAAGTGTGACGTTTTATATTCCTGTTGATACATAAATCATTGTATTCATTCTTTGTGTCAAGTATTACAGTTTTAAAGCATAAATGATATCGCGGAGTGTTTCATTCTGACTTACTTCAAAAATGCAAGATATTTATGTCAATTTAGTGTTTAGATTTCATGAACTTACTGTTTTTAGGGATATTTAAACACTATTTTGTATGTTAGAATTGAAATCTCGATTGTGAAGTTTTCCTGGTGTTGTGAATGGGAAATAAGACCATGGGTGTTAAATTATTGCTGGGTTTTTGGTCCATTTCATGCTTATATAAAGCTTCAATATATTGAGACAGCTTTCTAATATATATCCTGCAACATTTAACTTTAATTAATATCATTAATCAACAGAATGCCTGAAAATAGGTGTGTTATTGCTAACAAAATTTTATATCAACTTTATTTCATCTTGATATGAAGGAACTTCATGAGTAATGAAAAACAGTAGTTGAATAGCAGGTATTGCATGGATCAATGACTTGATCTTATGAAAAAAATATTCACGAAACCCAGTACAGCATTTTAGAACAGGTTAGATAATGAAAACAGTCAATGTTCTGATATACATTTGTAATATGATGCTCTGGCTGGTACACAATGTACAGGTGTTGGGACATCCACCGTAAAGAGTTATATTAAACCAACAGGTGTTGTCAGACACAAGCCTAAATTTCACAGAATGACATCTTTTATTACCAGGCTGCAGTTTCACTACCTGGTAAACAAACTAACACCTTTGAAGTTGTCTGTAATTGAAATTGCTTTATATATTTTAAAATCGTACAACTGAACAAATAAAAGTGTTTTTTTTTTCTAGGTTAAGATAATTGAAGATCTAACAGGTTTTGAATGAAAATGTGATGATGACATACTAACATTCTTGATCTAAAAAGCTTTTTGAAATGTATATTTAGCTCAAGTAAACATATCAGGGAACAACTTACACAAATAAATTATTTAAATTATGTTTCTATAATACACACTCGGTTTTGATTTTGGCAGTTTTTCTTGCTTTTCTGATCTAAGATTTATTTGAATCAACACTCTATTGATATATAAAAATTTGACTGTTTTTATTCAGTTTGGAAAATATGGTCACACACTGTTTGCATTTTAGAGATATACAGCAGAAATGAGATAATTTTTTTTCCATTGTAGCTTTTGAAAATAGAATAAATTACGAAAAAAAAAATTGAATGAACATATAATTTTTTCACATACCTAATTGTCTTATCCTTACAATGAATTATATTATCAAACCTTTAGTTGGCTGTGTATTAATTCGCAACTCTTCATTGCAGAAATTCCAAAACAGAAGTGAAGGAGAGGAGACGTAGCCGAGGACATTCCGATGAAAACTTACCTGTCATCACATATGTAAACATCGCAAAGCTACCCAATCACAGAAATGCAGAATTTGTGACATGGCTTCAGACTCGGTTGTTTGGTTCGAACTCAGAGGACCAAGTGATGGAACAGCTAGTGAATGTTATGTGGTGTAATGTTATTCAGTACTCGCGACAAGAAGACAATATTCCTTGTTGTGCAGTACTAACAGAGCGTCGCCTCTTCCTCCTTCGTCTCAAGCATGGCAGCTGTGGCTTTAGTGGGGTGCCCGATCTGGAGACATTTTACATAATGCCTCTCAACAATGTGCAGCAGGCACTGGCTGGTCCATGTTACTGCTATACCAGACTTGAAGAGTCATTTGTAGGTCCCAGTGGGACATTCATCCTGGAAGGTGCAGATTCTGATATAGGGAAAGAGTTCACAGATGACTTGCAGTCAAGATTGCATTCATCTGATATTGGTAGAATTGACATTATCAATTGTTCCCAAAATTCTGATATGTCCAAGCAAATATTTTCCGAAGAAGATGATGAAGGACTTTGCACTGGACGTGTAGTGGTCTCTTCTATTGTATCTGTTAGTGGTACAGATGAAAATGCGCTATTACTTCTGTCAGAAAACAAGGTGTACCTGATCCAACAGGATTGTTTATTTTGGCCAAGACCAACATTTATTAACAAACTGGAAGATTTTAAATCAAAAGCCCATTTCACATATTTACAGCAACATTCAGTGATGACGAATATCAGCGAAATAAAAATTGGTGCAAGTTTTCATTCAACGCGAAAGCACCGTAGAACGTCGTCATTTCAGATAAAAAATCTCTCAGTCCTCTTTGAACCATTTGATGTGTCAATGGTGTTCCATGAACTGATTGGTGCAGTAGGGTTTCAGGTTTGTTTTCTGTCGCAGAAAGCTAGGGACTGCTTCTTGGATCAGCTTACTATTCTGCGATCAGAACATACCCATAGAATGTCTCCGACTATCCGTGAAGAACCAGAAGGTGGCAATGAGTCGTCAGACAGTCTAGACGCATCAACGGATGATGCTGGTAAAACAAAGTTACAAGAGCAAATTCAAGGATTTGAATCCTCTGGAGAAGATTTGCAGAGTAGTGAGATCAAAGTGAGACAAATTAGATCAAAAACTATCGCAAATATGACTTTGAACACTAAAGCAGCATTGACTGCACATATGTCGAGGAAACTAGATCTGAATTATCTTACACCTGAATTGCAGACACAGCTGGAATCATGCATTCGTTCTCATAATTTAGTGAATACCCTGTCACCAAAATTACTGCTCTTGACAGAAATGAGAGGCGAGGAGCTGGCACATTTCTTTCACAGTGATATAGCCCTGGTAAATTCTGAAGCTGAACAGCTGCATTTTGTTCTATGGGTCGTTGTGGTGCCATATAAGGATCCACACCAGGAGATAATTAGTTGTGTAATGATGAGCTCTAGAGCGATGTATTTTGTGTCTGATAGAGTAGTCAAGTCACCGTTGGTTGAGAGACAGGCTTGGATGACGCACACTAGACACAAATCTGATACTGTGATAGGCTTACAGAGGAAACACGTCGACAAACACCACAGTTCAGGTATCCTTCACAATAGTCAGAAAGACAGCACCATTATACGATGCTATCATGTGTTCCACTACTCTGATCTTAAACAGGTCAACGTTGGGCTCTTTGACCAGTGCGTGCGTTTGACTGGCAATAACTGCAACTCGACATACACACTTCTGAGCAGAGACGGTCTCATTACAGAAAAGTTTATGCGACAGCTCACAACCATGCTCTCCATATTCTCATCATCACCAATGGTAGATAGAAGCCCAGCTGACGTTGAACAAGATTTCTATCGGGCCTTTAACAAGAGAACAAAGACCACATTGGAAGGCATGGAATATTTGCATCCCAGCAAAGTTCCTTTCATTTACCCGGGCGAGGATACAATGTCAGACCTGTTGTTTATAATAACAGATTGCCTTAGACTTCCACCGCTGGCTCGTAGAAAAGCAGACATCCTCATGTACATACTCTGCTATGTCGCTACTTCTGAAAGTCACTGTGGTGCAGTGGAGAGTATGGAATCGCGAAGTCTTGTCCTGACCAACGATTACTTATGTTTGATCCATGAAGATGTGGCAAGTTATCCTCTACCAGACTTTGCCAGGGGATTGCCTAACACAGCCAGATATCACATCACTGACATCCGCAAAGTCGATTCTTTAAAGAGGGTTTTGTTCTTTCGCAAAAACGATCAGAAGCTGACCCTAATCTTCTCTGATGAAGCAGAGGAAATTGTGGTCGATACATCTGTGGAACATTTCAGTGCTGATGATAAGACAGCAGGGAGACACTCGCTTCCCGAAGTTGGACTGACCGTTCTTGTACAGTGCGACAGAGACATCAATAAGCTTATGCTTCTTTTGAAAAATCAATGGAGGGATCTACATGGAGACGAGCTTGAAATCCACATACTCTAATTATTTTTTGAAAATTTTGAATGAAGGTTAATGAAACAAATTGACTTCGAAAGGAAGTTTTTTTTTTCTCAAGTCAAAGTAATTAATCAAAGATGAAAATGTAGAAAGTAATCATGCTAATGATGAACGCATGTGTTGCTGTTTGTTAAAACTTGAAGAGACAGAGAAAGCTTATGTTAGTCTAGATAACGATAGTGTTAACAAGCCATTATATATGAGAATATTGTATTTATATATCTGCAGAATGAAATATGAAGAACAGACTATTGTGTAACCAGCTTGAGCATGTTCTTTTTCTACTCACTCTAATGAGATAAAAAACAAATTTCTTTCACTATGGTACATCAAACATCTTGCCTAAAAAATGGTCCAATATCTAGGCTACAGGTGGTTTTCTCATAGAATGTAGACAAGTGCTAGTAATTGGAAGTTAAATTGAGTTAATTGGTTGTCAGCTAAATCATTCCTTTCATGAAACATTATGTTGACATTTAGCAATGTAAATCACATTCCCATAGTGATTTTGTGATTCATCTTGTATTTTTGTTGTTATAAGTGTTAATATTTGTAAGCAAATTGAATATTTGATAATTTGCATAATGTTGTGCTAGCAACACTATTTGTTGGAATGTGTGTCTTTCTGAATGACAAGTATTTTTTCAACATTTGATATATATCTCTTTGTCACGTTTGCTATGTTAGAAAGATGTAAGATGATACAACATGTAAAGGCACTGTAACGGTTGGTATGTCCTATCAGAGTTATACATTACTCTTGGGTACGCGATACACTGTGAGGCCGTCAGCTGATCTAGACCACTCACTATGTCTAGATACACATTATATCTTATTGCCACGGTTTGACCGATTAGACAAATATCTATGATTGTGAAATGATGTATTTATATGCTTGTATGATGGGAAAGTATGATTTTTTTCATTGACGAAATGACTTTTTCAAACCGACGGTAATAAATCATTCTTCCCCGCCCCCCTCCCCCCCGTTTTTTAAAGTCATCACGATATCGTGATCCATAAATATTAGATGATTTATTTCCAATAAAATGATCCAGGTAATGCTGACAGGCAACACAGTTAATTTTTTTTGTAACTCGTGTCATTTATATCGAAATTACGCGTCGATTATGCCTGCACTACAGATACATTTTCGTAATACTGTTACACCTTGAAGGACACCACGGTAAATTTATTATTTTAGTTGTTGTATATATACATCAAGTGTGTCGCCTTATGAACAATGACAGTTGGTTTTCGCTGAAATATACACATGAAGAGGCTAATTCAGTATTATAAACAGGAAATCCTTATCTGTTGATCAACACTCTGAGAATATGAGAATTTTGTGGTCATATATGATAACGCATGCTCAAAAACACCGTCAAAACAACGTTGACGATTAGATTAATGTAATTTCTTAATCAAACTACAGTTAACATTTACCATACCCACAAAATCCGGTACTAAAAAATGGGATTTTACTTCCTTTGTCACTGCTGTCTCAGTCATTTCTACCCGCCATCAATTATTCGTGTTCACGAAATTAACTGCCTCGTTTTCAAAACTTATCAGGGCTATATTTAGGAGGGGTTTCCCGAACCGAAAAAGTGGTCAAGCTAGACACTGGAAATCGATTGTGAATATCGGGATAGCATAGAAACGGAAATAGATATATATATATAACCACTTACAATCAATAACAAAAAATATCTTTACCGTGATGTCTCTCTAACGTGATACAGTTTACTACGCTTGTTGCGCTTTGATTTGGATTTTAGATTTTTTATAACAATTATGTTGGCAAATAATACACACGTTATCTTTCATGGTAAGCAGATCTGGTTAATGTACACGATTCGTACGGTAGTCAAGGATCAATCATATCACGCGTCTATGTAGATTTTTTATTTCTTAAAATCAAATGAGCATATGTTTTACTCTAGTTTTATATGGTGAACGCTTTGCTATCGGGCATTAAGCAATAACGCTTCTTTATATTGATAAGAGCATAATGGATTGAACCGGTGTCTTGTGGTTTTTGTGGTGTAAATATGAAGGTTAGGTTATAAAATGTAAAGCAAACATCAGTCTATTTTTGGATCTGCTAATGACTTAAATTATCAGTATATATGTGTATACTGTTCTGTGTTACAGAAGGTATAAATCCTTTCTCGAAATTAAAACAAAAACATACAATTAATGCAATGTGGTTGCCTCTTTTTCCAATACCACTACAGTTATGCAACACATAATAGTTATGTAAAGTTTTATGAATTACAAGTACCAGTTCCTTCCCCCATCCATACCCTTCATAGACACTGTCTCTGCATTGTATTGGTTACCCCGTTCATTCATAGATAACAGAAATCAATAAACCGCATTGGAAATACATTACTATGAAGCTGAGGGCGATTTTAACACTTAAAATACCTTGTATAAAGATTATATCCGACCATGACTGGGTAAATTTTTGCTAACGGAATGCACCTTTTCGGCATGGGAAGGCTTTCCAAGCATCAATCTTTATCATCCTAGATTATTGTGGAGTTGTTGATTCAACACATCACACCTGTAGATTTTAAAATATTTTCAGCCATGGGATAACTTTATATTTTTTATGCATCACATTTTCTTCACATATTGTTTGTGAATATTTTCATGTTCTAGTCGATTGAGTCATCAATGCTGCTTCTTTCATGATTAGACATTATATGGTTACTGTTGTATATAATTAGTAACTTGCATATACATTGTATTCATAAAAAGTTAAATTATTTACGTAAGAAGTGTTGTGAATAACGCGTGTAAGTCAACAGGGATATGTCCATTTGGCACTTGAAATGTGAACAATTTACGAGGCATTTACTTTTCAGTAAGTCGGTGAGGAGACAAAATTTAAAATCCAATTAAACACACTATAAAAATTATTTTCAGTTTTGGCTTTTTCATTAACATTGTGCTCAATGTCACAGCAGGCATTGTAAGTAGGTCCTGACGCCCGCTGCATATGATGAATATGTGTTTTATCTCGCGCACAACATTAAAGTGATATGAATGAGTTTTGAATTCCATGCTTTATCAAGGAAATGACGAACATGTAGAACCTGTGATGTAGTAGCTTCAAGGTTATTTCAAATATCATGCGGATAGATAAAGCGTATACTTTAGTGAAGATTGGATACGGAAATCAATTTTTAAAAAAAAAGTAATAAGCAGACTACGTTAGTAGTTTAGTAAGGTTTATTAATTTTTATCTTGTCCCTCATTTATTCAAATATTTTTCGATGGTTTTGGTTTCAAAGTTCATGCTCTTAAACGTATATTTGAATAAACAACACGAAAATACCAATATGTTGTCAATATAATCATAATCCAAACTCGATTTCAATAAAACTAAGGTAAACGATGAATCAAAGAAACATTTTGACGTCAGTTGACATCTTGCACAAAAATTATGATAACGGAAGCAGACCATTGAATATCGAATCAACTGCGACACGTTAACATTATAGACTGGGGATGCATGGCTATTGCTATGCAGTAATGGAAAATTCACAATGGGAAAATTGAAATAATGACTACTCGATAAAAGTTTATGCGAATATAGTAGTATGATGCACTGTGGTTAGATTAATTCCGTCTATAGTAGGGGAGAATATATTTTTAGCTTTGTACTTTCCGTCCCGAATCCAACAAAAAGACTTGATTTCCTTAGCTTAAACAAAATTCAACAAACTGATACCGCCAAGGGGGCTGTGATTCGGGTTCCAGGATCAAAGTATACATTTGAGAGAATGACATTACTTAGATTTACATGGCGGGTGTCGTCGATGTAGTAAAACCGTCTATTTTTCCGGAACCACTGCTGTTATTCTCCATGTACTTTTTCAACAGTATGCGTGTAAATTTTTCTTTTTAGGTCATCTGACCCGAAGGGTCCGATGACCTATAGTCATCATGCTTCGTCCGTCGTCGTCCGCCGTGCTCCGTCCGTAAACTTTTCATTCAAACGACTTCTTCTCAAATACTAGAAGGTCTAGGGGGCTAATACTTGGCACAGAGGATACTGGCATGGAGCTCTACCAAGTTTGTTCAAATGAATGACCTTGACCCACTTTAAAGGTCACAGGGGTCAAATATGTTAAAATATACAAAGGACTTCATCTCAATAAGCAAAAGTCTATGAGTGCCGATATTGGGTCTGTAGCATGCTAGGAAAGGCTACCAAGTTTATTCAAATGAATGACCTCAACCCACTTTCAAGGTCACAGGGGTCAAATATGTTAAAATCTTTAAACAACTTCTTCTCATTAACCAAAAGGCTCAGAGTGTAGATATTGGGCCTGTGACATGCTGGGATGAAGGACTACCAAGTTTGTTGAAATGAATGACCTTGACCCACTTTAAAGGTCACAGGGGTCAAATATGTCAAAATCTTTAAATAACTTCTTCTCAAATACTAGAAGGCCTAGGGGGCTAATACTTGGCCCATAGCATGCTGGCATGGAGCCCTACAAAGTTTGTTCAAATTAATGACCTTGGCCCACTTTCAAGGTCACAGGGGTCAAATATGTTAAAATATACAAAGGACTTCATCTCAATAAGCAAAAGTCTATGAGTGCCGATATTGGGTCTGTAGCATGCTGGGAGGAAAGGCTACCAAGTTTATTTAAATGAATGACCTTGAACAACTTTCAAGGTCGCAGGGGTCAAATATATCAAAATCTTTAAATAACTTCTTCTCAAATACTAGAAGGCCTAGGGGGCTAATACTTGGCCCATAGCATGCTGGCATGGAGCCCTACAAAGTTTGTTCAAATGAATGACCTTGGCCCACTTTCAAGGTCACAGGGGTCAAATATGTTAAAATATACAAAGGACTTCATCTCAATAAGCAAAAGTCTATGAGTGCCGATATTGGGTCTGTAGCATGCTGGGAGGAAAGGCTACCAAGTTTATTCAAATGAATGACCTCAACCCACTTTCAAGGTCACAGGGGTCAAATATGTTAAAATATACAAACGACTTCTTCTCAACAAGCAAAAGTCCATGAGTGCTGATATTGGGCCTGTAAGATGCTTGGAGGAGAGGCTACCAAGTTTGTTCAAATGAATGACCTCAACCCACTTTCTAGGTTTGGCTTGCTTTTTGTCAGATGACCGTTAAGGCCCATGGGCCTCTTGTTTCCTGTTTTACCTTTGTTTTATTGATTTCAAGTTTGGATTATGAATATGTTGACTTATCGGTATTTTCTTGTCGGTTTTGTTTATGAGGTGGAACTTTCTCTAGTATAAATCATTGACCCGCTCATTTTTACCTTTTTTTCTATTCCAATTGAACGTCAAAGAGTCGAAAGTTTGCGTGTTTTCAAAAAAGTGCCGAAATTACCGATTTACTGATGTATAGCTCAAAGACTCACCCACCTATCCTGGTGTTAGAACAACGACAAGGGTTCAGTATAACGGGTTTGTTGTTGATCCAGTCTTTTATGTTTTACTTCAAGAATTACACACTCTTATGTTTCCCCTGTTCTTTCATGGACGTTGACAATAATGGTAATATGTCGTTTCAATACAAAAAATGGACTCCACATGCTTTACACGTATCGTGCTGAAATGGAAAGCTTGATATTAGAATAAGATAGGGACGCAGTAAGAACTGAATGTCATGGGCAAACTCGTAAAAATTAATAAATATCAAACGACATGCAGAACTTTCAAAGATAGCATCAAGATATGCATTAAGGCTATGCACAGCAATGTATGGAAGTGTTTTGCTTACCACAAGTATTTCTTTTCTTCAGCTGGAACATATCGCCATTCTATATAGTCTGGATATGGAGGCACACTTGATCTTTCTGTCAAATTACTCGCTACTTTATTCTGAAACCCAGTCTTTATTATCTTGCGTGTAAGGAAAAGAAAGAAAAAAGCAATTTCAGCAATAGCCCAATACCGCTGTCGACTCTTGTTTCAGGGTGCAAATATTGCACAAAAAGCTAATTTGACGTGCAAACCTGGAGTAAATTGCATACTGGTATCTCTGATTCACCTGCAGAAAGCGACTGGAAAACACATTGTTCCTGTTAGTGACGCCTGTAGAGCATTTAACATGTTATGCCGCATTTCCTGGCTGAGAGACAAAACATCGAGCCGGATCAGAATCCTATCGTTTGATAGTAAATATATCGTGCTGGAGACTTCTTACATTTTTCTTTGGCCATAGATGTATATCTGTCCTTGGAACTTGATACTGTAGCATCGTCTGTATGTAATTGGTGAGTTTGTTTAAATAACATTTTGTATTTATAAAACCAGTTTACATTACCCTTTTTACTTCTTATATCACGAAAGATTATTTAGATGATTGAGATGATGAGCTGGTTTCCTAATGCAAGCTTTAACGTTTAACATTTAGATGATGCTTGAAATATTTGTACTCCAGTAACACCATCTGGGCATTCACAAATAGTTGCCTGCTTCGCATTGGTGATTTAATACAGCTTTGATATTTATTGAATTAATTACATTTATGAAATCAGAAGTGATGCCTTTTTATTTGTTATTTCAAAATAATGGCTGCAGTAAGTATTTATAGAAATTTAGTTCAGAACGGTTTTAATGTCATCGGTTCGTTATTCAACGACTAGATCAGAATAGAATTATTTCTAATACATTTTCTGTTTACATTGTTACACCACAAGTAACTCTCAGTAAAACACGCATTTTGAAGTATCTGTGGAACCAAACTTAAAAAGATATCTTTATATATATATATATTTCCTTTTTGTAAATAAGAAGAAAAAGAAAAGGAAAAAATGACAACTATGCTCGTTGCATCTCTCCTGAAACTTTTCATTCAAAACACGTCTACAATGGTTTAAAAAAAAATTTCTCTTTTTGTGTTGAAGATGGGACGGGGTTTCTGTCATTCGGCAGGTTTTGCGTTTAAATCAACACTATGATAATGATTCCTTTGTGTCTTGTCATCGCGTCTTGTACAATGACGATGTTTAGGTACCCATGGTATTGCAGACACACAAGTCTTAATTCGCCCCTCCTTAAATAGTTTATACTATCCGAATTGTGTTGCAGCGTTTGTGATCATTCCTGTTAGCTATTTTTGGTTTGAGAGCGTATTAAACGTGATAGGATTACTACAGTTTAACGGAGACAAACATTTAAACGCTTGTCAGAGTTTTAATGAGATTATATTGAATTGAAATTTTAAAGGACATTTATGACAGGATATCATATTTGAAATCATCTTCCAACATGTTCTGAATGTCGCGAACTATGTCGATTTTCCAATAATCAAATTTGTATTAAGAACTTTACATCCCGCTCATGAGTTGAATCATAGACATCGAACCACCTAATCATCAAACAATTTCGGAATATCTACAGATGATGACGTCATCATGCCTTGTTGCGAAGTTTTTTATGCACGTTCTACATAGTTGTCCAACTTGTACAATATTTTGTTATGATTGAACATGTGGTTTCGAACGGCAGAAGTGCCTGCAGTCTCTTAAGCATCCATGTGCACTCTTCAGCTATACAGTATTTAGATATGAATAAGTTGTGTTATCGTATTTTTACGTAGCAGTCTGTAGTTCTAACAGTTTGTTTCTGTGCACAGAACATTGTTATAATTGCTGAAGATGTAAGCGTGTGGCACAGTTATAAATGTGAGACTTCCATATCGGTAGTTTTGTTGGTAAATCTAGTTTGACGTTTTGTTGATAAAATTTGTTTATGTGTGGCAGACATTGTGAAGTTTCACGTAAAGAATGTTTCTGAAGACCATTTTCCTCTTTCACGTAAACATCACATTATATCATCAAGAGCGGTGCTTGAGACACATATTTTACGTTTTGTTTATGATGTGCACTGAGCACGATGTAAATTAGAAAGAGTCAGCACCA